CACAATAATTATAAACTATAACATCATAAGTTACATAAGGTACATAAGTAAGGTAGAGCCACAGTACTAGATCTCTCACAGATAACCCACGTCAAAGCATTCAATTATACGTTTCCGACACTTGAGTGCCAGGAAAAGAAATTTAGCCACTGACAAGGTTGTTTTCCCAGAAGACTTATTTAGCAGATATGCTGTCTGCTTTCCTCTTTGTCGGGAACTGAGCTGGGGTAAGTATGGAGTTATAAGATACTGTCTTAAATCGTTGTAGAAGGGACAGCTCAATAAAATGTGCTCTGTGGATTCTACCTCACCCAATGCACAGTGGCATAATCTCTGGTCATATGGGACTCCTCCATATCTTCCCTTCAGGACCGCCGAGTCAAGAACATTCAGCCTAGCCGCAGTAAATAGTCTGCGGTATTCCACGTAGTGGATATCCGCCAGGTAGCGAGCTGGGGCAGCCCGATACAACTGCTCCCCAGAAACAACCCAGGTTTCACACGGGCTATGTCCTCCTGTCTGGCAATATCCCTTAATCTTTGCGCGATCACCGCCTTTGCGTGGCTATACGTCATGGACTCTATATAAAGGGAGGACAACCCACACTTCTGCACTTCCTCCACTATCTCCCCTTCCCATGGAGATTTAAAGTTATCCCTCAGAATCAAGGGGGCCAAACCCACCGGTCTGAAACAGAGCTTGAGCCATAGCCATAACTTCGCTTTCAGGGCCACATACCTAAAGGCTTGACAACCGGTTTCCAGCCTCATGATCGCACCTGCCACAGAGGGGGATCCTGAGTATGGCCCTGAGGAATTGGGTTTGGATAGATTCCAATTTTTCAAAATCCCTACGTGAGCCCAAGGCAATGCCCACCAGCAGAAGAGGGAGGACTTTCATTTTAAAGAGACGTAAGGCAACATTGACAGTTTGTGCCTGTTTCTTGGAGTACAGGGTTCTAATCATCAGGGCTGCTTTGGATGCGTTCGAGGCTATGTATTCTCTGTGCGCCAGGAAGGACCTATTTGATCTTACAACCTGACCCAGGTACTTGAAGCAACTGACCTGCTCTAAAGGAATACCATTAATTGACCATAAATTAGGTTTCGGTCGAGCAGCAAAGACCATTATTTTGGTCTTGGCATAATTTAATTGGAGCTCGTGTTGGGTCTCATATTCATGAAGAGCTCGAAGCATCCTCCTTAATCCGATGGGGGAGGTAGCTAATAGGGCGGCATCGTCCGCATACAGTAGGACATTCAAGGCTCGTCCTGCCAGTTTTGGTGGATGGAAATCAGCATTTGCCATATGCACCACTAGCGAATTTATATAGAAGTTAAACAGAGCAGGGGCAAGCAAACAGCCCTGTCTTACCCCCCTAGTGGTGGCAACCGGATTGGAGACTAGCCCCTTACTATCTATCCTAATCCTCAAGAGGGTATTTGTATGCAAATTAATAATCAGCAAGAGAAGGCGGCGGTCGATAGATGTCGCTGCCAATTTTGTCCATAGCTGGTTCCTGGGAATTAGATCAAAGGCCTGCTTAAAGTCTATAAAGGCGACGTGGAGGGCTTTTAGGCCATTGCCAGCGTACTTAGTGGCCAAGTGATTTAGGATTAAGATTTGGTCTGTTGTTGATCTTCCGGGGCGGAAACCCGCCTGTTCCTCTGCGATGATATTGTTGCTTTCCATCCAGGTCGTTAATTTGTTAAGTAGAAATCTTGAATAGATCTTCCCGATAACATTTAGCAGGCTAATTGGTCTAAAATTGGCCGGGTCTGTGCGCGGCCCTTTCTTGTGAATTAACACAATCAGTGCAGAGTTCCAGCTTGGAGGAAATTGTGCTGTTTTGTTTATATAAGTAAAAAGAGCTGCTAGGGGTGGACACCACCAATCCTTATTGGCTTTAATAACATCTATGGAAATAAGATCGTCTCCGGGTGCCTTGCCCGCCTCAAATTGGCCTATAAGTGTTTCCACTTCAGAGCAGGTAACAAGATCCCACTCTGGCAAGGGGGCCAAATCTAACCTTCCTCCGCTAGCTGCGTGAGCTGCATATAGAACGGAGAAGAAGCTTTCCCAGGTGTCAGCTGAAATTTGGGGTTCTATCCTTGACAACGGTCTACCCAGGTATCTGGAAATTTGGTGCCAAAAGGAGGAGGGATTTCTATTTTCTGCAGCTTTTAGAAGGTTCTTCCAATCATTTCTTTCTGCCGCACGCTTCTTTTCCTTTAATAGTGCTTTATACCTTCTCTTGAGGATCATAAGGTGACTGCTAGGTGCGGAGTCATTTGATGCCCTATATGCCAAGAATTCATTATATAGGTTGTTCTTGAAGTGCCTGCATTCCTCATCAAACCACTTTTTATGAGAGAAATGGTTACTATTCATTACCGGGGTCTTAGCCAACGAAGGTTTTAGCAGTTCTACTAAATTGTCATATATTGGCAGTGGCTCAACTGCCTGGATAAGGGAGTCCCTTGTCTCTTGCAGTTGGTCAGACCAAAGGAGTTCATTTATCCGTTGAGCCATATTGTCGGTCCATTTTAAGGCAGTGGGCCTCATCTGAAGCTGGTTATTTGTAATAGGCACGCAGGAGTAGGTAGCCAATTCTCCATCCAGGGTCAGAGAAAGTTCTAATGGAAAATGGTCACTTTCCAGCCTCGTTACCACCCTAAAGTTGGAAATTTTGGGAATTAGGTCTGCTGATGTCCAAATAAAGTCTATGGTAGAGGCTCGGGAGCCTGACCAGAAAGTAAATTCGGCAGGGTAATCAGAACTGAGAGCTCCGTTTAAAAGGTGAAAATTAAGAGCCATCAAAGTTTGTCTACATTTAAAACCTGCATATGTAGCAACACTGTCTTTAAAATTCCTGGGTAAAAGGTCTGAGGTTAAAATGGGTAGTGAGGGATATTTATTATATTTAGCAAATAATGATTTATCAGAGTGAGACAATCGGCCATTGAAATCTCCTGCAACTAGGAAGGTGGCTTCAGGATATTTCTCTAGGAGAGTTTCAAGAGTCTGTTGAATTTCCCTCCATCTTTGGACCACCAGGTTTTTCTTATAGATTGGGTGCAAATAAACATTAATCACCACAAACACTTCCTCCGCTGTTTGTAGCTTAACACCCAGCATGGATGACGACTGGATGTCGATTTGTTCCACCTGCAGGTTTAAGGCCAAAGAAACTAGGGTAGCCAACCCACCTTGTGGTCTGCCAGGAGATAGTAAATTCTGATGTGCATTCAGGTAGAAGCCCTTATACCCTGATAGGGAGAAGCCCTCACAAGCCCAGGTCTCTTGCAGCAAAAGAATATGACTGCCTTTTATGTAGGCGACAAAGGATGGATCCATCAGCTTAGGTTTAATGCCAGCTACATTCCAGGATAAGAAAGTAAGTAATCTCCTGGTCACCCCTTCGAGTCATGCTGGGCCTTGCGGAACCAGCACGGCAGAATCCACCTGGGAATGCATGCGGCGAGGGGGGACAATAGGCTGGAAGAAGGAAGTAATTGTAGCTTGTTTACCAGGCAATTTCCGAGCACCACTTACCGCAGCAGCAGCCATGGATTGAGGCTTAATTATTGGAAGCTGCAAGGATGGATTCTGGTGCACAGGAGTATCACTTAACGACAGGTCCATAGACTCTACATTTAAAGTATGCTCTAAGATTGAGGGGGGTGGGCCTTTTGGATCTGCAGATGCTGTAGGGAACATGCAGTGTAAGGCAGGTGGAAGGCATCCTTTTCGGTTTGCCTCCAAAAGAGCATCCAGTCTTGCCACAGCTTCCGAATTTGACCAGAGGGTTGTCGAATCTTCCACTGTATCCTGCCCGGACTTGACATCCCGAGGCTGTGCACAGCCAGGTTGCAGATCAAAGGTCGTTAAAGCAGGTACCACTTGGGCTTGTGTAGCCTGATCTACAATTGGTGAAGAATTCATCTTATTTACATGAGCATGATCTTCTGAGTTACGGAGACAGAGTAGCAACTCGTCCAATCTGTCCGTTATCTCTGTTCGCTCCAGTTTTGGCAATTGGGAGAAGGATAGAAGTAACTCACGCTCCGTAGAGTTCTCCAGATGTGTGGCCTTTGTCAGTGGAGGCAGGGGGGCGTCAAACCAGCTGATTAGATCTGCGGCCAGGGAGTTGGGGTCGTAGCAATTGGCGGACCCTCAGACTTATCTGCTTTCTTTTGAACAAGCAGTTTGGTAAGAGGGAGCAGATCTTGGTATTGGTAAAGACTCTTGTAGCAAGGATTCCATAGTTAATTAGAAGGCTTCTTGAGGACATAATAAGTGCAGGGAGCTTTTTGGTTTTAAAGGAGAGCAGCACTCTCTGCCTCTGAGGTCTGCTGCTAATATGATCAATATGCTTCAGGTCAATAGAGCTAGGGGTTACCCTCAGAAGCTCCGCTAGGTATCTCCTTATATCACTCTTATAGTGCCAGTTTATCACCTTGCCTCTAAAGGGGCAAACCGTTAGGCAGATTTTGGTAGCTTGCAGCAGCAGTTTGTGAGGAGGTGCAGAGTGTTGTTCCTTCTTATTTTGCTCACCTTGCTCACTTTTCTGATTGCCAGCAGCTTGAGGAATTATACAAGAGGTATGAGGTAAAACGGGTGCTCTGGGCATTTGTAAGGGCTTCATCTCAGGTGGAACATCAGGGGAACTGTCTTTACCTGTTAGGGATACAAGCGAGATAATCTTCTCCAAGGATCCTCGGATGTCTTTTATGTATTTAAAGATATAGTCCACTGTTCTAGCAACCAGGTCTAAAGTAGTCGAGTGTTCAAATAGTATCTCGTCAATGCAGCTTTCACGGGCTCTAGTGCAAACATTCGAGTGGATGCCAGTATTATTATTGCTTGAAGGTTTAGTAGGCAGGTTATCAAAAGGTTCTTTCACACTGGGTTCCTCGTCATTCATCTCTGCTAGCAGTGTGAAAGAGTTTGAAACCGGGATATTAAAAATATCCTTTGTACTTTCAGATTCACTAATTTTTGTTTGTTTAGCAAGAGGCAGGCATCTCCATTCCTCTGTGTCGTCTATATCTCTAGAATCTCTGGTACGTTTCCCAGTTCCTCTCCCACAAGCAGGGCTGTATAGTTGCTTAGTCATTTCTCTCTTCATGCAACCGCCCCAGTTTCAAGGTTAATGGTTGTCTCCCCGATAGAAAAACTAAAAACTAAAGTTAAAAGTTAAAAGGTTTCTATACTCATTAAAACAATGTTAAAAGATAAATCAGGGAGCTCACACTCACGCTGACTAAGTGCCGTTCGCCATCTTGGAAAACCTCATGGATCTTAAAATGAGATTTATACAACAGAAAATAATATTCAGAATTTATTGGACTCCTTTATGTTTGTATAAAAAAGGACTAGCTAAAGTAGCTTTTTTGCTGGAGATGTAATAAGGACAATGCCTCCTTGAAATATATATTTTTATAGTGTTCTGTACTTGCTAAGTGTTGGGAGAAATTGCTGGACTATATAAAGGGGACTGTATGGAAAAAGTTAACATTTTCAGAGGAGAATATTCTTTTAAATTTTATACCTACTGTATGGAAATGGACAACGGCACAATGAAAATGGATTATGCCCTAACAGTGGCTAAGAGATTGATACCGATGAACTGGAAGAATTAAGGTATGATCCCTTTAATCAATGGCTTGACAACATGACAACACTTGCAGCTTCTGAAAGGGGTTGCTTATAGATGTAGACTTTGTTTGGATATTTGGAATGAGTCTATGCAGAATGTAGTAGGTCATTCATAACCGTATATGCATTAAGATAATAATAGCACTGATATCAAAATAAAGATTTATGGAAATGTAAGTGATTATACAAATTGTATTGCACTGTATTTTTTTGCACTGTTCCTTTTGTCACTTTCTTTCTTTATAAGTGATTTTTTCCCTAATAAAATATTATTATTGATAAAAACAGTGGTCAAAAAGAGGTTTTTCTTCCTCTCCCTTCAAGTTGGGAGGCAACACTCTTCTTAATACCAGTTTATGGAAGCCAAAAATGGAAAGAGTTCCTCTTATGTTCAGTTTCTGCAACGGGCATCTGGACCTTCCATGGAGGAGGCAAACAAGGATGGGCCTTGGATGATATGGGCTCAGTCTATATGGGGCTGGTGGTCTTTGAGGTATTGCAGTCTTGAGCCATTTAAGCATTGCGTGGCGAGTTTCCGCCTCCCCCAGTAGAATTAACGACACGTGACACCATTGATTAAGGTTAATGGGCTAAAACTGGCCACAACTTTATTGGTTACAGGTAAGAGCGGTATTGGCTTAGGCATTGGTCCTATCCGACTTCAGCCTGTTTGCTTGAAGACTGGGAAGGGTTAACACCAGCAGGGGGAGTCCTGCTGATGCACATCAACTAGGTACTCCCCCGCGGTCACCGCTCGGGGGCGCGCTTTAGGCCCTGGCTTCCATAGGCTTCGGACGAGGCCACGCCCCTCGGAATCCTTTACCGGACTACCCTTCAATATTTGGGGGAGGTGATGGCGCTCCCCCCCATCTACATAACAATACCCCTACCAATGCCTAAACCAGGGAAGTTGTGACGATTTGCGAAAAACCAAATGGCCGGTGCCAATTTGCAAAGTGGAAAAAATTCCTACCAGGCCCCTTAACGGCGACCAACCATAGCAAGTCCATAGCAAGGTCAAAAGAGAAACCTTAAAGGTGGGTGGGAAACAACAGCAGCTGCGCAGGCAAAAGAGGGAGATCCTGGGGCCACGCCTGCCTTAAATGAGGCAAGCCACACACCCCGATTGGCTGGCTCAGGGGATGACGCGGCCCGAGGATTCCCCTGATTGCTCGGGGGCTGGAAGCCAGCCTCCTTGCGCGTGTTGGGGCATGAAGCCCGCAACACCACCTCCTCCTGATGTCGGAAGTGGCTTTGTACACATATGACTGCATATCATCTGATCCATCCACAGTAATTATTAAGTTTGCAGATGATACTACCATAATGGGCCTAATTACAGGCGGAGATGAAACAGCGTACAGGGGGGCGGTTCAAAAAGTATCTATATGGTGCTTAGAGAATAACTTGCACCTAAATATTAGTAAGACAAAGGAGATAGTGTTGGACTTCCAGAGGAAGAGAGGAGAACCTGCGCCGTTGTATATGGGAGGGGGCTGTGTGGAGAGAGTCTCCTCCTTTAAATTCCTGGGAGTTTACCTTAGTGAGGACCTCACTTGGAAAATCAACATAACTTGGGTGGTCAGAAAGGGCCAACAGAGACTCCATTTCCTCAGGGTCTTGCGAAAGAATAATGTTAAACAACAATTGATGAACTCCTTCTACCGGTCCACAATAGAAAGGGTCTTTTCATATTGTATCACAGTGTGGTATGCTGGCCGTTTACCTTCCCGCCAGAGCGGTACCTATTTATCTACTTGCACTTTGACGTGCTTTCGAACTGCTAGGTGGGCAGGAGCAGGGACCGAGCAACGGGAGCTCACCCCGTAGCGGGAATTCGAACCGCCGACCTTCTGATCGGCAAGCCCTAGGCTCAGTGGTTTAGACCACAGTGCCTATCTGCCCACAAACTTTCTGCAAATGATTCTGTGCAAAAAGGCTGTATGGATGTGATCCCTGGGTTCTTGTTTTTGTTATGCATTTTGTGTTTTTATATTTTGGTTTTATGTTGTGAACCTCCCTGAGACCTGTGGGTTTAGGTAAAGGTAAAGGGACCCTTGACCATTAGGTCCAGTCATGGCAGACTCCGGGGTTGTGGCACTCATCTCGCTTTATTGGCCAAGGGAGCCGGCGTACAGCTTCCGGGTCATGTGGCCAGCAGGACTAAGCCAGGACTAAGCAAACCAGAGCAGCACACGGAAACGCTGTTTACCTTCCCGCCAGAGTGGTACCTATTTATCTACTTGTATTTGATGTGCTTTCGAACTGCTAGGTGGGCAGGAGCAGGGACCGAGCAACGGGAGCTCACCCCGTCGCTGGGATTCGAACCACCGACCTTCTGATCAGCAAGTCCTAGGTTCTGTGTGGTATAAAAAGAAGAAGAAGAAGAAGAAGAAGAAGAAGAAGAAGAAGAAGAAGAAGAAGAAGAAGAAGTCAGCTATAGCTGAGAAAATAACCCATAATGTAACGCTGCTGAAAGAAAAGTTAGAAAAATGGGTGCCTTTTATGCCATCTAGTGGGTGTTTGCTTTATATACGAGTGAAAATAGTTCACAAAATATTATACAAGCGGCATCTTGTGACCACCTATAGTTACAGATACACACTGGTCCCGTTATTGGAATGCTTATTATCTGAAATCTCAGTTGTCCGAATGCAAATAATTATACCCAAATCTTCCTATGTGAATGGCTGATTCAGATAGCCGAACAGCTGGAATTTTCCCACTTCCTTACTTGTTTGTGTTTTGCTGGTTGGTGGCAGCTATTCTGAGCAGAAACCATGGCATGAAGGAGAGTGACTGGACAAATCAGGCAGCAGGAGCGGCCAGACAAATTAGCTTTTCTGTTGTTTGCTTTTGCTGATTGGCTACAGCAGTTTGGGGCAGAAAGCAGGGAGGGAGGGAGAATGGAGAACTTACGGATTAGAAATGTTCCCATGGGAAATAATGGAAATATCAGCTCCTTATGCGAATACCCACCTAATGATTTCCTGGGAATGCATTGTGTTTGGAAAGCAGGGGAAGATGAACTTGCTATAGATGGATGTTTCTATACAGCCCTGCTGGGCGAATCTGTACCCAGAGGAGGCTGTGATGGCCATCCTTCAGATATTTGAAGATGGCTATCCTGCCGCCTCTCAGTCTTCTCTTCTCCAGACTTAACATACCCGACTCCTTCAACCATTCCTCATTGGGTTTCAGCTCTGTGTGGCGCCCCCTGGAGTTAAGTGACAAGGCTGCATCTCTCTCTCTCTCTTGCTCATCTCTCTCTCTCTTGCTAGGTGCACCCTTTGACCCAACACACTTCTTGAAACTCTGGAAAGTGGGGGAGTTCATTCGGTGGCATAGTGTGGGTTTGCAGTGCCCTGGGCCGCTTGGAGGGAGGGAAATGGACAGAGTACGCATGCACGTTCAACTGCCTAGTTGAGTATGTGTCACCCAGGAGATCACAGAGATAGGGAGAGTCATTCCCTTGTGCTGTTCACAGTCCGCTTTAGATGTACAGACCAATGCATAACAATATTACAAATTTTAGTTATGTATGGAAGTGAGAGTTGGACCATAAAGAAGGCTGATCTCTGAAGAATTTATGCTTTTGAATTCTGGTGCTGGAGGAGACTCTTGAGAGTCCCATGGACTGCAAGAAGATCAAACCTCTCCATTCTGAAGGAAATCAGCCCTGAGTGCTCACTGGGAGGACAGATCCTGAAGCTGAGGCTCCAAGACTTTGGCTACCTGATGAGAAGAGAAAACTCCCTGGAAAAGACCCTGATGTAGGGAAAGATGGAGGGCACAAGGAGAAGGGGACAACAGAGGACGAGATGGCTGGACGGTGTTCTCGAAGCTACCAGCATGAGTTTGACCAAACTGCGGGAGGCAGTGGAAGACAGGAGTGCCTGGCGTGCTCTGGTCCAGGGGGTCACGAAGAGTCGGACACGACTAAACAACTAAACAACAACATTACAAATTTGTCAAAAGGATTGATCAAAATGCATACAGTGGTACCTCAGGTTACATACGCTTCAGGTTACAAACGCTTCAGGTTACAGACTCTGCTAACCCAGAAATAGTGCTTCAGGTTAAGAACTTTGCTTCAGGATGAGAACAGAAATCGTGCTCCAGCGGTGTGGCGGCAGCAGGAGGCCCCATTAGCTAAAGTTGTGCTTCAGGTTAAGAACAGTTTCAGGTTAAGAATGGACCTCCGGAACAAATTAAGTACTTAACCCGAGGTACCACTATATTTTAAAACCAACAGTTGCCTCAATACAAAGCACAGAAACCCTCCCAGTGTAGCTCCCTTCCCCAATGCCCTATGTTTCTTGATCCCTCCTTTTCTTCCTTCCCTGCCCACCTCCTTTCCCAACCCATTGTATATGGAGAGGAACAACTTGCTTCCTTCAGAGGCCGTTTCTGTAAAAGCTGAACTGCGGAACAATGTGGACCCTCCACTAGGCTCTATATAGGGACCTTTGGGAATTCCTGGCTTCTACTTCTGACCTTTCTTGGCTGGCTCCCTTCATGGCCTCGGAGGGCAAGTCACAGCTCCAGCTCCAAAGGCAAGTGGTGGCCTTGGCCCTTGAGAGACAACAGCACGGGGAAGTCACCCCATCACAGATCACCTGCCCTCTGGTCCTTGGGACAGGAGACTTTTGCTGCCTCCTTGCAGAATTGTTTTTGCATATTTCAGAGGGTCATTTGGAGGTGGGGGAGGGAGAAGGAGGTAGGGAGAGAGAAACATGTTTGGAAGCTCCTTCATTTGCCCAGAAGGTTCCCTTCTACAGAAATGTGAGTGGTCCAGTTCTGGGGCAAGAGACCATTTATTTGTGCTCTAGCCAACTCTCAAAACAAGAATTCCTCCACTGGTATTTTGAAACACCAAGTGGTCAGATTTATCTCAAGTTTACTTGCAGTTTACAGGCATTTTGGAGTTGGCTGTTTCTTTTTATTGCCCAAGTGACATTCTCTAAACCTCTCCCTGTAGCATATCGGCCATCTGGGTCAACATTTTCCAGTCCTTAAAGCGCACGGTGCAAAGAAACTCAGGGCTCTCCATCTGATAAATTGAGGTTGGATATCTTTGTGCTTGTTTGGTTCTGTATCTCCAAAGACAAACCCAGAGTTGCCTGATTCACCCTGCCCTCCTCTCCCCTCTGGCCATTATGTGCTCAAGGAGGCTTAGAAAACTGGGTATAATTATTCCTTCCTTTGAGCATCTCTTACTCTTCCAAAGCCCATGTCACTTTTTGCATGCTGCCCAATTTTAGCCATGCTGATGTGGTTAATGTTGGTTCAATTATGGTTTATTGGCTTTGCATCAATAATCAATAATTTAGATTTCTAATGTTAATATCTAGTAGGGGTTTTTATGCTATTAACCTCATTTATCCTCTTTTCTGTAATAGATGATTTCTATTAAGTAAAGGAAATGTACAGTAGTACCTCGGGTTACATACGCTTCAGGTTACAGACTGCGCTAACCCAGAAATAGCACCTCGGGTTAAGAACTTGGCTTCAGGATTAGAACAGAAAGCGTGCAGTGGCAGTGCGGCGGCAGCAGGAGGCCCCATTAGCTAAAGTGGTGCTTCAGGTTAAGAACAGTTTCAGGTTAAGAACGGACCTCCAGAACGAATTAAGTACTTAACCCAAGGTACCACTGTATTCGCTATGTGCCTCAAGACACATCCTTGAACACTAAATTTTCCGTGTGCTGATATGTAGGGGGACTAATTCCCCCCTTAACATGGCAGTTTTTAAAGAGGCAACTAGGGTGACAAACTGAACTGTCCATTTGGGATACATAGAAGTTTGTCCTCTGAGCTTAGATTTGTCCTCTGAACAGAGCAAAATTCTGCAGTATTGGGGTGAATTTATAATGGACCATCCACACATAGAATCATAGAACTGTAGAATTCAAAGTTGGGTATACCATATTCAGCCATTGTGAACGGCATCCGGTTGGAAATCGCCCAACAACTTTGGTCAAAAAAACTTTTGTGGCAACCCTAATTCAAAGGGACCTTGAGAGCCATCTAGTCCAACCCCCTACAATGCAGGAATCTCAACTAAAGCATCCATGAAAGATGGCCACCCAACCTCTGCTTAAAAATCTCCAATGAAGGAGAGTCCACAACCCCTCAAGGGATTCCATTCCGCTGTTGAAGGGCTCTTATCATCAGAAGGTTATTCCTGCTTTCTTGTAACTGGATGCAATTGGTTCAGGCGCTACAATCTGAAGCAACAAAAAAATGAGCTTGTTCCCTCTTCTGTGTGATAGCCCTTGAGATATCTGAAGATGGCTAACATGTTTCCTCTCAGTCTCCTCTTATCCAGTCTAAACGTACCCAACTGCCTCAACTGTTCCTTGTAAGGCTTGGTTTCCAGACCCTTGAACATCTTGGTTGACCTCCTCTGCCCACCTTCCAGCTTGCCAACATCCTTCTTAAATTGTGGTGCCCAGAACTGGACACAGTATTCCAGGTATGGCCTGACCAAGGCAGAATAGAGTGGGACTATTACTTCCCTTGATCTGGACACTAGTCTTCTGTTGATGCAGTCTAGAATAGCTTTAGCTTTTTTTTGCTGCTGCATCACATGGTTGACTCATGCTCACCTTGTGGTCCACTAAGACCCCTAGATCCTTTGCCCGTGTACAATGGCAAGCCAGGTGTCTCCCCATGTTATATTTGTGCAGCTGTTTCTTCCTACCTAAGTGCAGAACTTGACATTTGTCCCTACTAAAATTCATTTTGTTAGTTTGGGCCCAGTTCTCCAATCTGTTAAGGTTGTCTTGAATCCCGATTTTCTCTTCTATGGCATTGGCTATCCCTCCCAGTTTCATGTCATCTGTAAATTTGATGAGCATCCCCACAATTCTTTCATCCAAGTCGTTCTGCTTCACCATTCTGCTTCTTTAGTAGACTAACAACCTACTGGATCAGAATGATTGCAGAAATGCCCTACTGAATTACCGTAGATCCACCTGGGCAACAGCTTGTCTTTCTCTGACATGGCCAAGATCCCTGCAAAAAGCCCCTAAATACTCACCTCTGTCCTTTGACTGCCCCTCCATGGATATGGCAGCAGCCTCCCCTCCTTCAGCCTCTAAAGGGAAAAGGGCAGGGGGTCCATTCTCTCCTCTAGGACAGCACCCCAGTTGTATCCCCAGCCCATAGGTGCCTACTCCCTCAGGCCCGGGGTGCCTGAGCACCCACAAAAATCCCCAGGAAGGGCCTGGGCCCCCACAAATTTCGGTACCAGGGCCATGGCACTCCTGCCTTAGCCCCAAGCCACTCAGGAGTGTGAGGATCACAGAACCAATTTCATAGCTCTATAATATTCATCGGTTGGCCCTCCAGTTGTTGTTGGAATACAACTTCCATCATTATCACCCCTAATCGAGGGCCATGCTGGCTGCTGCAGGTTGGAATCCAATGTGAAACAGGTCTTATTAGTTTCTTTATTTAATTTATATACTTCCCGTCATCCTAAGATCTCTGGGCGGTCCATGGAATAAAATACAAGATAAAAACACAAGTAAATTATTAAAGCTAAACAGTGAAACAATACCCCCCCCTTCCCACAGTCACATCTTAAATGGCTGTAGAATATCAATCAGCCAAAGTTTTGGTTGAAAAGGAAGGTTTTCACCTGGTGCCCAAAATATATATAGTGAAGGCACAAGGCAAACCTCCCTGGGGAGAGTGTTCCACAGCTGCGGAGCTACTGCAGAGAAGGCCCCATTCTCATGTTGTTACCCTCCAGCCCTTTCATGGAGGAAGCACACAAAGAAGGGCCTCAGATGATGAACACAAAGTCCAGGATAGTGTGTATGGGGAGAGGTGGTCCTTGTGCAAACCCTCACACAACCTCTTAGTGGGCACAAAAAGGACTTATGTGCAGTTGTACCAATATCATCGCAGAGCCATCTCTATCCAAATCTCCTAGAGTCCAGGTGTTGTGGTAAACTGAAATTCTGAAGTGCATCGGCTCTGCACGACAACTCTGTAGACATGCCTCTTCTAAGGCTGTGCAACGAAAAACAAGGTCGTCCTTTTGGTTTTAATACCAAACCAGTGGTCTGTCTGCCTCCAGTCCTTCCCTGCCTGTTCTTGTTTTGCCACCCTCTGGAGCTCTCATGGAGGAGGCACATGAAGAAGGGCATCAGATGATGACCACAGGGTCTGAGTCACTATATGGGGAGAGGCAGTCCTTTAGGTATTGCGGTCCAGAACCATTAAAGGCTTCATAGGGGAAAACCACCACTTAAATTGGGCCCGGAAGCTAATTGGCAGCCAGTGCTGTCATTGGCCTTATCTGCAAACTGTCTTGGTACAGGGAACAACCTTGCCACCAAATTCTGCACCAGCTGAAGCTGATTTGCAGATAATATCTATCTGCACAAAAGGGCTTGGACTATATTATTCCCTGGGAATGACTTTTCATGAGCATTTAAAAAAGTCTTCTGTGCTCTACCTGGGACATTAGACACTGGATTAATAAGAATCATTCATGATAATGTACAATCTGATACTTGCTATGCGAGTGTGGATGTTATGTTATATACACATCTTTGCCACACACACACACACACACACACACACACACACACAAATACGGTGGACGCTCAACATGATCAGTGAGGGATGCATGTTCACAACCTGCAGTGTCCGCAACCCACAGCTGCGCGTCTGTGCACACGTGGGTTGCGATTCGGCACTTCTGCGCATGTGCAAATCATGATTTAGCGCTTCTGCACATGCGCGACCACCAAAATCCGGAAGTAACCTGTTCCAGTACTTCTGGGATTCGGCGGTCCATAACCAAAAAAGAAAAACGCAACCTGAAGCGTCTGTAACCCAAGATATGACTGTAATGTTAGATGTATTCTACAACCATGGCAGAGGAAGGAAATTCCACAAATGGAAACAGAGATAATGGAGGAGCTTCAAATGAAAGGATGAGAGCATGGGATGGTTAACCTGCTCTGGCCCTTTACATGTTGAAGAATGCGCCTCTTTTGGCAGTCGGGTGGCCAAGGTAGGTGACAATGGGACTCCGCTTCTCCAAGACACCTGACCACCTTCAGAGGGGAATGGCGCACATTTCATAAAAATGTGGGACATTGAAAAAGCCAACCAGCATGGGAGAGATGTCGATCTTTTCAGGAGGGATGGGGGATTTGAAGCGGAAGTTCTGCAGGATGCTGGTGAAGAAGAGGAAAAGTTCCGTTCGGGCCAGATGTTCTCCAAAGCAATAGCGCTTCCCTAGGAAAGAGGAGGAAGGTGAATATGGGCTTTCACAGTGCCGTTATAGACAACTAAGGAGTGTTTGGAAATGGAAGGGGACTCACTCACCAGCAGAGAAAGGCATAAAAGCCTTATTCCTCTTGAACTGCCCATTCTCATCCAGGAAATGTTGGGGGTCAAACACGTCTGGTCTTGCAAAATGTTTGGGGTCTTTCAGCACAGACCCGAGCATGGGAAACACTTCAGTCCCCTGAACAAGAAACAGAGAGAAATGAGAAGAGATGGGAGAAATGGAAGATTCTTCTGGGTGACAAGAAATCATTCTGAGATTTGGAGGAGCAAATCCTGTTATCTACTACCAGACCCAGTAGTGTACTGGTCAGTTCTGTACTGCAGAAAACTATCATGGGGGCCTCCACAGCCATGCACCTCTGAGGAGAGTCCCCAAATGCAGACAACTGTGACGATCCATTAGCCACCCTCCAGTACTAATATGCAGAAGATGATGACGATGACAATGATTATTAAATTGTCCTGTTTTTGTGGCCTTCCCACAGTTATCTGGTTGGTAATAACTTTGCCTTCATGAAGTTAAATTAACAGCTACTCCATCTAAGAAAAATACCATAGCTTTTGGAGAATTAGAACTAAGCCACCTTTCAGCCTCATAAGAAAACCCACCACCACTCCTTTGGGGAAGAAGGCACCAAGAGAAATGGCCTTAACACAGTGTCATCTGGCTGGGCTCTGTTGGAGGTTCAGTACGACCAAGCTGTAATGGCTCTCCTCCTTGTTTCATCTTCCGAATCCATCAGGCTCTCCTCCTCCGACGGTGATTAACAACCTAAGCCTTTGATGAGGCTTCAGGCACACTCCTCCATTACGCAGAGTATCCAAACAGTAGAAGGAGCCAAGAAATGTGTGCTACATCGCTACATTTATTTCTAACTACGCAGGACAGAAAAGAATATGCATCTACTATCTGTGAGAATCAGTGAACAACTGGAACAAAGAAACAGGAAACCAGTAACATCAACATCTGTCTCCCGTGAGACTTCCAACAGTCTGGAATGTAAACAGAGTCTTGTGACTCCAAAAACTGCACAGTGGCATAACAGAAATCTAACAGGCTCTTCTGGTCTTATTTTGGATTTGACTCTTATAACCCTAGAGCGGTGATGACAGATAGGTCAGGGACAGAGGTACCTAAGGGAATTTTGTCACCCTTCAAAATATGTCTGGAGATTATACTGAATGGCAGAGTCTTCGTCTCAGGAATTAATAGAACCACAATACCTTGGGAATGGTGTATCCCCGGAACTGGGTATCACGGGTCACACGTCTTACTACGCCTGTTGGGACCAGATCTGAGAATCTCTGGATCTCGTGGATCACAGCATCCGTATAGGGCATCAGGGGACGGTCATCCATGTTGGGAATGCGATTCAGGCCAATCACCCATTCAATCTCTTTGTGGACCTTCTCTGTTGAGAAATCAGCAAGATGTGACCAAAAGTGCCATTTGCACCTTCAGGGAACTAAACAAGGATCCCACCTCATAGCTGGGAAAACAAAGAGGGACCATCCCATAGAAAGGCAAGGACACACCTCTCCACCCTCTTTTCCAGCCCTTTCCCCATTCACCTTCGATCTCTGGGTATTTCAGTAGAAGCAGGAAGCCATAGCGCAAGGTGGTGCTGACCGTTTCTGTGCCAGCGAAAAAGACATTGAGGGCTGTCATAACAAGATTCTCTTGGAAGAACTCTGTGTTTGGGTTTTCCTTTTCCTAGGCAGAAGAAAAACAAGAAAAAAAGATGTTTCACTTGTTATATCTTAGTAAAGGTAAAGATAAAGGTAAAGGGACCCCTGACCATTAGGTCCAGTTGTGGACGACTCTGGGGTTGCAGCGCTTATCTCGCTTTACTGGCCGAGGGAGCTGGTGTACAGCTTCCGGGTCATGTGGCCAGCATGACTAAGCCGCTTCTGGCGAACCAGAGCAGCGCACAGAAACGCCATTTACCTTCCTGCCAGAGCTGCACCTATTTATCTACTTGCACTTTGACATGCTTTCGAACTGCTAGGTTGGCAGGAGCAGGGACCGAGCAACGGGAGCTCACCCCGTCGCGGGGATTCGAGCCGCCGACCTTCTGATTGGCAAGTCCTAGACTCTGTGGTTTAACCCACAGCGCCACCTGACTGCCTCCTTTCTATGAAGCTCTCTCTCCTAATGATTGGCTGAGGGGGGAAGGAACAGTCGTGGAGTTCTGAAAAGCAGCCCAACGGTTGTGTAGGCAACAGATGGCTGGGTGGAGTGGGAGGGAGCAACCACACAGTCCCTTTGTGCAGAAAGGCTACAGAGGCAAAGGAGAAGTGCCTGCTTAATCAGGCCCACCTAGTCCAGCATCCTGTTCACACAGCAGCCAACCAGATGTCCCACTGGGAAGGAGGGTTTGAGCACAAGAGCCCTCTTTCCTCCCGTGGTTTCCAACAACCGGTATTCAGAAGCATGGTTGCAACCAACCCATGGAGGGTAGGGCAAAGCCATCCTGGCCAGCAGCCTTCAATAGAACTCTCCTCATCAATGTGTTGAATCTTCTTTTTTTTATATATAAGATATTTATTAAAGTTTCAACATAATACAAAAATAAGCGAAAAAATAAAAAGAGGAAAAAAATGAAAAATGAAAATACAAAATAAAAACAGTTAAAAAACAGATTAGTCTTTCCATGTCTTAACTTTCATTTGCTTGTTTCCCCGACCTCCTCACACCTCCCTTTTTTGTATTCCAGTTCAAATTAGTTAATTCAGCAAATCCTTTCCCTCTTTGATTCTATCTTAATCTTTTATCTTAATACATTGTAACTTTAGATTATCACCTGTTAACAATCCACTTTTACACATTCCTTTATAACATTGCTGCTAGAAACCATTTAACTTCAATCCAACATCATTCTAACATTCATTAATTTTGCAGTATTTCTGTAGATAGTCTTTAAATTTCTTCCAATCTTCTTCCACCAACTCTTCTCCCTGGTCTCGGATTCTGCCAGTCATTTCCGCCAGTTCCATATAGTCCATCACCTTCATCTGCCATTCTTCCAGAGTGGGTAAATCTTGTGTCTTCCAATACTTTGCAATAAGAATTCTTGCTGCTGTTGTAGCATACATGAAGAAAGTTCTGTCCTTCTTTGGCACCAATTGGCCAATGTGTTGAATCTTCTTTTAAAGCCATCCAAGTTTCAAAATTTCCCTGGTTGAAACAGGGTCTACAAAGTTCCCTCACACAGAAATTGACCATCGTACTTAGAAGAACACAATCTTACCTGCTGCATTTTCACTAGGAAGCAATCAATGAAATCCCGAGGGTTGTTGGGGTCCAGGGTCTCCTTGTTCGCTTTTATCTTCCTCACAAAGAACTCTTTCATGAGCAAGAGCTTCTTGAAGGCTTTCTCTTGTGGGCCAGGCAGGTGCTGCATGATGCCGGAGAACATCTCGTAGAGCTGTGTGTGATGGGTTTGGAGGAATGCAGCGTTGGCAGGAGGAAGAGAGAGAACAGATATTGAACAAAGTGGGAGGGCCGCTAGGGGCGCCTTGGAAGATGGCGGATATTAACATCTATCCAGCCCGCACGAGGTAATTAGAGGCTGATTATGGGGAGTAAATCAGTCTCCCTTCATCTCTCCAGGGGGGAGAGATGCAGTTTTCACCCGCTGTTGCCATAAATCACCCCCGAGTTCGGAAGAAGGAGGGGGTGAGGCACTGGGTGCACAACCCTCGGCGGGCCTCGGAACTCCTCCGAAGCTGCTTCCAGGTGCGAAACTAGTTGCGTTACTTAAAAGGGAAAAAAAATTGGTGAAAGATAACGCACATGCTTCAAGAGAGGCAGGAGGTTTTTATCTGCTTACAATTTTACCACTGAAATGAAGAAGACTGAGACGGAAGATTACATCAAAGTACTACAGACATGGTATGTGGAATGGAATGCAACGGAACTGAAGGGGGGGGGAAACGACTTTTTATTTTTTTGCTCTATGTGATTAACTAATAACCCTCCCTCTTAGAAGATCCGTCACAGCAACTAATTGCAAATGGGACTAAAAATGAACTGTGTGGAAATAATATGAACTTAAAGGTTTTACTTTGTGAAGGATTTGGAAAGAAGAAGGGCTCTCTTTGTGATGCAGTTAGAATGGAGATGTGATATGAGACCTGTGTTGCAGGAGGTTTGGTCTTGGGGAGGGCGAGCCGAAGATTTATTATTTTCGAGGCGATTGTGATCTGGAAGGGGCAGCCCTCCTGGAAAAAGACTAACTTATGATGCAACAGGTCGGGAAAGTTAAAGAGCGAGCTTTTAGACTGTATTTCATCGGAACGACAAAATGGCGATTGCTTGCTCGAGCGGAAATGCCTGGACTATTGGATGAGAGTGATTTACGAGAAAGCAGTACAAAGTCCACACAGAAACACAAATAAGACTTTTTGGGGCGCCAGATCGAAGTGGGGTGAGCGGCGCAGTGCTGCGAACTGATTGCTACTTTCACGGAGTGAAGCCGCACAGCCATTGCCGGAGAGCGCTGACTTTTTCCTGTGGACAATTGGATTTAAAACAAGTACCCGTGAGTAGAAATGGAAAATTGGATCAAGATATATCTTAATTTGGCATCGAAGCGGGAAGGTTCAAAACAGGAAGTCCGCCTTCTGCTTTTTGTATATAGACTAAAGCAAAAACTTCGTAAGCTAAAGCCTGGAAAGCTGTCAAAAAAGTCTAAATTTCCTTCATTCAGAATTACTGAACCCCCCTTGGAAGCAGGAGAAAAGGGGGGGAACTTTGTTTAACCCCTGCAGGAGAGGGAGTGAAGAGGGATAAGTTTCCACCGTCTCTAACCTGGGAACGGGGTGTCAGTGACAGAAATTGTTGGAGAGGTTCATTGACTGTGAATGGAATATTTTGACAGATAGTTAAAGAAGAGAAACAAGCTGATTCCAATGTTCCCTTTTGCATCTTAAAGAAACAAAATATCCGAAAAATATCTGAAAAATGAAAGTAATTTTCCTTTGTTGGACTTGCCTAAAAAAAAAATGGATACAAATAGAAATTACCTCCTCTAGAGGGAGATTGTTAAATTGTTGCAGCAGTATACTTGAGGACTCAGCAGCTGTGAGATTAAGATCGTGGGAACAGTCTTTTCTGACCTTCACTAAAGATGAGCTGGGAGGAAGATTGGGTGCTTGCCTTGTGCAAGACAAGTGCCCTGTTGGAGCAGATGCATGAGAAGATGGACTTGATGAATGAAAAAATGGATTTGACTGTTGTGGTTAATGACTGTGGACAGGCAGGGAACATTGATACAGAAATTATTCAGGGACCAACTCATGAATCTGTACTGACTGGGCAAGTACAGAAGATAATGGAGGAGGATGCGGTTGCACCTCAAATAATACAAATGGAGAGACCCGAGGCCCTACAGGAGCATAAGCCGCTGTCACTGAAGATTGAAGTTGGAATGGGCCAGGGGGAGTCTGGTGCTGAGGAGGTTCCTAACTTTGGAGAGACCTTGAAATATGCTTTTAAATACTTTTTGGATTTTATCGAGGACTGTGGGGAGTGGGACTTTGGGGAATGGGCGGGTTTGATGAAGGGAGATGGAGACAATTCTGGGTTGGAATCCCCCAGAGAACTACTCCTCAATGAGAAAGGAAAGGAATTAAGAAAGAGACCAACAAAAGACAAGGAAAAAGGCAAGTATAAACAACAAGAAGAAGAAATGTAGAAGGGACATGGAAAGCTTCCATGGACATAAGGCTTCCAGGTTGATGGACTAGATGGATTGGACAGTAAGGACTGACACAATCCGAGACCAGGAAGAGGAGACGTTGGATGAAGATTGGAAGAAAATTTATAAAGAAAACTTTCTATTTAGGGAATTAGCTTAAAATTAATGAATATTAGGGAAAATGTTGGAATGAAACTATATGACTCTAGCAGAAATGATATCAGGAGTTCTGTATATTTGAAAACTAAGATTCAAGCTTTAAGGTATTTTAGGGTAAGATAAGATTAAATAAATTAAGGTAATTTGAATAACAGAATATGGGGAAAGATGGAAAGGATTTGCTGAGTTAATTATTAAGTTAAACTGTCAAGATAAACTTTTTAACAAAAATTGAGAAAGATGGAAAGAATTTGCTGAAATAACTAATTAAACTAGAATACAAAAAGGGAGGTGTGAGGAGGTCAATGAAACAAGCAAATGGAAGTTATAGATATGTAATTTGGGATTTGTGTTGTTTTCTTTTTTCTTTTGTTTTCCTTTTTTCTTTTTATCTTTTTGTTGTATTGTTGTATTGGTTTTTGTGTTTTTTCTTTTTTTTCTATGTATTATAGTGTTGTTTTTTAATTTTTCTCTTTTCTTTATAACTTTGAAACTACTAATAAATATTATTATTTTTAAAAAAAGAAAAGGAAAATGAGTAACGACAAGGATTGAGAAGAGGGGACTGGAAATATCATTCTTAAGATGAAAGCAGCACAAATATTCGAGGATTGGACTCCTGCCGATCAAGAAGCATGAGTACCCCCACAAAAATTTAAAATTTAGAAAACAATTGGATTATATGATATGTATTGATATAATTTGGATTAATTGGTTTGATGTGTTTAATTTGGTAATATGAAACTTAATAAAAATTATTTTTTAAAAAAGATATTGAACAAAGTGACTTGAGATTGATTTTTGGGGCAGGCAGAAGCAGGAGTTCCTCTTTCACTTGGTTCCTCTGAGCTCCGCACAGAAACAACTTGGTACCAAGTGCTGACTAAGCTATAAACCTGTCACAGACACAGCCTCAGGGCTTGACTTCCCCTTTGTGATGGACAAGGGTGTAATGAGGACAAGGATGAAGAGGAATCAGACGGTGTGCTTGAAACAACATTGTAAAGTTGCTCCAGGCAGAGCCTGACCAAAGAGCAAGGCAGATCAGGAGTTGCAGCACCATGGAGAGCTCAGAGTGAGACGCTTGTTCCAACAAATGTCGACACTATTCTTAAGCCTCTCCCAGGTTCTGGCCCCTTGCGGAGAACTTAGTTTCTTAAGATAGGCACTTGTCCTCTCTTTATGTGTGATTGTATTTTTAATATTTTGTTGGAAGCTACCCAGAGTGGCTGGGGAAACCCAGCAAGATAGGAGGGGTATAAATAAATAAATATAATAATAATAATAATAATAATAATAATAATAATAATAATAATATTTCATGGTCTCCTGCTTGGTGGGGTTCCTGTGCTCCTGGATTTGTGATGTACTGGGGGGTGGCATTTGGTTCGGGCATGAAAGACACCCATGAGAATTGTGGTCCAGGCTGTGGTGGTATGGAAGAATATAATGCGGCCCTTTGTTAGTCACCCTCACTCAGACCCCTGAATGTGATCTTGCTCCTTAGCTGGTGATGCTGCAGCTTCTGATCGGTCTTTTTATTTTATTTTATTTTATTTTTTTAAAAAAATTATTCAAAATTATAACAAAACATATTATCCAGAGACATATCATCCTTATCCCCCCCCCATTTTTCCTTACACTTCCAACATATATTTGAACTAGTTTTATACATTTCCCCTAACTGCACTGGTGTCATGTACCATTTGTACATCATCTTCATGTAATTCTCCTTCAATAGGGAACAATCTGTAAATTTTAAATCAGTTTTCCATAATTTCCCCCAATCTTCTATCATAATATTGTGACCTACATCTTGTGCCCATTTAATCATAACTGATTTTACCTCTTCATCTTTTGTCTCCCATTCTAATAGTATGCTGTATGCAGCCTTCAGTAATTTCACTTTCCCTTCAATCACTTCCGTTTGAAACCTAGATCTTGTATAACTGAATCCTTTCTTGCTATCTTCTTTATGTGTTTCATATAGTTGTCGATAATGCAACCAACTCTGAAAGTGGTCTTTGATCTCATCGTAATCTCTTAATTTCCATTTTCCATCATGGTCCTACATATGTGAGCCATTTTCCTTTCTTTCCAAGTGGTTTGAGCAGTAATGCTTCATGTGGTGTAAGCCACCATGGGGTCTTTTGTTCCAATAAGTCTTTGTATCTTTCCCATACCCATAGTGATTTCCTGATTATATGGTTGTAAAAACTTCTATGAACCTTCCCTTTCCTGTACCATAAGTATGCGTGCCAGCAGAATCTGTTGTCATGTCCTTCTAGTTCTAATGCCTCTTGCTTATCCAATCTCATCCATTCCCTGATACATACCAAACAAGCAGATTCATAATACAATTTACAATTATGCTTCTAGTCAGTCTTGACCACTGCTGGACATGGGGGTAATGACAGAGTCCCACGCAGAGCTGGCTGTCCTGTGTACCATGCTTTCAGCAGATCAAGACAAATAGCATTATTCACAAATGCACAATAGAAGTTCTCTCCATCCCCTCCAACTTACCTGTCCCCAAGAGCTGGAAACAAACTGGTAGGTTTCCTGCATAGTGGTGAGCAAGGAGAGGAATTCCTCATCTTTATATTCAAAGCGGTTGCCAAAGATGATGGAGCTGATGACGTTTGACACAGAGCGGCTCAGGATGTAGGTGGGGTCAAAGGGTGCACCTAGAAAGAGAGACATCCCCCCCCCTCAAGTCACTCAGCCCAAGAACAAGTCAAGGCTACACTTGACTTGCAAAGCTGTCCAGTCCTTGCCTTATCCATGTTATGGGTTGAAATCTAGGCCTCAAGCATGACACAGAAAACCTAACCGGAGTTGACCTTATGTCCATCTTAAGATGCTGGGAGTGGTAGAAAACTACCTGAGCAAAAGGCCTTCAGGGAAAGTGCAGGACAGGACGATTCGGACCCGGGTTTCTGATGGTGGGAGAAGGGCTGTCATATGGAGGATGGAGCAAGCTCATTTTCTGCTGCTCCAGAGGGTAAGCTACATGTTACAGATTTTTTAGCTGTGATTCCTGAATTGCAGGGTGTCACGAAGCCGGCAGGGAAGGCTCTGGAGCTGAAGGAGGAGGAGGGACGGGAGCCTGTAAAAGAGGCAGGAATAACAGAGGGTGGAGAGCAAGGGGAAGGCATTCAGCTGTGAGCCAGTCCAGTCCTCCAGGAAGTGCACCCACAAGATGGACAGGCCACGCAGAACTCGAGGCTGGAAGGTCTCCTGGAAGATGCTGCTCTTAGCACCATGCAATGGGGAGGACTTACTTGGGGGGCGTTTAGGATGCTGGAGGAATTTGGTCTTTTAGCAGGAAAAAGTCAGCGCTCTCTGGCAACAGCAATGCGGCTTCACTCCGTGAAAAGAGCAGTCGATTCGAAGCACCGCGCCACTCACCCCACGTCGCTCCGGATCCCCGAAACCGGGTTTCCCCGCGAGTAGGGGAGGCGCAAAAGGTGCCAGCCGAATCCCACGTCCACAGGCTTCTCCCGCCTGTGGTTTTTGGTGGGTCTCCACCTCGCCGCAGCGGTCCAGACCCTAATTCTCACGAAGCGGATTCCTCCCGATCAGAGGAAATCCGCCATTGCTGGAGGGGCTAACCCGGAAGTCCCAGAATCCGGACCCCATTTCCAAAGGGGTTGCCGGTAAGAGCCCTGGAAGAGGGCATAAAAACTCCTTTTGGAATGAAAGAAGCTTACACGCAGCTGAGCGGGGGGTTGGATCATGACCTCAGAGACTTCTCAAGAAGGAGCTCTGAGGGTAGCACCAGCGGTTTTAGAAACCGAGGTATGAAAGCTAGGAGCTAGATGGCGCTTTAAGCCTAGGTTATGGGCGCAACAACAGAATGTCTAGGCACACTTTTTTAAATAACAAAAATACAAAGCTGAAAGTGAAGGAACTGCAGGTAAAATATTATGTTCGTATTTCACATGGTCTAGTCCTTCCCCTGCCCACCCCCTTAATATTCTTACGAGGGTCTCTTCTCCAGTCTTCAGAGAGTAGCTGGAAGTGGGGAGGCAGAAAAAGGCCTTCCTTTCCTCCCACTCTGCAGTTTTAATCTGAAATCTTCGGCGCAGTACTGCCCCCAGAGCTCAGAAACTGCAATGCCAGTTCCTTCTGCGCAGGACCGGAGACGGTTAAAATGCAGGGAACCAAGAAGGTGTTTGGGATTGCCCAAGCTGCTTTGCTGGAGGAGGAGCCGAAAGCTCCCACTTCCGGGATCTGCTACGGACAATTCGGACGCATGAAAGCTATGCTCTGCATCTTGTAAATAGATGTAAATAAAGACATCTCTGAGTGAGCAGAGGTATTTCTTGTGAAAGGCCTCCCAAACCCATCACACAGGGGGATTGGTCTAGAAGACCCTTGTGGTCCCTTCAAACCCTAAACTTCTGCACTAGATGAGCCATTGGCTAGATTCAGCAGGAATTTCTTATGTTCTTATGATGTGAGGTGAAGCAGGAGTGCTCAGCTTCTGAGCACTAACTCCTGGTCTCTGAACACTTGTCTGATTGTCTCAGCAACATCCTTGTGTAAAACTACATGACCTTTCATTTACTAAGAATCTACCATGGATCAACTTCAAGGTTTTGAGTCCAGCTTCTAATATTATATGAGAGAGGGAGAGTTTCAATTTGCAGAAAGCACTATGTGTTTAATGGTGCTTTCGTTCATCTGATATTTTCGCCCTCAACGTTTATCAACAGCTCTCAAAGTGGCTTGTTTATGACCAACATTCAAACACTCGGTTCACTATTTCTATCACCTCATGAAGCCACATTTCTTGAAGTTACAAAAACTGAGCTCACTTTTTGTTTCCCTCAGGGATTCCAGCAGGAAGTGGGTCTCCTCCAGGATCCGCTCTTCGACAGATCTCTTTCCCATCCCAAAATTCCTCAGCGTCGTGATGGAGAAGCGCTGTAGCTGTTTCTCCCGTTCCCTGTTACTGAAGCCAACCCCTGAGAAGCAAAGGAGTGAGGAATAAGGAGCAGGATTGAATGATGTTGTGGCTGAAACCACAAAGGTATGGAGACCCCCCCCAATTTTTTTTTGCTTTTTGGTCTGGTTTGAAAGACCCAATTTCAGCTTTTGAGAGAACATTCTAAGTGTAAGAGAGGTGTGTGTGTGTGTGAGAGAGAGAGAGAGAGAGAGAGAGAGAGAGAAGAAGAAGAAGAAGAAGAAGAAGAAGAAGAAGAAGAAGAAGAAGAAGAGGAGTTGTTTGGATTTGATATCCCGCTTTATCAACTACCCGAAGGAGTCTCAAAGTGGCTAACATTCTCCTTTCCCTCCCTCCCCCACAACAAACACTCTGTGAGGTGAGTGGGGCTGAGAGACTTCAGAGAAGTGTGACTGGCCCAAGGTCACCCAGCAGCTGCATGTGGAAGAGCGGGGAAGCGAACCCGGTTCACCAGATTACGAGTCCACCGCTCTAAACCACTACACCACACTGGTGTAGAGAGAGAGAGACTTCCCTCAGTAAGAGGGGTTTAACAATAATCTACTACATAGGACCATGAGAAGGGCCAATGAGACTCTCCAGTACTAAGCTTGATAAAAAGGGCATATAAATGCCAGTAATCATGTGCTCTGGGCAAGAATTGCCCAAGAAGAGACTGACCGTAACCCTGGAAAAACCAGTCCAACGTGGCTTGTTCTCCACGGTCACTGAAATCTTCATCCTGATCCACCAGGGCCTCCTTCACGGCATCGTATCCACACAAGACCACAACACGGCGGGGCCCTAAGTGGATGGTGTAGACAGGACCATATTTCTCACGGATCTGTGAAAAGAGAACACAAGGAGAGCCTGCTGGATCAGGTTAAAAAGAGTCCAGGATCCTGTTCTCAGAGTGACCAATCAAATGCCCCTTCTGGTAAGGTTACCAGATTTTGTTCAAAGAATTTGGGGACACTTTTTTTTTTGAAAAGAGAAAAACAAGTTATTAAAAATGTTTATTTATAAAGTAATATCTTCTCTTCTGTGGTCTCCTCTGTTGCGTGGCCTTCCTCTGGGCCCCGGCCTGATCTCTTGGAGCGCTAGCCACTGTGGAGTAGGCTCAGGTCGGGCCTGGACTCGGCCACGTGTCCTTGCCCTCCCAGTGCTCTCCTACCTCTCCTCCTCAGCAGCAGAGACAGTGGCACAGCAAGGTCGGGTCTCCCCTCCTTTTTCTCCTTCCTCTTTCTCTCTCTTCCTTTTCCCCTCCTCCTTCTCCCTGCATCTGCTCCGGGGTTTTCCTGGGCCCGGAGCACCACTGGGCAGTTGGCCGGGTGGCCAGGTGCTCTCGCTCCCGCTCTGGGCATCCCCAGTTCCCCCTCGGCTGTGGCGGCAGCAGCGGCCATCTCAGTAGCCTGGAGCCAGCCTGGTAGCACAGTTGGATCTGGCTGGCTTCAGAAGCTGCTCGCTGCCATGGCGCCCGCCATTTTGCCTCACCGGAAGTCCCCATATGATGTGTCTTGTGCCGCTGAACCAATCATGCAACATTCATTCCCTACTAATAAATCCACAACACTTAAAATATAAATCCGGGGGCATTAAATGAAATCCGGGGACATTCCGGGGACGGATTTTGTCCGGGGACAGATTTGTAAATCCGGGGACTGTCCCTGGGAAACGGGGATGTCTGGTAACCATACCTTCTGGGAAACCTTTAAGCGCTCTTCCCTTGTTTGGTTTCCAGAAACTGGGATGCAGAGGCATTTCTGACTCCAACCGCAGAGGCAAAGCAGATCCATTGTGGCTATCAGCTATTGGAACTTCCCTCCATTCCCACACACCGTTAGGCAGAGGGATGGGGAGGGAGAATCAAAGTTGGAATTAGACAAGAGAGAAGGCTGGGCTGGCAGACTGGAGTGATCTTCATTCACCATCAGCATATAATAATGATTTTAGAACCACAATTCAGAAAATGGATAACTGTGCTCTGAAGCATCATAGAACAGAGCTTTCCAAACGGTTCATGTTGTCAGCACACTTTGTCATTTTGCAACACAGTCACTCAGTATTAGTAGCAAACTGGGCATTAAACTAACCCCTTTCCAGCCCCGGGAGGAGCAGAGAGACATCTATACACTGCAGCCAACACACTAATGTGTCGTGACACACAGTTTGGAAAGCTCTGTTACAGAAAGTTACCTTCATGAGTGAACGGTACATATCACTTGTGTTGACTTGGAACAGGTTCCCGATGAAGGGGAGGGGAGTTGGTCCAGGTGGCATCTGGCTTTTGCGGTGCATCTGCCGCCATGTTGAGAGGACCATCAGGCAAGAGAGGCAGATGACCAGAAAAAGGGTTGCTGCTCCGAGGGGATCCATGGGGAGCTTGTGGGTGGCCTGTGGAGCTCTGCAGGCAATGTGTTGCTGAGCAGCTGGGAAGAGAAAATACCCGCGCAGTCCGAGTTGAGCCTGTTACATACCTTCGGAAGAACCTCCTCCTTGAAATTGTGCAACCTGTTTACTCTCTGCTCAGGGTCTTCTTTCAAGTCAAGAGAAGACCTACCAGAGCAAAGTTCAGATGGACAGATAGTGGAGACAGGCAGTTGTCTGCCCAAGTCTGCACCACCAAGGAGCTTCAAGGAGTCAAACACAATTCTCTCACCTCATTTCTCAGAATTCTGTATCATTTGACAGGGTCTCTGCTGGTGTAAGACTAAGAGGAGAGCAGCAAAATTGTAGAGTTGGAAGGGACCCCAAGGGTCATCTAGTCCAACCCCCTGCAATGCAGGAATCTGAGCTACAGAATCCCTGACAGATGGGCCTCCAACATCTGTTTACAAACCTCCAAGGAAAGAGAGTCCACCACCTCTCGCAGGAGTCTGTTCCACTGTCGAACAGCTCTTACTGTTAGAAAGTTCTTCCTGATGTTTTGTTGAGATCTCATAATTTGAAGGTGCCCTCCAGAGCGGGAGAAAACAAGCTTGCTCCATCTTCCATGTGTCAGCCATTCAGATGTTCAAAGATGGATGGACTATATGGAACTTGCCGAACTGACTGGGAGACTCCGGGACCAGAGAGAAGAGAAGGTGGAAGAAGATTGGAAGAAGTTTGAAGAATATTTGAAAAAAAAATGTTATTTTTTAAATCTTAGAATAGCTTTGGAAGTGGATATAGGCTGTAGGGTTAGCAGTAGAAGATAGTGTATTTTAAAATAGTATTATTTGTAAGTGATAATATGTGAAGATTATAATGGTAAAAGTAAGTGTGATTAAAAAAATGGTTAAAAATTATGATATATGTAAACTGCTAAAGATGCGATAAAATGAAAATCAGATGCGGGGACTTGGGGAAGCTCACTTAACAATGTTTAGAAAAAATAAGGATAAGACAAGAATTTGTTTGTATTCTTTGTTTTTTTGTTTTTTTTGTGTTGTTTATTAGTGTTATAAAATGAATATATATATTTTTAAAAAACAACCCCACAGATGTTCGAAGTTGGGTATCATATCTCCTCTCCTCTCAGGACTCCTCTCATATCATATCAAGAGATATCCTGATCTATTTACCGACTTTCCTTGTTACTTATTTCCACACATTCCCCGCCACCAATGGATCATAAAACCTGATCCTCCAGGCACACCTGCCTATTTCCCCTACTCTGTTAATAATAATAATAATAATAATAATAATAATAATAATAATAATAATATATTTATTGTCATTGCCCCCTTCGGGGACAACGAAATTACTTGACTGCTCCATAAAAACTCTAATTAATCAATACAGTATAATACAGCAAGGGAGATTAGATGACTTTCAAAGTCCGGGCTTCCCATTCAGGGCCGAGATCGCTCTGGAGAAGAAGCTGTTCTTAAGACGGCTCGTTCTTGTCTTCATCGTCCTGTATCTCCGTCCCGACGGCAAGAGCTCGAAGAGACAGTGACCAGGATGCGATGGATCTTTTACTATGTCCAGTGCCTTCCTATGGCACCTTGTGACATAAATCTGCTCTAAGGTGGAGAGTGGGCAGCCAACAATGCTCTCTGCTGCCTTAACAACCCTGCACAACCCCATCCTGTTCTGGGTAGTACAGCTTCCGTACCACACACATAAGCCATAAGTGAGCACGCTCTCAATGGCACAGTGATAGAAGGCAAGCAGCAGTTTCTGCGGAAGATGGTTTTTCCTTAGTATTCTCAAAAATACAGTCTCTGCTGCGCCTTCTTCACAAGCCCCCTTGTGTTGACACTCCAGGACAGATCCTCTTGTAATTCAATGCCCAAAAATCTGAACGTTGTTACCCTCTCCACACAGACCCCATCAATCAAAAGTGGCTGGACGTTGCTCTTCTGTCTCCTGAAGTCCACCACAAGCTCCTTTGTCTTCCTTGTATTTATGAGCAAGTTGTTAGGAGTGTTTGCAGGGTCTACATGCAACAGAAGTGCCCAATGTTGACAAAAGGTGAAAGGGTAACAGTGCAGCAGTGTTTTACACTGTTTTACAGCTTCAGGACCAATATCAAGGGCCACCCTACATAAAGTGTGTTACAAAAATCAAGCTTGCCTGCTAGATCTCCAACAAAGCCACTTCCGAGCTGGAGAGGAAGTGGGGTTGCGGGCTTCACGCCCCTCTCCACGCACGCGGGGGCTGGCTCACAGCTCCCACGATACTGGGGGCATCCTCGGACGTGTCATCCCCCCAGCCAGCCAATCGGCTAGTCCGGGAGGCGTGGCCTGCCCTATTTAGGGCCGGCGCGACTGAGGACCCCCCTCTTTCCGCGCTACAGCTGAGCAGGTTTTCCCACCCACCCACCCATTAGGTTAGGCTCTCTGACATTGCTATGGACTTCGGTTGGTCGCCGTTGAGGAGCCTGGTAGGAATTTTTCCCAGCTGGCAAATTGGCACCAGCCTTTGGGTTTTTTGCCTACCTCGTAGCAAATCGACACAACTCCCTTTTCATTGGCGGTTAGGCATTGGTAAGGGTATTGTTATGCAGATGAGAGGGGGGGAGGAAGCACCACACCTTCCCCTAAATCGAAGAGTAGTCTGGTAAAGGATTCCGGGGGCTGTGGCCTTGTCCTAAGCCTATGGAGGTGTGGGCCTAAGGCACGCCCCCGAGCGGTGACCCCAGGGGGAACTCCTAGTTGATGTGCATCAGCAGGGCTCCCCCTACTGGTGGTTAACTCTTGCCGGTCTTCAAGCAAGCAGGCTGAAGCCGGTTAGTTGTGAGGACCAATGCCTAAGCCAATACCACTCAGTTCCTGTAATCAATAAAGTTGTGGCCTAATTTGACCCATTAACCTAAAATCTTGTGTCTCGTGTCTTTATTTCCGGGGGGGGGGGGAGGCGGGAACTCACCACGCAATGGTGTTATGGAGCAGGGACAGGCAGGGATGAAGTACAAACCATTTATTCTGCAGGATGAACGTGTTGTCATTTGTCTGTGCACCCCATATATAATAGCTTTTCTCAAGAAGAAATCCGGCGGAATAAGCCAAGCAGGGACAGGGTTCAGTTACATTACCATGCACAGCTCAGGGTTAAGCAGCCAGTTTTATTGTGAAAAATCCCATGTCCCTTTATTAGGGCCAACCAAAGTGTCACAAAATATCGAGTGAGCTTTTGAGTTTACAAGGAGTTTACCAGAAAGGGACTGGAGAGGGACAGACCACTGGTGTGGTATTAAAACAAAAAGGACAGCATTGATTTTCGTAGCACAGCCTTAGAAGAACCATGTCTACAGAGGTTGTCGTTTAGAGCAAATGCACTTCAGAATTTCAGTTTGCCACAACACCTGGACCCTAGGAGATTTGGATAGAGACAGCTCTGGGATGGTATTGGTACAACTGCACACGGGTCCTTTTTGTGCCCACTAAGAGGTTGTACAAGGACCGCTTCTCCCCATACAAACTATCCTGGACGTTGTGTTCATCATCTGAGGCCCTTCTTTGTGTGCCTCCTCCACAAGATGGCTGGAGGGTGGCAACATGAAACAGGAACTTTTCTGTGGTGGCTCCCTGTCTGTGGAATGCTCTCCGCAGGGAGGTTTGCCTGGAGCCTTCATTATATATTTTTAGGCACCAGGTGAAAATATTGCTCTTCCTCCAGGCCTTTGGTGGACTCGTATCATACAGCCTTTTAAACATGTCTGTTTAATAAAAGTATTGGACTTTTAAGACTCGTTCATGTGCCCAGAAAGTTCCCTTCTTCAGAAATGTGAACAGCCCAGTTCTGAACAAGAGCCCATCCCTATTTGTAGCCTAACCAACTAACCCAGTAAGAATTGCTCTGTTGGTATTTTGAAAATGCAAGATTATTTTCTGTCTGTTCTCTCCCTGCTGCCTGTCGGGTGTCTGAGTCAACTTTCTCCAAAATCTGAAGCACACGTTGCAAAGAAACTCCCATCTGATAATTCAAGAGAGAATATGACATGTGATATTTTGGCCAGTCACAAATAATTTAGACAATGCAGTTGCGGTTAGGCATTGGTGGGGATACTGTTCTATTGTTCTGCAAATGAAGGGGGAAGGAGCGCCATCACCTTCCCCAAACAAGGGTAGTCCGGTAAAGGATTCCGGGGGGCATGGCCTTGTCCTAAGCCTAAGGAGGTGTGGGCCCACAGCACGCCCCCACGCGGTGACACCGGGGGGAGGTCCTAGTTGACGTGCCTCAGCAGGGCTCCTCCGACTGGTGGTTAACTCTTCCGGCCTATGAGACGGTTAGTAGTTAGGACCAATGCCTAAGCCAATACCGCTCAATTCCTGTAATCAATAAAGTTGTGGCCTAATTTGGCCCATTAACCTGAATTCTTGTGTCCTGTGTCTTTATTTCCTCGGGGGGAGGCGGGAACTCGCCACGCAAGGAGCTTCTTCTTTTTCCCCTTTTTTAAAGGGGGAGTGTGGCTAATGTGTTTGAATCTTTACATGAAATTGCAAGAGACCCAGCCCTATCTTCCTCTGACTCAGGTGGCTATACCTCCTGATATTTTGGCTAGATATAAAGAAGATAAACATATAGTTGAGAAGCGGATAAAATATACTTTGTAAGCGATAATCCTTTCTCTAGGACTAGTCACATCTTTGAAGGAAACAAAGGTGGAAATTTGAATTAAACTTTCTGCTCATGCCTCTGTGAGCATAGAATAGATCAATAAGGTTCAATAGTCAGGGGGCATAATATGGTGGGTAGAGTGAACTGTTCTACAGTGGTGCCTCGCAAGACGAAATTAATTCGTTCTGTGAGTTTCTTCGTCTTGCGGATTTTTCGTCTTGCGAAGCACGGATGCACCCTGGTACTGTATTATGAACATTATTACAGTACTCCTTTTATAATGGGATAGCGGACAAAGCACAAAGCGGGTCGCTCCCCAGCAGGAGGAGTTTCCCCAGCCTGGAGGATCTGTTGCCGGGAAGAGGCAAAGACACCCCCTCCCACCTCCCCACGAAAACAGCCCCCCTTCCTCTGTCGCCAAGCCTTGCCGCGTCTTCGCTCCGCCAAACCGCGTCCCACATCAAAGCCCCAGCTCGCTCCTCTCCCTCTCTCTCCACGAGGTGCCAAAGGAAGTTCGAGCCCAGGAACCGAGGGCGGACGCATGAAGCGCCCGGCGCGGACTCTCCCTTGCTCCCCCTGTTACCTTGTGCCACGCCGCCGGGCTCCCCACAGTCTCGGCAGCTGCTCCCGGCTTCTTCCCACCCCCGCAAAGGCGCCTTCGTGGCGGCCCAAGCGCAGTGGATGCCTCCTCCTCCTCCTCCTTGGTCCCCCTCCTCCTGCCTTCGCGCAGTTAGGGCAAAATGGAGCAGCCACGTTGGGGGGGGGGGGAGAGAGGCAGATGCTGCGCAGAGACCCAGCCAGATCCGCTGGATCCCAGCCCACCTGCCTCCTCTGTGCCCTTTCCAGAAGAGGATCCCTCTGCGTCGTTCTGCTAGATCCCGCTTCTGTTGCGCCCAAGTCCGTTATTTGTTCTTTGGCTCCTTCTGCAGTCTTTCTTTCATGCGCTTTTACGCACACGCTCTGTCTCCGGAGTCTCTCTCTCTCTCGTATCGGGTTACTCTGCTCACAACTCAGGACTAATTGTCGTGCTCGCGATCGCGCTTGGAAGAGATTTGCTCCCGCTCTTTTCTTGCCTTGCGTTCATTCGCAGAGCGAGACGCTCTCCTTCCCCAAGGCTGAAACCGGAAAAGGTAGGTCGCTCCCTCGCTTGCTCCCTGCCAGCCCATTTCCCACTTCAAACTTGGTACAGTATTAATGGTTTTAAGAAAAAGGAAACAAACTCACAAGACATTTCATCTTGGGAAGCAAGCCCATAGGGAAATTCGTTTTGCGAAGCAACTCAAAAAACGAAAAACTCTTTCGTCTAGCGAGTTTTTCGTCTTACGAGGCATTCGTCTTGCGAGGTACCACTGTACAAGAAAGTGGGGTGAAAGGACAGCTCCAAAGTGAAATCTGTGATCTCTTTATTCACAACATGGGAACAGCAGCTGACATTAGAATTTTGAGGGATGCTTTTACAGCTGTGATTCTGGTATGCCTTATAAATAGAAGTACAGGTAAAAGAAGAGAATAGAGAACCAAGACAAAATATTTGATCTTGCAGCTTCCTCAATGAGGGGTGCAGCAGAAAAATGAACATTCACAAGAAATAAGGCAGCAAGATACTAAACATGTAGGCAAAGAAGTAATTCCAGAAAATGGGAAAATGTTAAACATTGCCATTGCTAAAATTATGGGTGTGTGGACATTAGGTTTGTGTGTGTGTGTGTTTTGTGTGTGTATCTCCTTTTGGGTGGCCAAGGTTGGTGACGATGGGGTTCTGCTTCTCCAAGACACCTGACCACCTTCAGAGGGGAATGGCACACATCTCATAAAAATGCGGAAGGGTGGCAAAGCCAACCAGCATGGGAGAGATGTTGATCTTTTCAGGAGGGATGGGAGATTTGAAGCGGAAGTTCTGCAGGATGCTGGTGAGGATGAGGAAGAGCTCCATCCGAGCGAGGTGCTCCCCAAAGCAATAGCGTTTCCCTAGGAAAGAGGAGGAAGGTGAATACAGGCTTTCAGGGGGCTGTTAGACACGACTCGGCAGTGGCTTGGAAAGGGAAGAGGACTCACTCACCGACGGAGAATGGCATAAAAGCCTTATTCCTCTTGAACTGCCCGTTCTCATCCAGGAAATGTTGGGGGTCAAACGCATCTGGCCTTGCAAAATATTTGGGGTCTCTCAGCACAGATCCAAGCACAGGGAAGATTTCAGTCCCCTGACCAAGAGAGGGAGAGAATCTTAGAACCATAGATTGTAGAGCTGGAAAGGACCTGTGGGCCATCTAGTGCAGCCACCTGTGATGAAGAGATCTCAACTAAAGCTTCCATGGCAGATGGCCATCCAACCTCTGTTGAAAAACCTTGGTGGAAAGAGATTCCACCACCTTCTGAGGGAGCCCTTTCCACAGCCTCAAAGCTCTTACCATCAAAGAGTTCTTTCTGATGAGAAGGGAAGGGGGAAATGGCTTTTAGAGGGTTAGAATTAACCCCTTTAAGCTCCATAACCACCACTACTCCTTTGGGGAAGGTAGCACTAGAAGATGTGGAACCAACATCGCGTCATCTGGCTGGGCTCTTCAGGTCTTATTTTGGATTTGCTTGGATACCCCCACAATGATAATGGCAGACAGGTCAGAGATAGAGGTGCCTCAGAGGAATTTGTTAGCTCACAAACCATGTCTGGAAATTGTACTGAACGGTGGAGTCTAAGTCTCAGGAATGAGTGAAACCAAAATACCTTGGGAATGGTGTATCCCCGGAACTGGGTATCACGGGTCACACGTCTTGCTAACCCCAAAGGGAGCATGTCAGCGAATCTCTGGATCTCGTGGATCACAGCATCCGTATAGGGCATCAGGGGACGGTCATCCATGTTGGGAATGCGATTCAGGCCAATCACACGTTCAATCTCTTTGTGGATCTTCTCTGTTGAGAAATCAGCAGGATGTGACAAAAAGTGTCCATTTGCACCTTCATAACTGGCAAAAACAAAGAGATTTCTCCACCCTCCTTTACAGCTACTTCCGCATTCACCTTCAATTTCCGGGTATTTCAGTAGAAGCAGGAAGCCATAGCGCAAGGTGCTGCTGACTGTTTCCGTGCCAGCAAAGAAGACATTGAGGGTTGTCATAATTAGATTCTCTAGGAAGAACTCTGAGTTTGGGTTTTCCTTTTCCTAGCAAGAAGGAAAACGAGAAAAGAGGATATTTCACATATTATATTTTGCGATAGGCTACAATCTGACTGCCTCCTATCTATGAAGGTCTCTCTCCCCTACGGATTGGCTGAGCTACAGTGATGTCATGCAATGAGGGGAAGGGTCAGTTGTGGAGTGCTGAAAAGCAGCCCAATGATTGTGTGGGAAACAGAGGGTTGGGTGGAGTGGGAGGGAGCAACCACGCAGTCCCTTTGTGCAGAAAGGCTACAGAGGCAAAGGAGAAGTGCCTGCTGAATCAGGCCCATCTAGTCCAGCATCCTGTTCTCACAGCAGCCAACCAGATGATCCACTGGGAAGGAGGGTTCAAGCACAACAGTCCTCTCCCCTCCCGTGGTTTCCAACAACCGGTATTCAGAAGCATGGTTGCAACCAACTGCGGAGAGCAGGGCACAGCCCTCCTAGCCAGTAGTCTTCAATAGAACTCTCCTCATCAATGTGTCGAATCTTCTTTTAAAGCCATCCATAAAATTCCCGGCGTGCTATAAGCTTAGGGAGAATGTAATGAAAATTATTTATATATATATTTTTTAAAATGATATTTATTAAAATTTCAAAGAATACAAGAATTACACAAAAACAAAAAACAAAAATACAAGAAAATACAAAATACAGCAAGAAGAATAAAAAAAAACCCCTTATTAAGGTATAACAAAGAAATGAAAAATAAAAAGAAACATACAAAATAAAAACAGTTAAAAACACATTAATTTTCCATAGCATATCTTCCTTACACTTATTTCCCCGGACCTCCTCGTACCTCCCTTTTTTGTATTCCAGTTCAGTTTGTTAGTTCAGCAAATCCTTACCATTAAGCTTTTACCCATTTATAAACCTTTTTTCATATCTCTTAAAGCATTACAGCTGGAAACCACTTAGTTTCTATCCAACATGTAATGAAAATTATTTATAGATGGCACCACACTCCAGCAAAACTTGCGAAATGTATAAAGGCAGATCACCAATCTGCTGGAAATGCAAAAAAGAGACAGGGTCATACTTACACACGTGGAACTGCGCAGTCATCCGTGAATTTTGGGATAAATTATACAATGACTTCAAAAAGTTATTTAGATTTACATTCAGAAAAAGGCCAGAAGCCTTCCTCCTAGGTATAATGACACTGGAAATCGGAAAAGATATAAGACCGTTGTTTATGTATGGAACTACAGCAGCCAGAATATAAATGGTAAGAATTTGGAAAAATGAAACAGTACCCATGATAACAGAAAGGCAGACTCTTACAATTGAATACCTACAACTGGCAAAGATGACGGGGACAGAAGGAGGGCTTTACAATCAGAAAGTATACAAAGAGTGGAAGATATTCAATGATTACTTAAATACACACTGTACAAGTAACAAGCTCCTTGCAGAATTAAATTGATCCTTGTAAAACACAGTGTAAATGTTAATTTACCAGAGTACAGGAAGATAAATTAGGGCAAAAGAAGGCTGTGCGTTAAATGTAAATAACAATACAAGTACAATGAGAAGAATTGGAAGTCTCTTATTTAGAAATTTAATGAACGATTATATAATAATGCAAATTTCTTTTTTTGGTGTGTGTTTTTTTCTTTTTCTCTCTCTTTTAGTCTTAATCTTTTCATTTTATCTTTATGTATGTATATATTCATGTGTATATATTTGTATTTTAATTCAATAAAGATTTATTAAGAAAGAAAGAAAGAAAGAAAGAAAGAAAGAAAGAAAGAAAGAAAGAAAGAAAGAAAGTCTATAAAGTTTCCTTACACAGAAATTGATCGTAGTAACTAGAATAACATAATCTTACCTGCTGCATTTTCACTAGGAAGCAGTCAATGAAATCCCGAGGGTTGTTGGGGTCCAGGGTCTCCTTGTTTTCTTTTACCTTCCTTTCAATGAATTCCTTCAGGCCCAACAGCTTCTTGAAGGTTTTATCTTGTGGGCCAGGCAGGTGCTGCATGATGCTGGAGAACATGTCGTAGAGCTGCGTGTGTCGGGTTTGGAGGAATCCAGAGTTAGGGGGAGGAAGACAGAGAACAGATATTGAACAAAGTAAGATGAAATGGATTTTGGGGGCAGGGAGTGTCGGGAATCAAGCCTTTATCAGGAGAAACTAGCAACTCTCCAGGCACCCGGCTTGATCTCCTGTTGACCTCCCTGTCTGCATTCCCCAGCAGGATCCAGGCTAGGTCGCGATAGGCGATCCTTCTCAGCGTGAGAAGAACACACCCCTCTTTCCTGCCCCCCCAGGCAGGGGAAAGAAATAGACAGAAACGTATTTACATTCCTTTATTTCTGTCTTTGCAGCGTTACAAAAAACATGACTGCTATCTTCAAACTCCAGCTGTCTAAAGAGAAACACTTCCTGTATTTCCTGTACAAGAGCAAAAGGAAGAGCTCATATTAGACTCTGAGCTAATTCTGGTGCATTGCCCTGTGAGTTGACTGTCCCTCTGTTTCCCACGGAACAGTCCTAACATTCCATCATGTGTTTTCAAGCTAGCAGCTCGCGGCTGCATTGCTTCTATATCGTAACAGGGAGAAGCAGGAGTTCCTCCCTCCCTCGGTTCCTCGTTATCATGGAAGGTTTGGGAAAACAGGAGGCTTAAAAGAAGGGAGAATGGAGAAGTGTCACTCCAAGAAGAACAGACAGAGGGAGCTCCTCACTCCACTCAGACAGAACTTGGTGCTGACTAAGCTATGAATTTGTCACAGACACAACCTCAGGGTCTGACTTCCCATCTTTGAGGGAAAGGAAGGCAATTTGGAGGGAAAATCAGGATGTGTGGAGGAATTGCTTACAAAGCCAACAGCTTCAATATCTCAATCTGGAATTATCTCAGGTTGAAGCAACATTGTAAACAACAGAAGGTACTCCTGACTCCACCCAGATATAACTTGGTGCTGACTAAGCCATAAACTTGTCACGGACAAAACCTCAGGGCCTGACTTGTCCTCTCTGAGTGACAAGGAAGGCGATTTGGAGGAAGAATCAGGGGGTGGGGAGGAATTGCTTACAAAGCAAGCAGCTTCAGTTTCTCAATCTGAGATTCGCTCTGGTTGAAGCAACATTGTAAACTTGCTCCAGGCTGAGCCTGACCAAAGAGCAAGGTAGAACAGGAGTTGCAGCACCATGGAGAGCTCAGAGTGAGATGCTTGCTCCAACAAATATCAAAACCATTTTTAAGCTTCTCCCAGGTTCTGCCCACTTGTAGAGAACTTAGTTTCTGCTGCTATGGAAGATTGTAATATTGGCTTTTGTTGGCCAGGCTCACTCAGACTCCTGAATGTGATCTAGGTCCTTAGTTGGTGATGCTGCAGCTTCTAACCCTGTTTCTTGACCACTGCTGGTCTTTGGGGTAGTGACAGTGGTGGCTGTCCTGCATACCATGCCTTGAGTAAATTAAGAGAAATTGCATTATTCACAAATAAGTCCTCCACTTCCCCTCCAATTTACCTGTCCCCAAGATGTGGAAGTAAACTGGAAGGTTTCCAGCATAACGCGGAGCATGGAGAGAAAATCCTGATCTTCATATTCAAAGCGGTTGCCAAAGGTGATGGAGCCGATGATGTTGGATACTGAGCGGCTCAGGGTGTAGGTGGGGTCAAAGGGTTCACCTAGAAAGAGAGACCCCCAAGTCACTCAGCCCTGGAGCAAGTCAAAAGTACACTTTGCAAATCAATTCAGTCTTTACTGGTGTTTTCTTTCATCTGCCTGTTTCTCCCTCGCCGTTCATCTAAAGGTGGCTTACAGAATATTAATTAGAAGAGTATTCACATAAGAACCACAATTACTACTTTCTGTAACAATTCATGGAACATCATCAAAATTAAACCAAAAGATTCAGTTTATCAGCATTCAAATTCTCAGTTAACCATCAACAGTTTCAATCATATCATATCATATCATATCATATCATATCATATCATATCATATCATATCATATCAATCTTTATTACGGTCCAGAGACCCAAGAAATCATTACAAAGCAATGCACAATTCAAACAGCCTATCTCCAGGTTAAACAAGCATTTTGTTCCGACTTAAAGATAGGGATCATTGGTTGTTGCAACCACTGATAAAAACTTCGCCACTGCTAATGTTCTAGCATTTGTCCAGTCTTCCAATAGGAACCTGACATAGTGAGCCTCTGATTTTCCCAGGAAAGGTACCAGCAAGAAGAAGAAGAAGAGTTTGGATTTGATATCCCACTTTATCTCTACCCTAAGGAGTCTCAAAGCGGCTAACATTCTCCTTTCCCTTCCTCCCCCACAACAAACACCCTGTGAGGTGAGTGGGGCTGAGAGACTTCAAAGTGTGACTGGCCCAAGGTCACCCAGCAGCTGCATGTGGAGGAGCGGAGACGCGAACCCGGTTCCCCAGATTACGAGACTACCGCTCTTAACCACTACACCGCACTGGCAAGGGTAATATCAGTTCAGCCCTGGCTTGCTCATACTTCGCACAGTGCAACAAAATATGTTTTAAAGAATCGATATCTTGAGCACATGAGCAAAGTCTGTCCTGGTAGGGAACTCCTCTCAACCTGCCATCCATCTATAATTATGCCACATTTCTTGAAGAAACCAAAACTGAGCTCACTTTTTGTTGCCCTCAGGGATTCCAGCAGGAAGTGGGTCTCCTCCAGGATCCGCTCTTCGAGGGATCTCTTTCCCATCCCAAAATCCCTCAGTGTCGTGATGGAGAATCGGCGTAGCGGTTTGGCCCGTTCCCAGTTACAGAAGGCAATCCCTGAGAAGCAAAGGAGGAGTAAAGGGAAGGAGGAACAGGAGAAGGTGCACTCAGTGGGAATGTGGCTGAAAACACACAGTGATAGAGATACCCACCCTTCATTTTCCAATCTTGTACAGTTTTAAAGTTCAGAATTTGGGAGAACAGCCTAAGATATGATGTGGGGTTTTATTGTTATTATTATTATAGAGGGAGAGAGACTCTCTGGCTCATTTACCTCCTCAGTAAAATGGATATAAGGGGACGTGGGTGGCGCTGTGGGTCAACCCACAGAGCCTAGGACTTGCCAATCAGAAGGTTGGCAGTTCGAATCCCCACGACGGGGTGAGCTCCCGTTGCTCGGTCCCTGCTCCTCACAACCTAGCAGTTCGAAAGCACGTCAAAGTGCAAGTAGATAAATAGGTACCACTATGGCGGGAAGGTAAACGGCGTTTCCGTGTGCTGCTCTGGTTCGCCAGAAGCGGCTTAGTCATGCTGGCCACATGACCCGGAAGCTGTATGCCAGCTCCCTCGCCCAATAAAGCGAGATGAGCGACTGGACCTAATGGTCAGGGGTCCCTTTACCTTTACCTAAAATGGATATAACAATAATCCACGGCACAGAACCACCATTGAGACTCTCCGGTGCTAAGCTTGCTAAAAGGTGCCATATAAATGCCAGTAATCATGTGCTCTGGGCAAGAATCGCCCAAGAAGAGACTGACCGTAACCCTGGAAAAGCCAGTCAAACGTGGCTTGCTCTCCACGGTCCCTGAACTCTTCAGCCTGGTCCACCAGAGCCTCCTTCACGGCATCGTATCCACACAAGACCACAACACGGCGAGGGCCTAAGTGGATGGTGTAGACAGGACCATATTTCTGATGAATCTGTGAAAACAGAACACAAGGTGAGCCTGCTGGTCAGGTTAAAAGGGAGCACATCTAGAGTCCAGTATCCTCTTTTCAGAGTGACCAACCAGATGCCCATTATGGGAAACCTTCAAGCTGGACCTGAACACAAGAGCGCTCTCCCCCGTGTGGTTTCCAGAATCTGGTTTCCTCCAACTGCGGAAGCAACGCAGATCCATTGTGGCTATCAGCTATTGGCATTTCCCTCCATTCCCACTTTCCATGAAGCAGAATAATGAAGTGAGAGAATCTGTATCTACAGCACCAAAGTGACCTCTCTGGGGTGCAAGCCTGTGCGGTGTGTAGGGGGGTCCTGGGCTGCCCAGACGGCAAGACCCCCCTCTCAGCCTCACTTAGGTGGTCCGAGGGAGAACAAAGCAATGCACTTGGCAACAGTTTGGCTGCAGGAGTTGCCGGAAGGAGGCATACGAGGCCTCATCCAAGCACCTTACAGACTCCACTCTGGATTTGCGTATGGTCTAATCCTTATCCCCCAAAGATATCTCACAAGGCTCTGGGTCCAGATCCCCCCCCCGAATCCTTTCTCATGAATGAGTGTAACCGTGAAGCAGAGGAGGTTTACGGTCAGAGTTCTCCTAGATTGTCTACCTTCTCAGGTTGATGAGCCCCTTCTGCCCCCATTTCTCCCTTCATGCAGAAACTGCTTTCTTGACTGATGGACCTGCTGTTGGTCTCTGTCTGCTGCAGCCCATCGTCGCATACAAGGCACCTCCCTAAATCACTGAGGGTTTGCAACCCATCGGATACCTTCACCTGTTTCAGCTGGTGAGTTTAAGCTGTTTCCTGGGGTCTGGCCACTGTCACATGCTGACAGCTTCTATTCATTATATTATGTTATTATATTATATTATATTATATTATATTATATTATATTATGTATTATATTATATTATATTATATTATATTATATTATATTATATTATATTATATTATTAATTTTCTATACCACCCTATACCTGAAGGTATAGGACCCATGGAGGGGAGGGGGAATTAACCCAAAAGGAACATGCTTTGTCCCCTTCAATATATACTGCTTCTCCCCAACACCTCAGAGAGAGAATCAAAAGCTGGAGAATGCGGTGGAAGGAGAATTATGAGGAGATGATGAGTCAAGTGGGAGAGAGAGAGAGAGAGAGAGAGAGAGAGAGAGAGAGAGAGAGAGAAGGGTGGGCAGGCGGATTGTATGGAGTGATCTTCATTCAGAAGCAGTATATAAAAACGATTTGATAATAACAAAGCAGAGAGTGGATAACTGAAACTGAAGTTACCTTCATGAGTGAACGGTACATATCACTTGTGTTGACTTGGAACAGGTTCCCGATGAAGGGGAGGGGAGTTGGTCCAGGTGGCATCTTGCTTTTGCGGTGCATCTGCCGCCATGTTGAGAGGACCATCAGGCAAGAGAGGCAGATGACCAGGAAAAGGGCCGCTGCTCCCAGAAGATCCATGGGGAGGTTGCGGGTGGCCTGTGGAGCTATGCAGGCAATGTGTTGCTGACCAGCTGGGAAGAGAAAATACCTGCGCAGTCCGAGTTGAGCCTGTTACATACCTTTGGAAGAACCCCCTCCTTGAAATTGTGCAAACTGTTTACTCTTTGCTCAGGGTCTTCTTTCAAGTCAAGAGAAGACCTTCCAGAGCAAAGTTCAGATGGACAGATAGTGGAGACAGGGAGTTGTCTGCCCAAGTTTGCACCACCATGGGAGCTTTAAGGAGTCCCAGAGTCAAACACAATTCTCTCACCTCATTTCTCAGAATTCTGTATCATTTGACAGGGTCTCTGCTGGTGTAAGACTAAGAGGAGAGCAGCAGAGATAGAATCGTAGAATTGTAGAGTTGGAAGGGACCCCAAGGGTCATCTAGTCCAACCCCCTGCAATGGAGGAATCTCAGCTACAGAATCCCTGACAGATGGGCCTCCAACAAAGGCTGCAAAGGGGTCACTGTAGCAGTAATAGAGTAGTCCAGAGAGTGAATGATAGAGACAGTATCCCATAATCAAATTCAAGGGCAGCCCCACATAAAATGCATTGTGGCAGTCACCACCAAAGGTGTAAGCAGAGCAGGAACAGGCAGGGGGAAAGCATCACCATTTATTTCACAGGAGGAATGCAGAACCATTTGTCAACCACACACACACACACACACAGTTTTCTCAGGGAGAAGCTCATCAAATAAGCTAAGCATTGAAAAGGGGTGGTGACATAAGCAGGCATGTCCACTTTTATCTTGAAATCCCCCTTTATTGGGGCCAACCCAGAATGTCACAAAAAACTGCGCAAGCCTCCAAGTCCAGCAGGACTCTTTATCAGGCTGGACGTTAAGCACAACGAGGGCAATTGGGCATTATGGGGAGAAATACGATTTGGTATTAAAAACATAAGGCCTGCCTTGATTTTTGCTGCATAGCCTTCAAAAAGGCATGGCTAGGGAGGTTGTCATGTTGAGCACATGCTCTTCAGAGATCAGTTTTCCAAACCACTCGGAGACTGGGGAATTTGAACAGAAATAGCACTGGGACGGTTAGGCTGAGGGCTTGTTCCAGTGGACAGAGAACGTTAGTGTGCAGTTCTCATAAGCTCACCTGAAAAGGGACATTTTAGAGTTGGGAAAAGACTCAGGAAAGGACAATCAAGATGATTCAGGGGATGGAGCAACTTCGCTATTTTGGAAGGTTGCAGCCTTTTTAGCTTAGAGAGAAAGTAAGAGGGGACCTGATACAATTTTACAAGATTATGCATGACATGGAGAAGGTGCATAGACAATTTTCTCTCTTAGGGAGTTTCTGCACATTTCAGAAAAGCCCTCTTGATTATTTGGCTGTGTGTGTGTGAGAGAGAGGGAAGTCTGTGGTTTTTGAATAGACAAGACGAGGACCAGCTTTCAGGTTGGACTTTGAAGACTCCTTCATGTGCCCAGAAAGTTCCCTTCTTCAGAAATGTGAACAGCCCAGTTCTGAACAAGAGCCCATCCCCATTTGGAGCCTAACCAACTAACCCAAGAAGAATTGCTCTGTTGGTATTTTGAAAATGCAAGATTATTTTAGGTCTGTTCTCAGATTTATCTCAACTTTACTGCTTTGAGGCTTTTTGGAGGTGGCAGTTTCTTTTTATTGCCCAGGTGAAGTTTCCTAAAACTCTCCCTGCTGCCTGAGACAACGTTTCTAAAACTTTGAAGCATGGGTTTCAAAGAAACTCAAGGCTGCCCATCTGATAATTAAAGGGATAATTATCTTTGTCCTTGTCTGTTTCTGCCTCTGCAAGGACCAAGGCAGACATGACTCCAGAGTTGCGTGAGCTATGTCAGAATCCTCTTCCCTCAGGCTGTTTTATACATATAGGTGCGGGTAACAGAAAGTAAAAGAGATAGAGGAGGGAAGATTCAATCTTGGATCTTTCTCAATCTGAGTTGCAGCATATATGTGACTGGTCACAGGTTCCTATGAACAACTGCTGGTTGCAAGGACAAAGTAAAGTTGCAAGATACTATATATGTGGAGAGAGCTTTGTTTAATAAGAGCTATTTTGAGATGCAAGGAAAGTGATTTGGGTCAGCCACTCTCCAAAGCAATCATGTTTCCCTTGGAAAGAGGAATAAGGCAAAGATGGGCTTTAAGGCTGTTGCTATAACCTGCTTGTGAGTGCTTGTGTGAAGACTCCTCTAAAGGCTCTGGACCAAGTGACTTCCATGGCAACACTGGGGCTCTCCCAGTTTGTTTTGGGCCCCACTCATCAAGCAGGCCACACACTGGATCTGATTTTTGGGGCTGGCATAGATGTGATCATGCTCCCCGCTGTGGAAGTGCCATGGTCTGATCACTACGCTCTGAAAGCCAAGATTGACTTCCCGCTCCTCCCCGGCTCGGGGGGGGGGGGAACCTATTTGGGCTTGTTCGCGAAAACTGATGGATCCTGATAGATTCCGACAAGCCTTGCGGAACCCTGATCCTCCTGGCGACTCATTAGATGACCTTGTTGAGGACTGGAATAACCGGCTCTTGGCAGCCATTGATGAGATCGCGCCTAAGCGCCCTCTGCGACCCCGTCGAAACCGGGCCCCTTGGTTTACTGAGGAGCTCCGGAAAATGAAGCGGGATCTCAGACGGCTAGAGCGAGTATGGCAACGGACTCGTGACGGAGCCTCAAGAACATCTTATAGGACGCTTATGAAAGCCTATGAGATGGCTATGAAAGCTGCTAAGAAATCTTACTTTGCAGCTTCCATTGCATCCGCTAGCTCTCGCCCGGCACAACTTTTTAGAATAATTAGGTCAATAATGTCCTTAGGAGGACAACCAAATTTAAGCACAAATTTGACCCACAGCTGTGAGGCATTCGTGAGCTTTTTTGCGGAGAAAGTCCTGTTGCTCCGCCATGACCTCCCTGCCAATTTAGATACAGTGACTGAACTGGAGGCCCCTCGACTGACTTCAGGTCCAGTGTTGGACCATTTCGATCGGATACTCCCTACTGATGTGGATAGATTCCTCCAAGTTGGTAGGCCCACCACCTGCTTCCTTGATCCGTGCCCGTCTTGGCTGATTAGGGAGTGTCCAGATGTTGCGCGGACCCCCCTGGTTGAAATTATCAATTTGTCCCTTGACACGGGGACGTTCCCAGGGGAACTGAAGGAAGCAGTGGTGTGTCCACTCTTAAAGAAAACTTCATTAGATCCCTTAGACCTATCCAATTACCGCCCAGTTTCAAATCTTCCATACCTGTGTAAGGTAATTGAGAGAGTGGTTGCTGAACAGCTTGGTAGGTTTCTGGAGGAAACATTGGCATTAGATCCATTTCAGTCCGGTTTCCGTCCTGGTTTTAGGACGGAGACGGCTCTGGTCGCCCTAACAGATGATCTCCGTAGACAACTGGATCGAGGCGGGTCAGGACTGCTGATCCTTTTAGATTTGTCAGCAGCCTTTGACATGGTCGATCATGATCTTCTGGACCACCGCCTCGCAGACGTGGGGATACAGGGCATAGCCCGTAACTGGTTGTGCTCTTTTATCTCTGGTCGGGGACAGAGGGAGGGAAATGTCGTCGCGCCACTCCTTGGTGTGTGGAGTGCTGCAGGGCGCAATTCTCTCCCCGATGCTTTTTAACATCTTTATGCGCCCCCTTGCCCAGATTATCCGGAGCTTTGGGCTGCGCTGTCACCAATATGCTGATGACACTCAGCTCTATCTGCTGATGGATGGCCGCACCGACTCGGCCCCGAGCACACTGACCAGATGCTTGGAAGCTGTGGCTGGATGGTTTCGTGGGAGCCGATTGAAACTAAATCCTTCGAAGACAGAGGTCCTATGGCTGGGTCGGGATGGCATGGGGATGAGGGACCAACTCCCTTCTCTTGCGGGGGCCCAATTAGTGCCATTGCCTTCCGTTAAGAGTTTAGGTGTAATCCTTGACGCCTCCCTTTCCATGGAGGCGCAAGTTACAGCAACAGCCAAGGCGACATTTTTCCACCTTCGCCGCATCAAGCAGTTGGTCCCTTACCTTTCCCGCCCCGACCTGGCCACAGTGATCCATGCGACGGTCATCTCCAGGCTTGACTACTGTAATTCGCTCTACGCGGGGCTGCCCTTGAAGCTGTCCCAGAAACTCCAGCGGGTACAGAATGCTGCAGCGAGGCTCCTCACGGGGTCTCTGCCATGGGAGCATATTCACCCAGTGCTTTTCAAGCTGCACTGGCTCCCGGTGGAGTACAGGGTCAGATTTAAGGTGCTGCTTTTGAACTTTAAAGCCCTTCACGGCCTAGGACCCTCGTACCTACGGGACCGCCTCTCCCGGTATGCCCCACGGAGAGCCTCAAGGTCCATAAATAACAACACCCTAGTGGTCCCAGGCCCTAAGGAAGTTAGATTGGCTTCAACCAGAGCCAGGGCCTTTTCAACTCTGGCTCCGGCCTGGTGGAACGCTCTGCCTCATGAGACCAGGGCCCTGCAGGATCTGATTTCTTTCCACAGGGCCTGTAAGACAGAGTTGTTCCGCCTGGCCTTTGGCTTGGAGCCAATTTGATTCCCTCCCTCCCTCTCTTCATTTCCTTCTCCTCCTGCGATGAGGCTACATTTTAATATTTTAATGTTCCATTATTTTAATGTTGTATTTTATTTTTGTTTTTAAGTTGTAATCATTCATCTTGTTTTTATTATTGCTTGTAAGCCGCTCTGAGCCCGGCCTTGGCTGGGGAGGGTGGGGTATAAATAAAAATTATTATTATTATTATTAAACCACACACCCCTGGATAAAACACCACCGGTCTTATGGTGTGCATGGTTTGCAAAAGGATTTTTCCGTAGAAAGGAAAAGAGAGACTGTTTGGAGAGACAGGGTAATTCAGGGTTACATCTGCAGCAGCAGCAACTAATTCTTTGCACTTCAATTGGTCGATTATGCTGGGCTGTTATGTGCTGTCACCCCCCTCTCCCAGGGGCTGCTGAGGCCTCACCTACAGAGAAATGCAAAAAAACCCCCCTCATTCTTCTTGAACTGCCCATTCCCATCCAGAAAGCGTTGGGGGCCAAAAATGTCTGGTCTTGCAAAATCTTGGGGCAACCCTAGTAAAATGTGCATCAAAAGGCATATACTATTGAGAAGCATATTTAAAAAATGCATGATTTGTTGTTTCTTTATTCACAACATGGGAACAGCAGACAACATTAGAATTTTGAGGGATACTTTTACAGCTGTGATTTGGGCATGCCTTATAAGCAGAAATGTGGGTAAGAGAAGTGAATAGAGAACCAAGATGAAATATGTGATCTTGCAGCTTTCTCAATTAGGGGTGCAGCAGAAAAAATGTACATTCACAAAAAAGTAATTTCAGAAAATTAGAAACTGTTAAAATTATCATTGCTAAAATTCTGGCAAGTGCCACAGCAAGAAGACTCAATAACATTAATGGATTATATAAACTAGATTTATTAAGAGAAGGCACCTGAGTACATATGTTGAAAAAGCAGTATACATTGTGAGGAAAGCAGAGATAAACAGGTTACTGTTTTATTATTTTTAAGTGCCACAAAAGCCTTTGACAGGGTAGAATGGCCCTAAGTATTTGAGGTATTGAGAAAAATTTATAAAGGTGATTGAAGCAGTTGCATTATCAGCTGGTTAAAGGAGAGAAATTTTCCATCTCCATACTCAAACATATTCCCAAGGATAATGGAACAGATGACACTGAAGAAACTTTGACTTACAATGGAGGTGGGTCTCAAAGGGTGCCCTTAGTTGGTGGATGGGGGTGCGGTGGGAGGGTGTGATGTCCCCTCTTCAGGGTCCCTGAGTCTTCCTGAGGAGGACTCAGATCCAAACAATGCACCATCATTGCCTCCTGTCCCTCCTCATACTGTGGATTGAGAGATGACCAGATCCCAGAGAGGCAAGATTTCCTAGGTTATGACTGACCTATGGCTGTAAAACCTTCCAGCAACTGTCATATCCTGCAGGGTTAACTATTCTTCCTTAGCTTTTGTTGTTGTTTAGTCGTTTAGTCATGTCCGACTCTTCGTGACCCCCTGGACCAGAGCACGCCAGGCACTCCTGTCTTCCACTGCCTCCCGCAGTTTGGTCAAACTCATGCTGGTAGCTTCGAGAACACTGTCCAACCATCTCGTCCTCTGTTGTCCCCTTCTCCTTGTGCCCCCCATCTTTCCCAACATCAGGGTCTTTTCCAGGGAGTCTTCTCATGAGGTGGCCAAAGTCTTGGAGCCTCAGCTTCAGGATCTGTCCTTCCAGTGAGTACTCAGGGCTGATTTCCTTCAGAATGGAGAGGTTTGATCTTCTTGCAGTCCATGGGGCTCTCAAGAGTCTCCTCCAGCACCAGAATTCAAAAGCATCCATTCTTCGGCGATCAGCCTTCTTGATGGTCTTCCTTAGCTACTCACTGGGAAAGTGACAGCAAAGGAATGTTGGCAAACAGACCACAAAGGAAAGAAGGCATGAAAGGGTTGGGGAAGGGGGGGGGGACCATTTCATGGCTGGACTAGATGCCAGAAGGGATGCTGATGGCCAGAAAGGGGAAAGGGGAGAGGTGCCTTGGGGAAGTGGGGTAGAGGAGGAAGAGGGCAGAGAGTCAGGGACCAGATATTTATTCACCTCTGAGATCGATTCCAAAAGAAATGAAGAGTAAGGAAATTCCACAAATGGACACAGAGCTAATGGAAATTCAAAAGAAAGAATCAAGACTTGGTATGGTTAGCCTGTTCTGGTGCGTTACATGTTGAAGCATGCCTCCTCCTTTGACACTTGGGTGGCCAAGGTGGGCGGCGATGGGGCTCCACTTCTTCAAGTCCTGCTTCAGAGGGGAATGACACACATTTCATAAAAACGCGGAAGGGTGGCAAAGCCAATCAGCATGGGAGAGACGTCAATCTTTTCAGGTGGGACGGGAGATTTGATGTGGAAGTTCTGCAGGATACTGGTGAAGAAAAGGAAGAGTTGCATCCGCGCCAGCTGCTCTCCAAAGCAATAGCGTTTCCCTAGGGAAGAGGAAGAAAGCAAAGACGGGCTGCTATAGCCTGCTTGGAAATGTTTGGGCAAAGACTCCTCTAACCCACACGACCATGCATAAAATAACACCACTGGTCCTTTGGTGTGCCTTGTTGGCAAAGGGATTTTAGGTAGAAGGGAAAAGAGATACCACTGGACAGACAGAGTAATTCTGGGGGAAATCTGCAGCAGCAACATCTCCTAGCAATTTTTCTCACTTCAATTGGTCCACCAGTGTGGTGTAGTGATTAAGAGCGGTAGACTTGTAATCTGGTGAACCGGGTTCGATTCCCTGCTCCTCCACATGCAGCTGCTGGGTGACCTTGGGCCAGTCACACTTCTTTGAAGTCTCTCAGCCCCACTCACCTCACAGAGTGTTTGTTGTGGGGGAGGAAGGGAAAGGAGAATGTTAGCCGCTTTGAGACTCCTTGGATATCAAATCCAAACTCTTCTTCTACTGGTGATTGGCCTATTATTTGCTGCAAACTCTATGGTCACCAGACGTCTCTGTTTCCCAGGGACAGTCCCTGGATTTTCAAATCTGTCCCCGGACAAAATCCGTCCCCGGAATGTCCCCGGATTTATATTTTAAGTGTTGTGGATTTATTAGTAAGGAATGAATGTTGCATGATTGGTTCAACAGCACAAAACACCGGGACTTCCGGTGAGGCAAAATGGCGGGCGCCATGGCAGTGGGCAGCTCCTGAAACCAGCCAGAGCCAACTGCGCTACCAGGCTGGCTCTGGGCTGCTGTGACTGCCACTGCCGAGGGGGAACCGGGGACGCCCAGTACATCAACTGGGGGAACCGCTGACCCCCCGCCCATGACCCAAATTGAGCCGGGAGCGAGAGTGCCCGGCCACCTGGCCGGCTGCCCAGCGGTGCTCGGGGGCCAGGAAAACCCTGGAGCCGATGTAGGGAGACGGAGGAGAGGAGAAGGAGAAGGAAATGAGAGAAAGAGGAAGGAGAAAAAAGAGGGGAGCCCCAACCTTGCCGCACCACTGCCATGCTGCTGAGGAGAAAAGGTAGGAGAGCACCAGGAGGGCAAGGTCACGTGGCCGAGACCAGGCCTGACCCGAGCCTACTCCATGGCAGATAGCACTCCAAGAGAGCAGGCCGGGGCCCAGAGGAAGGCCGTGCGACAGAGGAGACCACAGAAGAGAAGATATTACTTCTTAATTTTTTAAAAAAATAACTTAATTTTTTTTCTCTTTTCCAAAAAAAAAAAAAAAGTGTCCCCAGATTCTTTGGAAAAAATATGGTAACCTTAGTAAACTCCTCATCCCCCGAGGCTGCTGGGTACTCACCAATAGAGAAAGGCATAAAAGCCTCATTCTTCTTGAACTGCCCACTCTCATCCAGGAAATGTTGTGGGTCAAACACGTCTGGTCTTGCAAAGTGTCGGGGGTCTCTCAGCACAGACCCAAGCATGGGAAACACTTCCGTTCCCTGAAGAAGAGAGGGAGAGAAATAAGAAGATACGGGAGAAATGGGAGATTCTTCTGTTATGAAATCAGTGACAGTTCCCCATTTCTGTATTTCCTCCCTTGGTGAAGTGTGTCCCTCCCTCATTATTAACACTCATAAGGAATTTTAGAACATGCCTGTCCTCTTTGTGTGGTCTTCTCACAGGAAAGCCACTTCCGCCCTAAAGAGGAGGTGGGGTTGTGGGATTCACAGCCCCACCACACGTGTGGTGGGTGGAGGCCAGCCCCCGTGTGATCGGGGGGATTCCTGGCCACGTCACCCCCTGGCCGGCCAATCAGCCCGTTCAGGGGGCGTGGCCTGCCCTATAAAAGCAGGACACGGCCGGGGATCTCCCTGTTTGCCGCCCACCAGCTGTTCCTGTTTTGGTTGAACGTGAACCTGGTCGGCCATTTTGGGGAAGAGGAATGCTAGTGTTATGTACTGAGTTGAATAGGATCCAAAAGGCAGCAGTCTGATTGGTCCTAGAACAATAGGATTCAGAATGCAGCAGTCTGGACTGCCGGGTCAGCGCCATTGGTGAATGGCGGAGTTCCTCCGACCGGAGGAACGGGCTCCGTGGAAACTGGGTCTTCCCGCCGCGGCGAAGGTGGGGACCCGCTAGAAATCCCAGGCGGAGGAAGCCTGGGAACGTGGGGTTCGGCAGGGCACCAGAAGCGCCCCCCTACTCGCGGGGAATCCCATCTAGGGGCTCCGGAGCGAAGTGGGGTGAGAACGCGGTGCTGCGAACTGACTGCTACTTTCACGGAGTGAAGCCGCACAGCCATTGCCAGAGAGCACTGACTTCTTCCTGTGGACAATTGGACTTAAAACAAGTACCCGTGAGTAGAAACGGAAAATTGGATCAAGAAATTGTTTAATTTGGTATCGAAGCGGGAAGGTGCAAACAGGAAGTCCGCCTTCCGCTTTTTTGTATATAGACTAAAGCAAAAATTTTGCAAGCTAAAGCCGGGAAGCTGTCAAAAAAGACTAAATTTCCTTCATTCAGAATTACTGAAACCCCCCTTGGAAGCAGGAGCAAAGGGGGGGGGGGACTCTGTTTAACCCTAGCAGGAGAGGGAGTGAAGAAGGATAAGTTTCCACTGCCTCTAACCTGGGAAGGGGTGTCAGAGACAGAAACTGTTGGAGAGGTTCATTGACTGTGAACGTAATACTTTGACAGATAGCTAATGAAGAGAAACAAGTTGATTCTAATGTTGCCTTTTGCATTTTAAAGAAACAAAATATCTGAAAAACATCTGAAATATCTGAAAAATGAAAGTAACTTTCCTTTGTCTTAAAAAAAAAAATGGATACAAATAGTTTGTCTCCTCTAGAGGGAGCTTGCTAAATTGTTGCTGCAGGATATTTGAGACCTAACATCTGTGAGATTAAGACCGTGGGAAGTCTTTTCTGACCTTGAACAAAGATGAGCTGGAAGGAAGACTGGGTGCTTGCTTTATGCAAGACAAATGCTTTGCTGGAACAGATGCATGAGAAGATGGACTTGATGAATGAGAAATTGGATTTGACTGTTGTGGTTAATAACTGTGGAAAAACAGGGAACATTGATACAGAAATCATTCAGGAACCAACCTATGAATCTGTACTGACTGGGCAAGTGCAGATGACAATGGAGGAGGATGCGGCTGCACCTCAAATAGTACAAATGGAGAGACCCGAGGCCCTACAGGAGCATAAGCCGCTGTTATTGAAGATTGAAGTTGGAGTGGGCCAAGGGGAGTCTGGAGATGAGGAAGTTCCCAGCTTTGGAGAGATCTTGAAATTTGATTTTAAATACATTTTGGATTATATTGAGGACTGTGGGGAGTGGGACTGTGGGGAATGGGCGAGCTGGATGAAGGGCGATGGAGACAATTTTGAGTTGGAATTCCCCAGAGACCTGCTCCTCAATGAGAAAGGAAAGAAACTAAGACAGAGACCAACAAAAGACAAGGAAAAGGGCAAGTACAAACAAGATGAAGAAGAATTGCAGAAGGGACATGGAAGAGACTTAAGGGCCTCGGACATAAGGCTTCCAGGTTGATGGACTAGATGGAATGGACAGTAAGGACTGACACGACCCGAGACCAGGAAGAAGAGACGCTGGATGATGATTGAAAGAGAATTTATAATGGAATTTTATTTTAGAATCAGCTTAATGAATATTAGGGAAAATGTGGGAATGAAACTATACGACTCTAGCAGAAATGTTATCAGGAGCTATGTATATTTGAAAACTAAGATTTAAGTCTTAAGGTACTTAGGGGTAAGATAAGGTTAAATAAATTAATATAATTTGAATAACAGAATATGGGGAAAGATGGAAAGGATTTGTTGAGTTAATTATTAGGTTAAATTGTTAAGATAAAATTTATAACAAAAATTGAGAAAGATGGAAAGAATTTGCTGAAATAATTATTAAACTAGAATACGAAAAGGGAGGTGTGAGGAGGTCAATGAAACAAGCAAATGGAAATTATGGATATGCAATTTGGGATCTGTGTTTTTTTTCTTCTTTTTTCTTCTTTTTTTCGTTTTTTTGCTGTATTGTCGTATATTTTGCGCTTTTCTCCTTTTTTATTTTTTAATTTTTTATTTGTTTTTTTTGTATTGTAGTGTTGTTTTTTATTTTTTCTCTTTCTTGTAATCCTGAAATTATCAATAAATATTATTTTTTTTTAAAAAAACCAGAATGCAGCAGTCTGATTGGTCCTAAAACAATAGGGTCCAGATTGCAGCAGTCTGATTGGTCCACAGGAGCCACCCAATCCAGCTCCAGGTGGAAGTGAATCCGCAACCTGATTGGCCTACAGGTGAATCCCGGAAACAGCCAATCACGTGGGGCCCATTGTGTAAATAATGTATATAATGCAGACATTCTGGGGGAACTTCCATTCCTCCTCACCACTATGAGCTGAATAAAGAGCATGAAATCCACTCTCGACTCCGAGTACAGTGGTGCCCCGCAAGACGAATGCCTCGCAAGACGGAAAACCCGCTAGACGAAAGGGTTTTCCGTTTTGGAGGTGCTTCGCAAAACGAATTTCCTATGTGCTTGCTTCGCAAGACGAAAATGTCTTGCGAGTTCCTGCGGGGTTTTTTTCCTCCCCCCCCTTTTTCCCAAGCCGCTAAACCGCTTATGAGCTGATCAGCTAAGCCGCTTAACAGCTGATCGCTAAGCCGCTTATCAGCTGATCGTTAAACTGCTTATCAGCTGATCCTTAAGCCGCTTAACAGCTGATCGCTAAGCCGCTTATCAGCTGATCCGCTAAGCCCGCTAAGCCGGTAATACTGTAGCGCTAATCCGCTAAACCGCTAATGGGCTTGCTTCGCAAGACGAAAAAACCCGCAAGACGAAGAGACTCGCGGAACGGATTCTTTTCGTCTTGCGAGGCACCACTGTATATTTCAGCTAGGGATGATGGACCCAAGGTGGTTTCATCTGGCAGGGCTCCTCTGCTTTTATTATGGTTTTGACTCCACAGCAGTGATGACGGATGAGACAGAGACCAGCGGTGCCTTGGGAATATTAACTGGCCCATCATCCATATCTGGAAATAGTACTGAATGGTGGGGTCTCAGGAATTTTTAAAAAAGATAGAAAAATAAGTAATACCTTGGGAATGGTGTATCCCCGGAATTGAGTATCACGGGTTACTCGTCGTGATACCCCCATAGGAATTATGTCAGAGAATCTCTGGATCTCGTGGATCACAGCATCCGTATAGGGCATCAGGGGCCGGTCGTTCATGTTGGGACTGCGATTCCGGCCAATCACACGTTCAATCTCCTTATGGACCTTCTCTGTTGAGAAATCAGTGGGATAAAGAAAAGGGAGACCTCTCATAGCTGGGAAAGCTAACAGGCATATTCCCGAAGAAAGGAAGGCAGTTTCCTGCCTTCCACCCCATTCTGCTGTCACCTTGAACCTCCCTACATTCTTAGTGTGGTGTAGTGGTTAAGAGCGGTGGTCTCCTAATCTGGGGAACCGGGTTCGAGTCTCCGCTCCTCCACATGCAGCTGCTGGGTGACCTTGGGCTAGTCACACTTCTTTGAAGTCTCTCAGCCCCACTCACCTCACAGAGTGTTTGTTGTGGGGGAAGAAGGGAAAGGAGATTGTTAGCCGCTTTGAGACTCCTTAAAGGGAGTGAAAGACGGGATATCAAATCCAAACTCTTCTTCTTCTTCTTCTTCAAAAAAATATTTTTAAACAGACTATAAGGGCAATGGTTACTAAAAGTGACTCAAATTCCATGTATCTATCCACATGCACCCCATTATATTTTAAACTTAGAGAGGCCCATGAACATATGATTTACTTCAATGAACTGACTTTTGTACAACTCCAAAAAGCTTTTACAGAGTTACGATTAAATACAATAAACTCTGCTTCTAGAGATGGGAGACATAGAGGCATACCAGTAATTGAACGTGTTTGTATTAGGGGATGCCCTGAATTAGAGGACCTTACGCATTATATCTTGCTCTGCCCCTTATACACTGAGGCAAGAGAACGGTTTTTGACACCTATAATGATAAGGTCCCCTGGCCAGAATCCTTCTGACATGATTCTATATCTCCTTGCAGACATTGATAAGTATGTGACCTGGCGTGTAGCACTTTTTGCAACTGCCGCCAGGAAAATTAGAAAAGAATTATATAGCCGAGATAGCTATCAACTGTAAAGGAGATGAATTTATTTGACCCCATCTACACCAAGTTGTATTTTTCTCACTAAACTTTGTACATAATTCTCTGTTCTATTATTTAACATTACTTTTAATATATTAGTGGCCCCGCGGTGATTTTAGCTTATAAATTTTATTGTCCAATGTTTCAATTTGTATATTAAGGAGTTTTTATAGCTTTGTGCAGATTAGGTGATGTTTTGACAATATAAATGTTTTTAAGTTTCTGTATCAAATTAGTATATATTCTATTGAATGATATTGTATACATTGCAGCAGCCTTTGGCTATAAGCAATAAATTTGGCTGAATGACTTACCTTGAACCTCCGGGTATTTCAGCAGAAGAAGGAAGCCATAACGCAAGGTGGTGCTGACAGTTTCTGTGCCAGCAAAGAAAACGGCAAGAGTAGTCAAAACCAGATTCCTCAGGGAGAACTCGGAGTGTGGGTTTTCCTTTTCCTGGCCAGAAGGAAGAGGGGAAGGAGGAGGTTTCTCTTATTAAACATTGCTATAGTCTAAAGTCTTTCCCACAAGGCACTCTTTCTCTTACTGTTCAGCTGAGCTGCAATGGCGTCATGGTCAATCAGATAAGGGGATATGGACAGTCGCGGACTGTTGAAAAGGTGGCTTTAATTCATGGCCCTCCAAGTTGCGGGAATGTTCAGGGATGCAGGGGAGGATATATTGTTTGATTATAGCCTTTCCAACTTGTGTTAACAAGGTCACAATTTAGCAGAGTAACATTCCCCTTTTTAAACTCGCAGCGGGTGCGTTTGCTCAGACTAGCTAAAGCCTCTATAATAACTGTTCTGGTAAAGGTAAAGGGACCCCTGACCATTAGGTCCAGTCATGGCCGACTCTGGGGTTGCGGCGCTCATCTCGCTTTATTGGCCGAGGGAGTCGGCGTACAGCTTCCGGGTCATGTGGCCAGCATGACTAAGCCGCTTCTGGCGAACCAGAGCAGCGCACGGAAACACCATTTACCTTCCTGCTGGAGCGGTACCTATTTATCTACTTTCACTTTGACGTGCTTTTGAACTGCTAGGTTGGCAGGTGCAGGGACCCAGCAACGGGAGCTCACCCCATTGCAGGGATTCAAACTGCCTACCTTCTGATCAGCAAGTCCTAGGCTCTGTGGTTTAACCCACAGCGCCACCCACGTCCCAACTGTTCTGGTATTTCCCCCTTATTTCATCATAAAAGATAAGACACGACACAGTCTTCTATAAAAGTATAAAAAGAGTTTATTCACATTCTGTTCACAATCAGATCCCAGAAGGCAGACTTATCTTAGAAAAGTAACATACACCTGGAAACTATCTCATAAGGAGACAGTCCCTTTGTCCTCTCTTGGCTGGAAGCCAAGAGAACATCTTTGGCTAAGCGGATGTTGCTTCTTCGATGCATGTAGTCAAAGAGAGATGGCTGCCCTGCCCTGTGCTTTTGTCGTTAGCTGCACAGGTGAGGCCACGCCCACCTCTAGTCACATGCAGAGGAAGTCTGTCCTAGCCCAGAAGTTTACCTGCTGGCTGGACAAACATTCCTCCCCATGTGTAAACATGTTCACTCTAGGAATGTTGTACTTGACTGCTCTTGTGTTTCACATCCCACACAAGTTGGCATGGGGCAAGACAACTTTCTTTCCCAAGAAGATCACCACAGTTCTTGGAACGCAATAATCATACCTGATGCATTTTCACAAGGAAACAGTCGATAAAATCCCGAGGGGAGTTGGGGTCCAGGGTCTCCTCATTGGCTTTTACTTTCCTCGTGATGAACTTCTCCAACCCTAAGAGTTGCTTGAAGGCTTCCTGCTGTGGGCCAGGCAGGTACTGCATGACGCCCGAGAACATGTCGTAGAGCTGCAGAGTCATGGGGAGGAAGAGAGACCCGATATTTCCCCAAGTGAAGCTGAGATAAAGGTGCTGTTTGCGTCTGAGGCTCACCTAACACACCCAACATCCGACCCTCCCTTTATGGTGGAGGCTGATGCCTCTGACAGGGCAGTGGGAGATGTGTCTGCAAGCTGATGAGGAAAGGGAGCTGAGGTCATGCGCCAGCCATTCAGTCATGGGCGTGGTCGGAAACCTGGAAGTGTTTCTCTTGCCAATACAGAATTAACTATCAGACAGGTGCCTTCCTTATCTGGGACAGGCTGTGACAGTAGGCACAGAGACAAACAGAAGTTGTATAAGGCCTTCAAGGGGCATGTCTGAGGTCCAGCGCCGAGGGCCTTCTGGTGGTTCCCTCAGTGCGATAAGCCAAGTTACAGGGAACCAGGCAGAGGGCCTTCTCGGTAGTAGCGCCCACCTTGTGGAACGCCCTCCCACCAGATGTCAAAGAGAACAACAACTACCAGACTTTTAGATGACATCTAAAGGCAGCCCTGTTTAGGGAAGCTTTTAATGTTTGATGCATTACTGTATTTTAATATTGTGTTGGAAGTCGCCCAGAGTGGCTGGGGAAGCCCAGCCAGATGGGCGGGGTATAAATAAAAAAATATGATGATGATGATGTCTCTGGTGCACTCCTAGATTGGTGTTGTGTTGTGTGAGGCATTTGGTTTCTCAGGCTCAGGGAAAGACATCTCTCCTGGTTCTGGTGCTATTTGTACTGTGAGCTTCTGTTGGCCAGCCTCACTCAGACTCCTGAAGGTGGTCTGCTTGTTAACTGGCAATGCTGCAGCTTCTGACAGTGTCTTGATCACTGCTGGACTTTGGGGTAATGACTGATTAAGAAGAATTGTATTATCCACACACTCACAAAGGAAGTCCTTCTCATCTCCTCCAATTTACCTGTCCCCAAGAGGTGGCAGTGAACCGGAAGCTACCCAGCATCATGCTCAGCAAGGAGTGGAACTCCTGATCTTCGTATTCAAAGCGGTCGCCAAAGGCGATGGAGCTGATGACGTTGGACACCGTGCGGCTCAGGGTGTAGGTGGGGTCAAAGGGTGCACCTAGAAAAAAAGACACACCCACACTGTGCAAGTCACTCAACCCAGGAACAAATCAAGAATACACTTTGCAAAGCAGTCCACTCTAACCTTATTACAGTGGTACCTTGGGTTAAGTACTTAATTCGTTCCGGAGGTCCGTACAGAACCTGAAACTGTTCTTAACCTGAAGCACCACTTTAGCTAATGGGGCCTCCTGCTGCTGCCGTGCCGCCAGAACACAATTTCTGTTCTCATCCTGAAGCAAAGTTCTTAACCTGAGGTACTATTTCTGGGTTAGTGGAGTCTGTAACCTGAAGCGTATGTAACCCGAGGTACCACTGTATTTCTTTGAGCAACATTTCTTCGCATGGATGTAGAGTGTTGGTGATGTACAGTCATACCTCGGTTTACAGACGCTTCAGGTTGCGGTTGTGAACTGCCGAAACCTGGAAGTACCGGAACGGGTTACTTCCGGGTTTTGGCAGTTGCGCATGCGCAGAAGTGCCAAATCACAACCCGAGCGTGCACAGATGCGCCGCTGCGGGTTGCGAACGTGCATCCGCACGGATCACGTTCGCAACCGGAGCACCCACTGTATTTAGCTTAGGCTAAGTTACGTCTTTTCCCACCCATTACCAAAAATAAAAGCAGCCGTGATAATATTCAGTATAAAGCCTTCAGCTGCCCACTTAACTGCCCACAGTTCTAACTATCACTGTCAAGCGTTTCTGTCACCTGTAACTCATTAAGCAGCATTTCTTGAAGGTACCAAAACTGAGCTCACTTTTTGTTTCCCTCAGGGATTCCAGCAGGAAGTGGGCCTCCTCCAGGATCCGCTCTTCGATGGATCTCTTTCCCATCCCAAAATTCCTCAGAGTCATAATGGAGAATCGGCGTAGCTGCTTGGCCCGTTCCCCGTTGCTGAAGGAAACCCCTGGGAAGCAAAGGAGCCAGTGAAGTGAGGAGGAGAAAGAGGAGCTGGAAGGTGACACCATTTTAAGCTAGCCTTAAGTATGTCATTTTAACTGGATTATGATATTAAGCCTCCCTGAAAAATGCTACTATATCAGTTACTCTTCAACAGGCATTCTGAGTAAATGCTGTTTTTCCCTTTTGTGGCATTATTTTAAGAGGGAGAAAAGAGGGAAATACCAGGAGAATCCAGTCTGCCTTAAATCATCCTGGATTAGCTACAATAGTTTTAGCCTTTTAATTTATCAAAGCTTCTCTGCAAAGGGATGCACTCTGTGGAACTCAGAAATGTGAGGAAGGAAGGAGAGTATCTAATAAATGTATAATCTCCTACCATCTATTCACATCCCAACATTTAAGAGTACCTGGGAGAACAAAAGAGACAAAGACACAGTTGACAGTCAACTGATAGAAGGCACTTGCAGACTCAAGAGCTTTTTCAATATTATCTATGCTTGCAAAGCCACTAAGTTACATCAGTGGTCCTCTACTAAATATTCAGATGCAAATCCCATCTCTTCTATGACTTGTCTGAATTGTCGGAGCTTCCGTACGACTGAGCTGTAATGGCTCTTCTCCGTGTCGTATCTTTGGAATCCATCGACCTCTGCTATGATGTCATTAACGACCTAAGCCTTTGAAGGAGGCTTCAGGCACGCTCCCATTACGCAGAGTATCCAAACAGCAGCAGGAGAGCCAGAAATATGTGCTACATTGATACATTTATTTCTAACTACACAGGACAGAAAAGAATATGCGTCTGCTCTCTGTGAGAGACAGAGAACAACAAGAAGAAAGAAACAGGAAACCAGTAACATCAACATCCATCTCCCATCTCCCGTGAGACTTCCAACAGTCTGGAATGTCAACAGAGACTTGTGACTCCAAAAACTGCACAGTGGCATAACAGAAATCTAACATGAATGACATAGAGAAGCCCTCTCTCAGCCTGTCCTCAGCGAAACTGGTATAAGAAAAATCTACTTCACAGGACCACTGCTAAGTTCAATGCCAGAACAATGGTAGTAATGATGCGCTCTGGCCAAGGGTTGCCCACGGGGTGAGCTCCCGTTGCTCGGTCCCTGCTCCTCACAACCTAGCAGTTCGAAAGCACGTCAAAGTGCAAGTAGATAAATAGGTACCACTCCGGTGGGAAGGTAAATGGCGTTTCCATGCGCTGCTCTGGTTAGCCAGAAGCGGCTTAGTCATGCTGGCCACATGACCCGGAAGCTGTATGCCAGCTCCCTTGCCCAATAAAGCGAGATGAGCGACTGGACCTAATGGTCAGGGGTCCCTTTACCTTTACCTAAAATGGATATAACAATAATCCACGGCACAGAACCACTATTGAGACTCTCCGGTGCTAAGCTTGCTAAAAGGTGCCATATAAATGCCAGTAATCATGTGCTCTGGGCAAGAATTGCCCAAGAAGAGACTGACCGTAACCCTGGAAAAGCCAGTCAAACGTGGCTTGCTCTCCACGGCCACCAAACTCTTCGGCCTGGTCCACCAGAGCCTCCTTCACGGCATCGTATCCACACAAGACCACAACACGGCGGGGCCCTAAGTGGATGGTGTAGACAGGACCATATTTCTCACGGATCTGTGAAAAGAGGGGGAGGGCATTGTGCGAGGTCATGGAACAGATGGAGAGATGCAGCAAATTGCTCACCTGCCTCTGCAGAGATTAGTAGCTCCTGAAAGCCTAAGCCTAATTAGGCAATGAAAAACACACTGAGATTAAGACTGGAATCATGGAATTATAGAGTTGGAAGGTACCCCAAGGGTCATGAGAAATGAGAACAATGAGAGAAACAGATTCAACCACCTCTACAGCCACATGACACCAGCAGGCTATCCTGAGAAAACTTGTCCTCCATCACCAGATTTGCGGTTGAATCCGGGCTGGTCTCAGATATTAAATTGCCCTGCAATCTACCTGCGTAGTTGGTGCCAACAAGCTGAATCTGGGTGGGGAAGAGAGTTATCCAGGCCAAGCCCTGGGAGAAGATGATCTTGGATTAAGGCAGGGCTCTTGTTCTCCCAGGACTTTGTTTCCCTCCTTGGCCAATATTTTTCCTCTCCAAATTCAGCTGGTTGGCACCACTTACATAGGTAAACTGTAGGGCCATTTGATAGCTGCTCAGATTTTGTTTTGAACTTTGATCATTTGTTTGCTTTTGCATTTGTGTGCATTTGTTATTTGTCAACCACCTTAGGGGACTTTTTTGGTTGAAAGGTGAGTATAATAAATTAATAATAAATAAGTTACACAACATAACACGCCATCTGGATAATCCCTGGGCACCACCTCCAAGCCTGGACAAGCTCAGCACAGTCTCCAGTTTCACCTACCTGGTGGAGCAGGTTCTCCTCAGTGTTGGATTTCCAACTGATTCCAAAGAATCAAATAGTTGGATCTCCTTACGCGGTGCAATATTTATTTCTGGTTATGTTTGCATGCAACCTTTCTGTTAAGGATACCAGGGCTGAAACTGAGCATGGCGCCAAGTGGGTAAAATAAGCCGGGCTGCAAGACTTACCACATGGCGGTGCAGCTTTGAGCAGTCTCTGCCCCACATAAAAAGGTCAGGGACCCCTGACCGTTAGGTCCAGTAGTGGCCGACTCTGGGGTTGCGGCGCTCATCTTGCTTTATTGGCCGAGGGAGCCGGCGTACAGCTTCCGGGTCATGTGGCCAGCAGGACTAAGCCGCTTCTGGCGAACCAGAGCAGCGCACGGAAACGCCGTTTACCTTCCCGCCAGAGTGGTACCTACTTATCTACTTGTACTTTGACGTGCTTTCGAACTGCTAGGTTGGCAGGAGCAGGGACCGAGCAATGGGAGCTCACCCCGTCGCGGGGATTCGAACCGCCGACCTTCTGATCGGCAAGTCCTAGACTCTGTGGTTTAACCCACAGCGCCACCCGCATCCCAGCAAAAATGGCGTCGAGAAAGGATGTTCCTGGCTGATCTCCACAGCCTGTTTTGATTGTTTAATTGGGCTTTGTTTGTGTTATGTACTGAGCTGAGTCCTAGATCAATAGGATCCAGAATGCAGCAATCTGATTGGTCGGCAGGAGCCACCCAATCCAGCTCCAGGTCGAAGTGCATCAGCAACCTGATTGGCCTGCAGGAGCAGCCAATCAGGCTCCTGGATGAAGTGAATCAGCAACCTGATTGGCCTGCAGGAGCAGCCAATCATGCTTCTAGAGGAGGTGAATCCTCAACCTGATTGGCCTACAGGAGCACCCCAGAATTAGCCATGGGGCCCACTGTGTAAATAATGTATATATAACTGGATGTTTTGGGGAAAGTTTCATTCATTGCTACTATGAGCTGAACAAAGAGCATGAAATTCGCACTTGACTCTGAGTATATTTCAGTTGGTTTTTCTCATAATAATAATAATAATAATAATAATAATTTTTTATTTATACCCCGCCCTCCCCAGCCAAGGCCGGGCTCAGAGCGGCTTACAAGCAATAATAAAAACAAAATGAATGATTACTACTTAAAAACAAAAATAAAATACAACATTAAAATAATGGAACATTAATATATTAAAATGTAGCCTCGTCGCAGGAGGAGAAGGAAAAGAAAAAAGAGAGGGAGGGAGGGAATCAAACTGGCTCCAAGCCAAAGGCAAGGCGGAACAACTCTGTCTTACAGGCCCTGCGGAAAGAAATCAGATCCTGCAGGGCCCTGGTCTCATGAGGCAGAGCGTTCCACCAGACTGGGGCCAGCGTTGAAAAGGCCCTGGCTCTGGTTGAAGCCAATCTAACTTCCTTAGGGCCTGGGACCACAAGGGTGTTGCTATTTATGGACCTTGAGGCTCTCCGTGGGGCATACCGGGAGAGGCGGTCCCGTAGGTACGAGGGTCCTAGGCCGTGAAGGGCTTTAAAGGTCAAAGCAGCACCTTAAATCTGACCCTGTACTCCACCAGGAGCCAGTGCAGCTTGAAAAGCACTGGGTGAATATGCTCCCATGGCAGAGACCCCGTGAGGAGCCTCGCTGCAGCATTCTGCACCCGCTGGAGTTTCTGGGGCAGCTTCAAGGGCAGCTTTATGTGATGCTGCTGTTGCTGGCCTAGCAGCTATCTAATTTATCAGGGGGCAAGGACCTTTTTTGTGTTGTTTTACTCTCTGAGGAGCCAAGAATTGCTAACCAGTTTTAAAGGGAGTTCAACAGCCCCAGGTCAGCCACCTCTTTGGAGTTCTTGCCATTTTATCTTCACTGGTTTCAAACTTTAAGGACTTTTAAACTTTTTAAAAACCAAAGTTTCTGAATAGGAATCTGGCAGATGTGGTAACTGATCCTTTAAACTGTACGCCTTCTGGGATAAACAGTCTGCCAGTCTGATGCTTCTCACAGTCCTTAAAGGGTGTCTTTGGGTTATAACTATATGATTTCAAGAGACGTGTGTTATCTATTTGTGTAGATGAACCAGAACAAGCTCAATAATATGCACTCTATAAAACAAGAAATTTCAGCACTGAGATCTGCTTTGGATTCTATAGTGGCTCTGAGAGGAACCGGGGATTTTGAAGGTAGCATCCGAGGAATTTTGTGAGAGGAAATCAGAAGTGCTCCAGGCTGATTAACTTGGAATTGGAGCAGTTAGGATTGAGAATGGGAACATCCCTTCCAATGAGCCCTCCATCCTATTCCATCTAAGGAGAAAATAACTAGACTGACAGTACATAGAAAAGCTTTTTGGGGTTTTTGCATTAACGCTTTGGGACCCAGACCTGGTTGTTTTGAATGAGTGGCATTATGATGACTGGTAGGAGGGCAGTTCTCAGTCTTCACCTGCGATGGGAGCTGCCATGGAGGACTCTTAGAGGGTTGGCAAATGCCTGGATGTTGACCTTCATAAATCACTGCAAGAAGAAAAGTTCCTTTTTTTTTAATTAAATGATATTTATTACTTTTTCAACATTTCCAACACAACACTACAAACAAACAAAAAGAAAAAGAAAAAACAAAAAACAATACAAATGCAATACAAAAACGCTACATGGACTAACAAAACAAACAAAAACAATTTAAAAACACCTCAAACATTTTCAATATCTTATATTTCATTCACTTATTTCCAGCGACCTCCTCACACCTCCGTTTTTGCATTCCACTTCTATTATTTGTTTCAGCAATTCCTTTCCATCTTACTCTGTTTTCTGTTCTATAAGTATCTTAACACATTCTTACCATACTTTCCCTTTAATTTTCTATTAATCTATTTATACTTAATTCTTATGACATTTCTACTAAAGCCATGTAATTTCATTCCAACATTTTTCTAACATTCCTTAATTTTACAATATTTCTATAAATAGTCTTTAAACTTTTTCCAATCTTCTTCCACCGACTCTTCACCCTGGTCTCGGATCTTGCCAGTCCTAAACATTAGGAAGAACTTCCTGACAGTAAGAGCTGTTCGACAGTGGAATTTGCTGCCAAGGAGTGTGGTGGAGTCTCCTTCTTTGGAGGTCTTTAAGCAGAGGCTTGACAACCATATGTCAGGAGTGCTCTGATGGTGTTTCCTGCTTGGCAGGGGGTTGGACTCGATGGCCCTTGTGGTCTCTTCCAACTCTATCATTCTATGATTCTATGATTCTATGATTTCCGCCAATTCCATATAGTCCATCAACTTCATCTGCCATTGTCCAACACTTCAGTGTTTTCAAAAAGCAACCATTCTCTTAACCAGCAAAAAGCAGATGGTTCACAACGAAGTTTAAAGGTCTGGCATGGCAGGTCCACCTCCTTCTTTGGCATCCATCAATATCTTAAGTTTTACTCGAGGCTTCCTGCCCTGCCAAACAACTCTAGGAGCATCCCTCTGCCACCTCCTGAAACCCTCCGTCCCATCCAAAGCTTGCAATGTTTGAAACAAAAGCAACATCCCCAGCAACACAGCAGCCCTCATCCCCGCCACAATAACTTGGCCCAACAGTAACAACTTCTGATTTGTCCATATTTCCAAATCCCCCTTCTCTTCAATCCAACATCCTTCACAGTTATCCTTAAGCAGATTCACATTTTTGGCGGTCATACTAACCCCCAAATACCTCTCTTTCTCAACCAATGTTAGACCTGTCACCTCCTGAAACTCTGTCAAGCTTTCCTTTTCCAATTCAGATAGGGCTCTGGTCCTCAAATTCATCCGTTCTTCTTTAAGTTCAATCATAACAAATGTCAGCTTATGTTCATCAAGTTGTCTTTGTATGGATGGGACTCTCCTCTCCAGTTGTATTACTTTGGATTCAGCAGCAAGGGTTTTTTCCCTGACTTCATCTGTAGTTTGCCATAGCAGAGTAGATTCATGTGTCAGTTTCTGGGTGGTTTCTGAATTGGTATTCACCTTTTGTCCCAACTTGTTTAAACTTTCTACACTTGAAATCAATTTCAATATTTGCAACATCCAATTTCACATTTATCGCATCTGTTTTCTTGTGGAGTTGTTCCAGCGAGTCGTTTATTTTCAATAATGCAGCCACTAAGGCCTCCTCTGTCGACATCCCGTCTGTTTTTTCCTTTCCGTTTGCCATAACACTTAAGAGATTCAAGGTCAATTCCAAAGTCTCACACTTTTTTATCTTGCAGCTGGAAATTCCACTAGCCCAGCTCCTATAAAGTTACCAATTTCAAAAGCTTCCACTAGGGGAAAACAGGTTGTATTTGTATCGGTCAGTATGTCCTCTTTTAAACACAGTTTCAATAATCCAAAGTTAGTTTCAATTTTCAGTTACTTTCCTCCTTTTTTAAAAAAACAACCAGAGGCAGTAGAAACAATGTATTCTCTTGATTAGCTACCTGTCAGTGAACGTTCTAAACGCTGTCAATGGACGTTCCAAAAAACATCAATCCTACTAGCAGCCCGTTTCCAGGGTCAGAGCGGCGGTATTTTAACTCTCTTAACTCTCTCCTACAGGCATATTCAGTCCACCACTTCCCCCCCTCTTCTCCTGCCTCCAAAAAGGGGGGATTTGGTTCTTTACCTATGGTAATTTAGTCCTGTACGAAAGGCTTTCCAAGACTTTGGCTTGCAGTCTCCTTGCTTCAGTTAATCTACAAAAGAGGAGGCGGACTTCCTGTATTGAACCTCCCCGTTTCGATGCCAGATTAAACGTTTAAAAATCCAATTCTTCCCGATTCAGCTCTACTCACGGGTAATTACTTTAGAGTCAAATTGTCCACAGGAAAAAGTCAGTGCTCTCCGGCAACAGCTATGCGGCTTCGCTCCGTGGAAGAAGCAGACGATTCGAAGCACCGCGCCACTCACCCCACGTCACTCCGGGTCCCCGAAATCGGGTTTCCCCGCGAGTAGGGGAGGCGCAAAAGGTGCCCACCGAATCCCATGTTCACAGGCTTCTCCCGCCTGTGATTTTTACTGGTCTCCGCCTTCGCCGTGGCGGTACAGACCCAAATTCCCACGGGGCGAATTCCTCCCGATCAGAGGAATTCCGCCATTGCCGGAGGCACCAACCCGGAAGTCAAGAAGAAGAAAAGTTCCTATGCCCATTTATACCACAAAGAATTCGTAACCCACCTACTTTCAGCAGCCAGAAACACCATAACCAGACACTGGAGAGACCTGTCAGGAGTAAGCATGGACCAATGGTACCAAATAGTATGGGAAACAGCCCTGCTAGAAAAACTAACCAATAAACTGAAACTGACACAGGGACAAATAGAAGACGCCTTCACCCCGGTATGGCTCCCCTTTATCACATACACAGCCCAACAAGACAATGACAAAAATCCACCAACAGCATACAAATCAATATGGCTAACCTGATCCAAAACACCCACCCACCTCACTCACACATGAAAACAAAGACCACCACAGCCAGTCACAAACAAACAACCACACCCCAGGCCAACCCCAACCTCTCTCACCATCAAACGAACACAATTACGTTTCTGAGCACAATTCAAAGTGTTGGTGCTGACTTTAAAGCCCTAAACGGCCTCGGTCCAGTATACCTGAAGGAGCGTGTCCACCCCCATCGTTCTGCCCGGACACTGAGATCCAGCTCTGAGGGCCTTCTGGCGGTTCCCTCCCTGGGAGAAGCCAAGTTACAGGGAACCAGGCAGAGGGCCTTCTCGGTAGTGGCACCTGCCCTGTGGAATGCCCTCCCACCAGATGTCAAAGAGAAAAATAACTACCAAACTTTTAGAAGACATCTAAAGGCAGCCCTGTTTAGGGAAGCTTTTAATGTTTAATAGGTTATTGTATTTTAGTGTTTCGTTGGAAGCTGCCCAGAGTGGCTGGGGAAATCCAGCCAGATGGGCTGGGTATAAATTATTATTATTATTATTATTATTATTATTATTAGTGAATAGCACAGAACCTGCACAAGCGACGCTGACACAAAATCCCACATATATTAAGTATAATAGAAACATCGCCACCCGACTCCACCCCATCTCCCCCCCTTTCCCCCTTCTTTTTCCGAATGTCTCAACAAATGAAACTGATCTGTAAAAAATGTTACTTGGAGGAAAAAAGAGAGAGAGAGAGATTGCACATACTTTTGTAAACTAAGAAAATCTTTAATAAAAATACATTTTTTTAAAAAAGAAGAAAAGTTCCTCACTGATTCCAACAGCAGCACCAGGAACGTCTGATAGATTGGTCCCCCCGGAAAGTCAGATTTTGATTACTATACTTCATTGCAGGAGGAACTTTAACCATTACTAATTGTGTTGCCATCTTCAGTTGGCCCCTAATAGGGTCAAATAACATAAGGGAATCAGAGGTGCCACAGGATATTTGACATATGATAGGGGAAGCCTGGGATTGTAAACTGCTTCTGCATATACGTCACTAGGTCTATGCACATAGTCATTGGGCCTGGGTGGGGTTGGGTTATTTTTTGGGGGGTGGGGGAAGCCTGCTATATAAATTTAATGGCAAATGCATCTCCTTTAAATCAGTTCCCAGACCAAATGAGCAAATTTTTCATCAAGGTATCTTAAGCTTGCCTCTTGTGCAAATGCCTGTAAATCTAAATTTCAGAAGGCTGTCTCCCTATTTAGAACAGGACAATCGTCTTTCTTTTTTATCATCACCTAATAATGTCCCCAGAGGGCACTCTCAACCCCCAGAAGCTAGATCTAACATCCAAAAGTTAAAATCAGAGGATTTCCTAACACACGAGATACCTGTCAAATCACAACCCCCAGAAGCTGCCCAAAAAGTGTGACCTTGTGTCAAAAGGAACTAATAATATACCTGCTGTACAGCTCGGTTGGTTAGAGCATGGTGCTGATAAATTAAAATTAAAATTATTATATTATTATATTATTTATTTAAAAAATATATTTATTTAAAAGAAAGGCACACTAAAATGCTGACTAATTTTTTTGAGGACATGAGAATTGACAGATGTGCCCATCCCTTCACTCAGGCAGAAACATACAGTGGTACCTCGGGTTACATACTCTTCAGGTTACATACGTTTCAGGTTACAGATTCCGAATACCCAGAAATAGTGCTTCAGGTTAAGAACTTTGCTTCAGGATGAGAACAGAAATCGTGCTCTGGCAGCACGGCAGCAGCTGGAGGCCCCATTAGCTAAAGTGGTGCTTCAGGTTAAGAACAGTTTCAGGCTAAGTACAGACCTCCGGAACGAATTAAGTACTTAACCTGAGGTACCACTGTAAAGAGAGAGAGAAGCAAAAGCTGGAGAATGTGGTGGAAGGAGAATTATGAGGAGATGATGAGTCAAGTGGGAGAGAGAGAGAGAGAGAGAGAGAGAGAGAGAGAGAAGTATGAGTGGGTAGATAGATGGACGTTACCTTCATTAATCAACAGTATTTAAGAATGATTTTATAATAACAATTTAGAGAATGGCAAACTGTGCTCTGACACATTATCGAAAGTTACCTTCATAAATGAACGGAACATGTCACTTGTGTTGACTTGGAGCAGGTTCCCGATGAAGGGGAGGGGAGTTGGTCCAGGTGGCATCTGGCTTTTGCGGTGCATCTGCCGCCATGTTGAGAGGACCATCAGGCAAGAGAGGCAGATGACCAGGAAAAGGGTTGCTGCTCCCAGGAGATCCATGGGGAGGTTGCGGGTCGTCTGTGGAGCTCTGAGTAGCTGGGAAGAAAAAACACATGCACAGCCCGAGTTGAGGCTGTTATGTAACCGTAGCTGAGGGATAACACCCTTTGTGGAGTTGTGCAACTTGTTTGCAGTCACACCTCTTGGTCTCCTTTCTATTCAAGAAGAGAAGAGCCTCCTGCCAAAAGTCCAGAGGTCTTATTTTTTGCGTGAGACAGTCCTGCTTCATTGATTTTTCATGCTTTATGTACAAGAGAGAACTGGCACTATCTGGAGATTATTTCTGAAGCAGAGGATGGCTTCTCTGCATCAGAGGCCAACCCCTTCCAGCGGTCTCCAGATGTTGTTGGACTACAACTCCCATCATCCCTGAGCTCTGGCCTTGCTAGCTAGGGGTGAGGGGAGTTGTAGTTCAACAACATCTGGGGACCCACAGGTTGAGAAAGGCTGCTTTAGGCAGAGATGGGTGGATTCTGTGTCTCAACGTATTAACGTAGTATGACAGAGATAGACCCAAATGATTTCCACAAATACAAGCACAAAACTATCAAGGAGAGAGGCACTTACGAGGGAGTGTCCTGCCCAAGCCCACACCACTAAGAGACCTTCATGGAGTTCCCAGGACATGCAGAATTTCCTCCCACTTTTCCAAATTGTTGGACAGGGTCTCTGGTACATAAGACAAGGAAGAAGGACACAGAGATGGAGGCTGTTGAAGTGTGTGTGGCCGTGATGGACTGTCCCAGGAAGCCAAGGGCAGAGATAGAATCCCAGAAGCCCCACTTTCTGTATCTCCCTTTATAGCTTAGGACCCTCGTACCTACGGGACCGCCTCTCCCGGTATGCCCCGCAGAGGACCTTAAAGTCTATAAATAGCAACACCCTAGAGGTCCCGGGCCCTAAGGAAGTCAGATTAGCCTCAACCAGAGCCAGGGCCTTTTCAACACTGGCTACCACCTGGTGGAACGCTCTGTCTCATGAGACCGGGGCCCTGCGGGATCTGATTTCTTTCTGCAGGGCCTGTAAGACAGAGTTGTTCTGCCTGGCCCTTGGCTTGGAATCAACTTGATCCCCTTCCACTCTTTCCTTTTTCCTTTCTCCTTCTGTGATGGAACTCCTATTTGGGGACTTCCCTGGCTTTTTCTGGCCCACGTAGGACCAGTCTGGATAGTTAGCCTTGGTGAAGATTTGACGTTTTCATCCCCCAAAAGTTTTTGATTTGAGTTTCTACTGAAATGAGGCTGCATTTTAATGTTGTATTTTAATCTTGTTTTTAAGTTGTATTTTAATCAATTTTTTTATACCCGGTGTTAGCTGCCCTGAGCCTGGTCTTGGCTGGGGAGGACGGAGTATAAATAAAAATTATTATTATTATCATTATTATTATTATCTAATTTATTTACCAGCTACCATTGTTATCCCTTTGTCTGGGTGTTTGCTGCGGCTTGTTTCTGAATGGAGAGGTATCTTCCTGGCACTGGGTGAATTGTCTGAGGCTGTCTTCAAGGTGTCTTCCATTTCCAGAACTGGTTCAGATTGATGGCTCAAATCTCTCTACGACAGGCATAGGCAAATTCGGCCCTCCAGGGACTACAACTCCCATCATCCCTAGCTACCAGGACCAGTGGTCAGGGATGATGGGAGTTGTAGTCCCTGGAGGGCCGAGTTTGCCTATGCCTGATCCATGGCTTTCTTTCCTGCATTGCAGGGAATTGGCATAGATAAGCCTCAGGGTCCCTTCCGACTTTAAAGTTCTATTATTCTAGGGCTTGCAGGGTGCCGAGGCTCAATGGAAAATCGGCACCCAGTGCAGCATCTCCAGCAGAGGTGTCCCATGTTGCTCATAGGTTAAATCAAAGAGCGATGGGGTAGCAGAGTTTTACACCATCTGCAGCTTCTCCACCAAATTCAGACCAGGGAACAATACATTTGAGATTTCTTTGCATGGAAACCTGGAAAATCTGTTCCATTAACTGTTATGCTTCCTATTCAGTAAGGATGGGGGAGAAATTTGATTCAGTTCACATTTAAAGACAAACTTATTCACACTTTTTGATACAAGCTGTAAACTGAAACGCAGCCAGTCTTCAGAATGTGCAGTACTTAGAATTTTGAAATATAGTTCCCCAGGCTGGTAATGTATTCAAGCATGTCTGTCCTAGAGTAATGTGTGAATCAAAAAGCACATACTATTGAAAATTAGATTTATTTATTTTTAAATGCCTTATTTGCAGGACGAATGGAAGAATCCATTACACCAACTTCTTTGCTCTCCATAAACATGGCAGCTGCTCTCTAGCCACTGTGGGCAGGCAGAACCTTCTGCTAGAATGAAGGACATGAGCGGGCATAAATCAGGCCAATAGGGCAGGATACCCTAGAGAAATCTTACTGAAATATATTAGCCTACAGGTGAGGAAAGCTATTGACCTCCATTTATTGGGTGGGAGAAAAACTGAGTATTGAAAGGCATTTAATAGAGGTAATGGTGGGAATGTACCCTGATATTTTAGCCAATCAAAGTGAATTTAGACATCACAATTGAGAAGGAGATAACCTATATTTGTAAGTGGGAAATGATAATTCTTACCCTAGGACTAGTTGCATCTTTATGCCACCAGGACTTTCAAAGGCAAAAACCGGAATTAAACTTCTTTTTTCCAAATTATTTTTATTATTTTTTCCAAATTATTACAAATCTAACCAAATTAATTTAAAATTTAATACAATTTCTTAAGATCAGGTTTCCTGCTCCGGTTCCAAGCATATGACCATCATCATTTCTTATTTAGACCGTTGACATCTTTCACTTGCCGTTAAACCATTCTTCCAGCTGACCACTTTTTCCACTTTACAAAACAGCACCTCCATTACATTTTATAAATAAGTAATCCATTTCACGTGTATACATTGTTGTTCCAGACCTGGTGTGCTGGGAGAGTTCATTACTATCTTCCATTACTCAGTTCTTTGCAGTGTTTATCTGGATAGTACAAGGTCACATTCCATTCCTTCTGCTGTTTACCAGATTAGCATATGAGCTGATGGGAGGGCGTTTCCACAGGGCGGGTGCCACTACAAAGATGGCGCTCTGCCTGGTTCCCTGTGGCTTCAAGTCTTGCAGTGGATGGGTTTGGCATAGAGTAAAACAATCAAACATGCCAGGAAGAACAAGTTACATTTTTGAAGAAGCTGTTTAAATATTTCCCACAGAAAGAAGTAACTCCAGAGAGCTGGGACTAACCAAAAATTGCTCTAACTCTGGCAAGTGTCATATAAAGAAGGCTCAATGACATCAGTGGATTGTACATTCGTCCAGTTCAAACTGGATTTATTGAGAGAAGGCAATAGAGTACAAATATTGAAAGCAGTGTACTGTACATCCTGAATAAAGCAGAGATTTACCAACTGTTTTCTTACTTTTCAGTGCAAAAAAGCCTTTGACAGGGTAGAATGGCCCTAATTATTTGAGGTATTGAGAAAAATCAATATACCGCTTCAACTTAGTTTCATTCTCAGCTGGTTAAATGTGAAAAAATTCAACAGATGGCATTGGCGAAACATTGACTGATAATGGAGTGGGGGTCAAAGAGTGCCCCTAGTTGCAGGGGGAGGGAGACTCAGGGTCCCAGATTCTACCTTAGGAGATTCTACCCAGGGGTGGAGGAAGGGGTGTGCGGTAGGGGCGGGGTGCCCCGGGTGTCACCACTGAGGGGGGTAACAAAATGCTGGGAGAGACACGGTGGTTTGGGCGCGCACAGGCTCCGCTCTGCCCAAATGGTCCATCCACTGCCTCCCCCCCACCCAGCTGTAGGCAGCTGAGTGGGAGGAGACAGGCAGACTCCAGAGGCCCTGCGCTGTGACCTTCCCCTATGGGTGGCTCGCCCCGCCCTCGCCCCGCCCCTATGGGAAGCGTGCCCCGCCCCTGGGCGCACCAATCCAGACACCCGAGTAGCGTCCTCTGCTGCTGCCTCTGCTCATCATACTGTGGATTGAGAGATGGAAATATTCAGAGAGGCAAGATTTTCTAAGGTATGGCTGACCTCCTCAAGCTGTAAACAGTGCTAGCAACTGTCCTATTGTCAGGGATCAGTTGGCAGAGAAGGGGGGAGAGACCGGAATGTACAGAGAGCTGCCTCCTTTGATGAGCAGCTGCACTTGTCAGAGGGAGAGGAGGAGGGACTGTCAGGAAACACGGAAAATGAGAGGGAGGGAGATCCAAAGGCTGTTATAGTAGAGAGAAAGGAGCAGCGTCTGGCGCTTAGGTTTTCACGTAAGGAGAGGAGGAAAGGAGGGGTGTCAGGAAGCTTCTCTGCTGGAGGGGGAACCGGAGTGAGCCACTTCCCACGACTGATAGCGACTGAGGCAGACACGCTTTCAAGAGCTCCGTACTGTATATAGTTTTGGACTTAATAAATCTTGTAAAGACAGGCTGGAATCCCGGGCTGTTATCTCGGCAAGAACCCACATATCATCCTGACACCTATCCCACAGGTTCTTCCTTAGCTACAATTCTTCCTTAACTACTCACAATGAAAGTGTCAGCAAAGGAATGTTGGCAAATGTATCACAAGAGGAAGAACAAAGATAGGAAAGGGAGGGGAACATGACATGGAAATAAAGACTTCAGAGTTGGACTAGGTGCCAGAAGGGAGTCTGGTGACCAGAAAGGGGGAAGATGAGAGGGACTCAACCCTGGTACCTCAGGGAAGTGGGGTAGGGGAGGAAGAGGGCAGAGAGCCAGGGACCAGATATTTATGGACCTGTGAGATCAATTCCAAGAAAATGCAGAGAAGCGAAATTCTACCAGTGGAAACAGAGATCATGGAGCTTGAAAAGAAAGATTCTGGAGGAGGAAGGGCCAACCTGTTCTGGCCCTTCATGAGTTCAAGCTTTCTCCAACTTTTGCATTTGGGGCAGCCAAGGTGGGTGACAACAGTGCTCTGTTTGTTCAAGACACCTGTCCTCCTCTTTCACAAGGGAATGGCACACATTTCATAAAAACGTGGAACGGTGGCAAAGCCAACCAGCATGGGAGAGATGTCAATCTTTTCAGGAGGGATGGGGGATTTGAAGCGGAAGTTCTGCAGGATGCTGGTGAAGAAGAGGAAAAGTTCCATTCGGGCCAGCTGCTCTCCAAAGCAATAGCGTTTTCCTAGGAAGGAGGAGGAAAGCAAAGACGGGTCAGTATAGCCTGCATTGAGGTTTTCAGGCCAAGACTCCTCTAACCCACACAGCCACAGATAAAATACACCCATTACAACTGAGATCTACAGGTAAAGGGCAGTATACAAGTTTAATAAATAATAACAATAATTTTGGTGTGCATGGTTCAAAAATAGATTTTTCTGTAGAAGGGGAAAGAGAAGGGCGAGACAGAGGTACATCAGCACCAGCAACAGTTTCTGGCTAATTTTTCTCACTTCAATTGGTCGACTATATTGGGTTACTATTTGCTGTAAACCGCCAAGGGGCTGCTGAGGACTCACCAGTAGAGAACGGCATAAAAGCCTCATTCTTCTTGAACTGCCCATTCTCATCCAGGAAATGTTGGGGGTCAAACACGTCTGGTCTTGCAAAATGTTTGGGGTCTCTCAGCACAGATCCCAGCAAAGCAAACACTTCAGTTCCCTGAACAAGAGAGGGAGGGAAATGAGAAGAGAGGGGAGAAATGGAACATTATTCTCGTGGGCAAGAAAATATTGGTTTTTTTGGGGGGGTGACCTCCCCCCAAATTAATAAATGGCAGGTTCTTTATTATTTGAGAGAAAGCTGAATAAGAATTCCTGGGCTAGCCTGTGCAGAAGAACCTGGCCAAGCTAGGGCCATTAAGAAACGATACAGAGTCACTGAGTGGCTGGGGAAACCCAGCCAAATTGGCGGGTATAAATAATAAATAATAATAATAATTATTATTATTATTATTATTATTATTATGAGGGCCAATGGCAATGCAAAAGAACTGTCTTTCCACTTGCCTTGAGGTGTGATAATAATAATAATAATTTAATATTATTTTCAATGAGAGTTCCCCATTTTTGGGACACCACCCTTTGGTGTGGTGCCTCTGTCTCCCTGATTATTATCACTCAGAGGGTACGGACAGGTGGAACAGATATGCTTGGGGAACTTCACTGAGCCACAAACTATACCTGGAAGGGTGAAGTCTTATTTTTTTTTATTAAATAAATTTTACTGGCATATAAAACACATGCATATACATTTACACAATGACACAATACACGAACATAACCCACTACCTTATATTCATAACATAAAACATACCTACATTACTCTATATAATACCTACCTATACTGTACATACACCTGCCAACCTAGCAGTTCGAAAGCACGTCAAAGTGCAAGTAGATAAATAGGTACAGCTCTGGCGGGAAGGTAAATGGCGTTTCTGTGCGCTGCTCTGGTTCGCCAGAAGCGGTTTTGTCATGCTGGCCACATGACCCGGAAGCTGTGCGCCGGCTCCCTCGGCAAATAAAGCGAGATGAGCACCGCAACCCCAGAGTCAGCCACGACTGGACCTAATGGTCAGGGGTCCCTATACCTTATACTGTACATATCAACATACCTACACACTTGGGGAACTTCACTGAGCCACAAACTATATCTGGAAGGGTGGAGTCTAAGTCTAAGGAATTAATAGAACCACAATACCTTGGGAATGGTGTATCCCCGGAACTGGGTATCACGCGTCACACGTCTTGCTAACCCCAAGGGGAGCATGTCAGAGAATCTCTGCATCTCGTGGATCACAGCATCCGTGTAGGGCATCAGGGGACGGTCATCCATGTTGGGAGTGCGACTGGAGCCAATCACCCGTTCAATCTCTTCGTGGACTTTCTCTGTTGAGAAATCAGCAGGATGAGACCAAAAGTGCTATTTGCACCTTCCAGGGAGCTAAAGAAGGATCCCAGCTCATAGCTGGGAAAGCAAAGAGGGACCCTCCCATTGAAATGCAAAGACACATCTCTCCACCCTATTTCCTCCCCCCCTTCCGCAGTCACCTTCAACCTCCGGGTATTTCAGCAGAAGCAGGAAGCCATAGCGCAAGGTGGTGCTGACCGTTTCTGTGCCGCCGAAGAAGAGGTTAGCTGTTGTACAAACCAGATTCTCTAGGAAGAACTCTGAGTTTGGGTTTTCCTTTTCCTAGGCAGAAGAAAATGTACTTACTTATTATTTCTTGGGATAGGCTAAAATCTGATTGGCTCCTGTCTATGAAGCTCTCTCTCCTCTACTGATTGGCTGAGCTGCAGTGATGTCATGCTCACTCCAATGAGGGGGAGGGGACAGTTGTGGAGGGCTGAAAAGCAGCTCAACAATTGTGTGGGAAACAGATGGCTGGGTGGAGGGGGAGTTTAATCAAATGCTGCAGGAAGAAGTACATTATTTGATCTGTCCTGAATCCTCCAACATACTTCTTCCTTTGTTTGAATTTAGTTTAGTTACAGTATCTTCCCAGTGGGCCCAGGGTGGAGAAATTGATTGTAGTAACTAGAATAACAAGGGACGTGGGTGGCGCTGTGGGTTAAACCACAGCGCCTAGGACTTGCCAATCAGATGGTCAGCGGTTTGAATCCCCGCGACGGGGTGAGCTCCCATTGCTCAGTCCCAGCTCCTGCCAACCTAGCAGTTCGAAAGCACGAAGTGCAAGTAGATAAATAGGTACCGCTCCGGCAGGAAGGTAAATGGTGTTTCCCTGCACTGCTCTGGTTCGCCAGAAGCTGCTTAGTCATGCTGGCCACATGACCCGGAAGCTGTACGCCGGCTCCCTCGGCCAATAAAGCGAGATGAGCGCCGCAACCCCAGAGTCGGTCACAACTGGACCTAATGGTCAGGGGTCCCTTTACCTTTACCTAACTAGAATAACATAATCTTACCTGCTGCATTTTCACTAGGAAGCAGTCAATGAAATCCCGAGGGTTGTTGGGGTCCAGGGTCTCCTCGTTTTCTTTTACCTTCCTTTTAATGAATTCCTTCAGGCCCAACAGCTTCTTGAAGGTTTTATCTTGTGGGCCAGGCAGGTGCTGCATGATGCCGGAGAACATGTCGTAGAGCTGCGTGTGTCGGGTTTGGAGGAATCCAGAGTTAGGGGGAGGAAGAGAGAGAACAGATACTGAACAAAGTAAGTTAAGGTGGATTTTGGGGGCAGGGAGAAGCAGGAGTTCCTCCCTCCCTTGGTTCCTCATTATCATGGAAGGTTTGGAAGAAACAGGTGGCTTGAAAAGAAGGGAGAATGGAGAAGTGTCTCTCCAAGAAGAACAGACAGAGGGAACTCCTCACTCCACCCAGACAGAACTTGGTGCTGACTAAGCTATGAACTTGTCACAGACACAACCTCAGGGCCTGACTTCCCATCTCTGAGGGACAAGGAAGGCAATTTGGAGGGAAAATCAGGGTGTGTGGCGGAATTGCTTACAAAGCCAGCAGCTTCAGTATCTCAATCTGGAATTATCTCAGGTTGAGGCAACATTGTAAACTTGCTCCAGGCAGAGCCTGACCAAAGAGCAAGGCAGAATAGGAGTTGCAGCACCACGGAGAGCTCAGACTGAGAAGCAACAAATACAGTGGTGCCCCGCAAGACGAATGCCTCGCAAGACGGAAAACCCGCTAGACGAAAGGGTTTTCCGTTTTTCAATGCGCTTCGCAGGACGAATTTCCCTATGGGCTTGCTTCGCAAGGCGAAAATGTCTTGCGAGTCTTGAGATTTTTTTTCGCTCCCCCCCCCCTTTTCTAAGCTGCTAAGCCTTTAATAGCCTTTTAGCAGCTAAGCCGCTAAGCCGCTAAGCCTTTAATAGCCGCTAAACCGCTAATAGCGCTAAGCCGCTAAGCCGCTAATAGGGTTGCTTCGCAAGACGAAAAAACCGCTAGACGAAGATACTCGCGGAACGGATTAATTTCGTCTTGCGAGGCACCACTGTAGCTAAACATTTTTAAGCCTCTCCCAGGTTCTGCCCACTTGTAGAGAACTTAGTTTCTTAAGATTGGTGCCTCTGCTTTCTTTCTCACACTTGGTGCAGTTCCTGTGAGGTACTGGGGGAGGCATTTGGGTCATTTGTGAAAGGCACCTGTGAGGGTCCTGGTCCTGGTTGTGGTTCTACAGTCCCCAATGCTCTGGGAGGTTATGCTCTGGGCTTCTATTGGTCAGGCTCACTCAGACCCCTGAATGTGGTCCGGCTCCTTAGCTGGCACTGCTGCTGCTTCTAACTCTGTGCCTTGACCACTTGAAATATACTCGGAGTCGAGAGTGGATTTCATGCTCTTTGTTCAGCTCATAGTGGTGAGGAGGAATAAATGTTCCCCCAAAATATCTGCTTTATATACATTATTTGCACAATGGGCTGCACGTAATTGGCTAATTCTGTGATTCTCCTGTAGGCCAATCAGGTTGTGGATTCACTTCCACCTGGAGCTGGATTGGGTGGCTCCTGTGGACCAATCATACTGCTGCATTGTTCTAGGACCAATCAGGCTGCTGCATTTCGGATCCTATTATTCTAGGACCAATCAGGCTGCTGCCTTCTGGATCCTATTCAACTCAGTACATAACACCACTGCTGTGTAGGAGTGCAAATATCCAGAGTGTGGGGTTCAGGTGGGATTGCTATGAGGAATTATGACATATGGAGCAAGCCATTGTGTCCGCAATGAACGCATTCATTGACAATAATTTCTGATCAAATCCCACAAGCCTCTCCACCTCTGGCATTTGCTTTCTCTATGCCTCACAGGCACGTATCAGCATTCTAAGTACACAGGCCAGTTGTTCATCAGGCATCCTGGGTCATAAAGCTAGCTTTGATGTAGTTTGTTAATCGTTCGCAAGGAGATGGTAAATACTACCTATCCTTCCTCTCCTGTTTATTGCTGTTTATGACCTCTGGAGTTTCCTAAAAGCATTCCTCCTTGCTTCTTCTTTTATTTACTCTGAATTACATATGCACGCTCAAGTAGGAAATTAGCTCTTTGTAGTTTTAACTTTAACTTTGTCCCACGTGGGGTTTTTTGAAATGCTCAGAAGAAAACTGATTGATTCTTACGAACACTGTGTAAAAAGTTCTTTTGTGAATAAAACGGCCTGGGCCGAGGGGAAGGGAATTACTATTATACACACCCATAGCTGTCAACTTACAGATTTGAAAATAAGGGACCAGCAGCCTCGAAAATAAGGGATCAGCAGCCAAAATAAGGGATTTTAGTCAACCAGCAGCCCAACGAAGCCTCAAGCGGTGGGTCCCACAGCGCAGCAACCCGGCATAGGGGATGCAGCAAGGAAAACCACCGTCACCTCTCCACTGGGAAGTGTTGAGCAAAGGCGAGTCCCCAGGCAACGCGGCCGATTTGATCGGCACAAGGCATGCAAGCTCCACCCCCCAGTCGTTCTTAGACTCCTTACTGGGTGAGCAACACAGCCAAGCAACACAGTTGGAGCCTCCCTCCTCCCTGGCCGGCAGGGAAGGAGGGAGAGGAGCTGCTTCCTTTGAAACCCGGGAAATTTAAGGGACATCATCAATAAGGGACAGCAGCGGGACACGGTGCTGGGATAAGGGACTGTCCCGCCAAATAAGGGACACTTGACAGCTATGTACGCACCCCTCCCAGAGTCTTGCTGGTCAAGCTTCTGTGTGTATTTTATCAGAGTCCAATCCTTCCTTGCTTTGGGAATGCTACACTGCTGGTCTTTGGGGTAATGACAGGGCCTCATCTGGTGCTGGCTTTCCTGCATGCTGTGCCTTGAGCAGATTAGGAGAAGTGGCATTATTCACAATTTCATGCTGGAAGTCCTCCCCCTCCCCTCCAACGTACCTGTCCCCAAGAGGTGGAAGTGAACTGGAAGATTTCCAGCGAAGTGCTGAGCAAGAAGAGGAACTCCTTATCTTCGTATTCAAAGCGGTTGCCAAAGGCAATGGAGCTGATAACGTTGGACACTGAACGGCTCAGGACGTAGGTGGGGTCAAAAGGAGCACCTAGAAATTTATATATATTAACAGTAACTAACTGTGTTATCTCTCTTGGTATTAAGATGCCTAGGTATTTAACAGATTCAGAACAAATCCGAAATGGATATTCCTTTAATGAATGTGCAATCAAATTTTTGACCTACTGGCATCAATTCCAATTTGTGTTTTTTAAAAATTTATTTAATTTTCCAGTTCAATTTTTCCCCCAATCAATTATCTAACAACCAAAATAAAAACAAGATCCCAAAGAATCTCCTGGACTTCCCTCCTCCCCTTTGTGGGTCCTTTTGTTAACCATTTTCTCCTGCATCATTTATAATAATCCAAATCTCTTTCATCTCCATTATATCCAAAACTCAACATTAAACTGCAAGTGTTATTCCAATCAATTCCGATTTGGACCAGTTAATAGAATATTAAAATATTTGTATCAACATTAGTTAGACCGGATAGTCTGTTAGGGCCAATGCCTAAGGCCAATACCGCTCTTACCTGTAATCAATAAAGTTGTGGCCATTTTTCGCCCATTAACCTAAATTCTGGTGTCCAGTGTCTTTATTTATTCCATCTGTGGGAGGGGGCGGGTATTGCCACGCAATAGATCTTATACCATTCAATGGCGATTCTATCCAATCATTGTGTTTTGCCACTTGTCATTTTAAGAATACCAGTAGTTTGTTTAATTTTTGCCTCCCATTCAGTATTGGTGTTAATAGCATTTGTTTTTGTATATCATCTAAATGGGGTAGTTTTATTCTATTAAAAAAGACCTTCATATCTTTATGACTGATGTGACTGATGTCTTTCAGTTTAGTATATAATTCTTAATAATAATAATAATAATAATAATAATAATAATAATAATTTATTTCTACCTGCCCAACTGGCTGGGTCTCCCCACCCACTCTGGGCGGCTTCCAACAAAAGATTAAAAATACATTAAAACACCAGTCATTAAAAACTTCCCTAAACAGGGCTACCTTCAGATGTCTTCTAAAAGTCTGGTAGTTGTTTTCCTCTTTGACATCTGGTGGGAGGGCGTTCCACAGGGCGGGCACCACTACCAAGAAGGCTCTCTGCCTGGTTCTCTGTAACCTCACTTCTCACAGGGAGGGAACCACCAGAAGGCCCTCGGCACTGGACCTCAGTCTCTGGGCTGAGTGATGGGGGTGGAGACGCTCCTTCAGGTATACAGGACCGAGATATTAATTGATCATTAATATCTTTTGAGTTTTTATAACTTTCACCTTTGTCAATTTTAATGCTTGGATGACTTGGGTCACATTTTGCTATTGTGTAGCTGGCTTATTTTGTCCGAGGGAAGCAGAGACTGGCACTTTTAGTTCCTGCTCCTTGCAACCCTGGAGCTGTCCAGTATACAATTGGGACTCAAATGCCGCAGTGACAAGGTTCAGATTATCAGCGTTCAAATGCCCAGGTAACTTTCCAGTTTCTAACCATTACCTGTAACTCATTAAGCAGCATTTCTTGAAGGTACCAAAAATGAGCTCACTTTTTGTTTCCCTCAGGGATTCCAGCAGGAAGTGGGTCTCCTCCAGGATCCGCTCTTCGACAGATCTCTTTCCCATCCCAAAGTTCCTCAGTGTCATGATGGAGAATCGGCGTAACTGCTTGGCCCGTTCCCCGTTACTGAAGGCAACCCCTGAGAAGCGAAGGAGGAGTAAAGGGAAGGAGGAACAGGAGAAGGTGCACTCAGTGGGAATGTGGCTGGAAACACACAGTGATAGAGATTTCACCCGCAATGAAATCTTTGTTGACTGGTTTTTAAAGTTGCAATTTCAGCACTTGGAAGAACATTCTAAGTGTGTGTTCCCTCTCATTCTCCCTCTCTCTCTCTCTCTCTCTCTCTCTCTCTCTCTCTCTCTGTAACTCCTAGTTGTGCAGCAATAAAACTGCTAACACATTTGCAAAGCTAAGGAGTCTCATGTGTGTGTGTGTGTGTGTGAGAGAGAGAGAGAGAGAGAGAGAGAGAAGACATTTGAGGTATTTAAGAGTGGGCGGGAGTGTTGGATTTCTGTTATGCCACTGTGCAGTTTTTGGAGTCACAAGACTCTGATTACATTCCAGACTGCTGGAAGTCTCACGGGAGATGGGAGGCGGATGTTGATGTTACTGGTTTCCTGTTTCTTTGTGTTGTTGTTCACTGACTCTCACAGAGAGCAGATGCATATTCTTTTCTGTCCCACGTAGCTAGAAATAAACGTAGCGATGTAGCACATATTTCTCGCCCTTCTGCTGTTTGGATACTCTGCATAATGGGAACGTGCCTGAAGCCTCATCAAAGGCTTAGGTCGTTAATCACTGCTGGAGCAGATTCCGAAGATAGTATGTCATGGGGGAGAGCTGCTTCAGCTTGGTCGGAAGGAACCTCCGACAGGGAGAAAAATAGAGGAAAAGACACAGCTGACGATCAGCTGATGGAAGGCATATGCAAACCCAGAGCTTTTTCCAGGCACGATCATCTACACTTGCAAAGCAACTAAGTTACATCACTGGTCCTCTACTTGGCTTTGAATATTAAAATGCAAATCCCATCTCTTCTATGACCACTGTCAGAGGAAGAGGAGTGCAGGGGGAGTGCACCGCCCCCAGCAGCGCAATCCTGGTGGGGTGGCATTGCGGCTGCCCCCAATCCTGTGCTGGTCACCATGCCCCCGCAGGCAGCATGCCACACCCCCAGGACGCGTGCCACGCCCCTGTGGCGGTGCACCACGCCCCCAGGATGCACGCCATGCCCCCGGGACACGTGCCAGTCCTGCCCCCACCTGTTCTCCGCCCCCTGGTGCCGGAGCATGAAGCTCCGCCACTGTCTATGACTCGTTTTAATTGCCTAGAGAAACCCTTTCTCGGACCACTTTTCTCCACTGAAAAATGGGTATTCAAAAATCTTCTTCATAGGACTGCATGAAGGACCATTGCTAAATGTTGGGAGACATTCTGCACAGAAACATGTGTATACCTTTAAGAAGTTTCTGGGTTAATTGGTTGCAGCTGGCCGTGGCTACAAAAGGAAAAAGCAGCGTTTTGTAGCCTGCCTGCAGGAATAACACCCACCAGAATTTCTGTTTGTTGTTTTGTAATAAAGTCTTTGTTTTAGTTTTGGTTTTACACCTATGTCTCCTGGAGTCACAGTCTGTCCTCTGCCACCAGTTGAAAATCCCCCTCCAATAGGTTATGGGCCCAGTCCTGAGTGGGCAGAGACAGAGTGTGAAAAGAACCCAGAGACTGGAAGCAACTCAGCGTTTCTCAAGCAGCTGGCTGTGTGAAGGCATCGGCACGGAGTGTCTGTTTGAGACCAGGAGCTGAACATTTCTTCAAGCCACGTGTGAGTAAAGTGGAAAGCTGAAAGCTGGGTGGAGCCATGACTGGACTTGGAGCTGGAGCTCAAGGGGGAGCTTCCTATTTTCCAGTAGAGAAACTGGGAGAGTCCAATTATATGTCATGGAGTTTACAGATGCAGGCGTTTTAAAAGAAAGAACAACGTTGGACTGTTATTGTTAACCCTCCTGTAAAAGATGAGGATGAAGAAGTAGATGAAGCAGACCAAAGGCTGGAGGACAAAGCCTATGCCAATTTAATTTTGAGTTTAGAGAAGTTTCAGTTATCTCATGTGCGAGACCTTGAAACAGCAAGTGAGATTTGGCAAGCACTGAGAGCGATACATATTAGAGACACTGCTGGCAGCAAAATTACTCTAACGGGAGCTCTGTACCGAGCCAGACTAAGTGAGGGTGAATGTGCTTCAAAACACCTTCAAAGAATGCGTGATTTATTTTCACAGTTAAATGAACTTGGGGAACATTTTTCTGAACAGAAAAAGGTTTATATTGTGCTGTCTTCACTTCCTGAGTCATGGGACAATTTAGTGATGACCTTGGAGGCAATTCCAGAAAGCCAATTAACAATGCATTTCTTAATGGGGCGTTTGCTTGATGAGGAGAAAAGACGCCATGAGAGGAAGGCCACAACCCCTCACCGTAACTCCAGAAATGGGAGGCAGTCCAGTAAAAGATATGCAACTGATGAGGAGCGGCAACCTAAAGAGGTTGTTGAGGAAGCAGCTTTCACAGTCAGAAGAAGCTATCGTTGTGGGTCAACTAGGCATTTAGTACGTCTAAGGGCTAAGGGAGCTGGGCATGTTTAGCCTGGAGAAGAGGAGGTTAAGGGGTGATATGATAGCCATGTTCAAATATATAAAAGGATGTCACATAGAGGAGGGAGAAAGGTTGTTTTCTGCTGCTCCAGAGAAGCGGACACGGAGCAATGGATCCAAACTACAAGAAAGAAGAGTCCACCTAAACATTAGGAAGAACTTCCTGACAGTAAGAGCTGTTTGACAGTGGAATTTGCTGCCAAGGAGTGTGGTGGAGTCTCCTTCTTTGGAGGTCTTTAAGCAGAGGCTTGACAACCATATGTCAGGAGTGCTCTGATGGTGTTTCCTGCTTGGCAGGGGGTTGGACTCGATGGCCCTTCTGGTCTCTTCCAACTCTATGATTCTATGATTCTATGATTCTACGTCAGTGCACTGTGTCTGTGGGAGAAAACACAAGAAAAGGGCGGCCTGCGTTTGCTGGGAAGCGAGGAGACAGGAAGAGTCGAGTCCAGTATGTTTCTGCAGCAGTTCGAGGCACCAGTCACGACATTGGACAGGACTGGATTTTAGACTCAGCAGCGACAAACATTTTTGTTAAGTCTGCACAAACCCTTGTAGAAAAGCAGCCTTGTAAATCTGTAAATGTAGTACTAGCTGATGGAACAGTGCATGAGTCAGCTGGAAGGGGTAGTGTGAATGTTAACTGTTTAAGTACCAAGTTTACCAATGTTTTATGTGTACCAAGTTTAGAAAATAATTTGCTTTCAGTTACACTAGAAATCCTAGAAAACGCCAGTAATGATGCACTCTGGCCAAGGGTTGCCCAAGAAGAGCCACTCACCGTAGCCCCGGAAAATCCAGTCAAATGCGGATTGCTCTCCACGGCCGCTGAACTCTTCGGCTTGATTCACCAGGGCCTCCTTCACGGCATCGTATCCACACAAGACCACAACACGGCGGGGCCCTAAGTGGATGGTGTAGACAGGACCATATTTCTCATGAATCTGTGAAAAGAGGGGGTGGGCATTGTGTGAAATCAGATGGACAGATGGAGCAAACAGGTTGGTTTTCAGACAAGCAAGATTAAAAACTGGCTATCCTCCCTAGCATTAGCTGACCCAGAGCTATTTTTCTAGAAAAAGAGGTGCATACCCTTCAACATTTCTCTGATGGAAATAGGGACATCCCATTCCATAATGATAATTTTACTATTTATACCCCACACATCTTACAGGGTTGCCCCAGCCACTCTGGGCAGCTTCCAACATATATAAACACATAATACATAATGTTTATCTGCTAGCCAGTGGTGGGAATATTGCTTTGTTAATTCTTTGAGTATTGCTAATGTTGTTTCTTACCGTTCTAGAGGCTGGTGTGTTGTTGTTTTTCCACAAACTGTATCTTACACGAAATGTTAGCTCATAATGTGACCCCCCCTTCCCCTGCCATGGCATTACATATGTGCATATATATTTCTTTAATCTAAGTTGCTTGGACACTCATGCCCAAATACCTGTCTTGGGTGGGAAGTCTCCATTTTTCACCAACTAGGTAGAGCAGGTTCTGCTGGGTGTGAGATTTCTAATTAATTCTTAAGAACTGAATAGCTGGATTTCTTTGGGCAGTGCGCTATTCAATTCTTGGTTAAGTTTGCCTGCAACTTTCCCTTTAAGGAGCCCAAGGCTGTAACTGAGCATGGTGTGAACCATGTGAAATAATAAGCCAGGCTGAAAGGACTCCCACCGGGAGGTCCAGCGCTGGGCAGTCTCCTCCTCCCTTCAGCGGCTCCCTTGGTCCGGGCTTTGTCCACATGTGCGCTGACTTCAGAGATGATGAAAAGGAAGGAAGGTGTGCCACAGCCTGATGAAACTGCTGGTGTTGCAGTGAAGCATTTACCTGGACTTACATGTAGCTGCTGCAATAAATCTCTAAAGACATTCGTGGGGGAGAATTTAGGGTTCGGTCCACATAGTAATGCAAACAGTACTCATCCCCACTTCTTGAAACAGAGCTGCCCCTTCAAAATTGAAACGTTTTTGAGTCGGATGATGCAGTCCTCCACCCCCACCCCCACCAAGAAAATGTGAGGATAAGTACATATATTAGGGGAATGTGTGCACGAAAATGTTCATAGGATCGAAAATAACATTGGAAAATCCTCAATATCTGGAGGAATTGCTAGGGGAAAATGTTTATTTAAAAGAAATGCACACTAAAATGCTGACTAATTTTCTTGAGGACTTTCCTTGAAAAGAACCACCAACTGGTGTGAAAATGAGACACGAGAAAACCTAAGATTATGGTCAAGAAACAGTGGGATTGTCTAAATGAATATTTACAAAACCAGGGCCCAGTTACCCAAATTTGGTTGTGTTTAGACTAATCTTGTGAAAAATATAAAGAATGTGAAAAATTAAGGAAAACCTATAGGAAGGATATGAAGAACAGAGGTTATGGCGGCTGAAGTATAAAAGACGTGTGGCATAAACAGTGGAAGTCTTTTTAAAACATTTTAATTAAGGCTGATATCTTGCAAGATGGAAACATATAGCCGTATGCAAGCACAGATCCTTCCACTTAGGCAGAAATATAAAGAGAGAGAGAAGCAAAAGCTGGAGAATGTGGTGGAAGGAGAATTATGAGGAGATGATGAGTCAAGTGGGAGAGAGAGAGAGAGAGAGAGAGAGAGAGAGATGAGTGGGTAGATAGATGGGAGTGACCTTCATTAATCAACAGTATTTAAGAATGATTTTATAATAACAATTTAGAGAATGGCAAACTGTGCTCTGATACATGATAGAAAGTTACCTTCATGAGTGAACGGTACATATCACTTGTGTTGACTTGGAACAGGTTCCCGATGAAGGGGAGGGGAGTTGGTCCAGGTGGCATCTGGCTTTTGCGGTGCATCTGCCGCCATGTTGAGAGGACCATCAGGCAAGAGAGGCAGATGACCAGGAAAAGGGTTGCTGCTCCGAGGGGATCCATGGGGAGGTTGCGGGTGGCCTGTGGAGCTCTGCAGGCAATGTGTTGCTGACCAGCTGGGAAGAGAAAATACCCGCGCAGTCCGAGTTGAGCCTGTTACATACCTTCGGAAGAACCTCCTCCTTGAAATTGTGCAACCTGTTTACTCTCTGCTCAGGGTCTTCTTTCAAGTCAAGAGAAGACCTTCCAGAGCAAAGTTCAGATGGACAGATAGTGGTGACAGGGAGCTGCTGCCCAAGTCTGCACCACCAAGGGAGCTTCAAGGAGTCCCAGAGTCAAGCACAATTCTCTCACCTCATTTCTCAGAATTCTGTATCATTTAACAGGGTCTCTGCTGGTGTAAGACTAAGAGGAGTGTAGCAGAGGGAAAGGGTTGCTGCTCCGAGGGGATCCATGGGGAGGTTGCGGGTGACCTGCGGAGCTCCGAGTAGCCGGGAAGAGAAAGTGCCCACGTAGCCAGAACTGAAGCTCTTATATAAAGTTTGCTGAAGGATCACATCCCCCTTTGGAGTTATTCCATCTCTCTCTCCAGCCTCTCTATCCAGTTGGGAGGGGGTGTAGAGTTTGTGTTCTGGGCATTGGGCAATAAGGACAGATTAGAAATTCTGCTGGCTACCTCGCTGGCTGGCAGCCTACCTGCCTGAGCTGAGACAGCTGGCTTGTGCTGGTCCCGGGGGGGGGGGTTACCGTGCAGCGTGGTCTGAGTCCGGTCCTGGGTCGAGGGTCTGGAGGCTGGCTGTCTCAATGGCAAAGCGGGGTCCAAGGCAAGGAGCCGGGCGTGGTCAGGAACTCTGGAAGAGCAGGTCAGGGTGCTGGCAGAAACAGGTTTCCCACAACCTGGGACTGGGCTGACTGGCCTTTATCTCCTCTGGGGCCTAGGGCTGTCCCGGCCCACAGGTGACTCGCCTCTCCTGGCCTGGAGGCGAGCACTCCCCCTGTGAGAACTTAGTTCCCTCCGCCTCTCTGCCCTGAGCCTCTGCAGCTCAGGAGAGGCTGGAGGGTTACTGGACCCAGAGGCAACCTCACCTTCCCCTGACAGGGCTGGGAGAGGAGCACCTGCAGGCAATGGGTCCTCCATCACCTCCGGAGCCAGAGTGGATTCATCTGGTGTCTGCTCCTGAGGATCCGGCACAGGTGGGGGCCCTTCAGGTTCAAGCCCCTGCCCCGGCTCAGCCGGCCCTGGAGGCAGGGACTCCTGTGCAGGCTGGGATTCTTCAGGTTCAGCCTCTGAATCAGATTCCCAGGCCATCACACGGCTTGGGAGGTGGTGTGGAGGACTCCCAGACTGCTTGTGTTGGAAGACTTCACACCCATGCCAAGGCGACTGACTCTGGGGTAGCTCAGGGCTTCAGGGCTGCCATGGTGACCATGAGAATGTGCCAACCTTTCAGCAGCCCAATGCATGTGGCAATCCATGTTCTGGGCCTAGTTTTCTCAACTGGGCATGAAGAGTGTGATCTGAAAGTGAGGGCTCTAGACGTCAGTCCCTTGTCATGGTCAGTTCATTTCGCATTGAGATTTAGGCTTTCAGGACCCTTCCTCTTCTGCAGAGGCAAGGGACCTATGAGGATGGTTCTGGGGGACTTTCTGACTGATCTGACTGGCAGTGAAACAGGAGGAAAGATTAGTCTTAGGGCTTTCTCAATTTGAGGTGTAGCATAAAAATGACCTCTCACAAGATACCTATTGGTTGCAAGAAAAACTTGCAATATGCTAAACATGCGACAAGAGGTTTAGCTTATTTAAGACAAAAGTATTTTGAGAAGGGAGCAATGTGAAATAAATACTACCTTGGCAGATATTTTAAAGATGCAACACTGATGGTTTTCTCAAAAACAAGGCAAAAATCGAAAACCTGGGATGAAAGATGAGTTATTTGCTTTCTATAGTCAATTTTATAATTCATAAAAAATCCATCTTGGGAAGATATCTTAGATTTATTGGATAATTTGAATCTTAAAGAAATATTCTCAAACAGAAATGGATCCCCCACTGGAAAAAGGAATACTAGACATAGCAAACTTATCTTTTGGATTGCACGGTCCAGAGAAAGAGACACCATCGACAGAACAAGAACAGACACTTGGCGCAGTTGGAGGCAAAGTGAAGTAACCCCATCATGGCTCTGCAACTGTTAAGTTGGAATTGTAATGGTTTGAACTCTCCTCGAAAGAGAAAAAGTGTTTTTCATTTATTAAAAAAGGAACAATTGGACTTGATTTGTTTACAAGAAACACATGTAACAAGGCTACACAGGAAACTACTGATTAATAAAAGATTGGGACAGGAGTTTATCTCATCTGACAAAGTTTAAAAAAGAGGAGTTGTGATATATGCAAAGGAGAGATTATTACCGAAATTAATTTTTAAAGATGAACAAGGCAGATTTTTGGCAATCGAAATTCAAGTTCAAGGAGAGAAATTTTTGATCGTAGGAATTTATGGACCGAATGAGGGAAATCTGAATTCTTTAAAAAGTTGCATGAGATCTTATTGGACTATTTGGATTACAATCTGATTTTGATGGGGGACATGAATGGAGTAGTATCTACAAACATGGACAAGGCACAAAGACAGGTAGTTACCAAGGATGGTAGACTACCGAAAACATTTTTGAGATGACAGACAATATGGATTTAGTGGACATTTGGAGAGTAAAGAACCCCTTGGGAAGAGAGGGAACCTTCTTCTCTGAAGCCAAGATGACATGGACTAGAATTGACCAAATATGGGTAACTAGAGGAATGGCACCAAAGATAAAGAAAGTGGAAATCTGCCCAAAAACCTGCTCCGACCATAACGCTGTAAGGATGGAGATGAAACAAATATCAACTGGCTCCTTCAGATGGAGGATGAATGACACCTTATTTAGAGATGAAGAAGTGTATAAAAAGGCCCAAAAAACTTTGAGAGACTATTTTGAAATAAATATGAACACCAATGTAGAAAAGAGTAATCTGGGATGCAAGCAAAGCTGTCATGAGAGGGTTTCTGATACAACAGAATGCAATAAAGAAGAGAAGTCAAAATGAGAAGAAAGATAAAATTTTGGAGAAAATAAAAGAAAGTGAGAAGAAACTGAGAGCAAAACCAAAGTCGCAGGAGATTTTGAGAGAAATAAAATTATACCAAGTACAATATATGGAAATGATGAATCAGGAAATAGAATGGAAAATTAAACAAATGAGACAAAAAACATTTGAATCAGCTAACAAATGTGGGAAATTGTTGGCCTGGCAAATGAAAAAAAGACAAAAATTAAATACTATCACAAACTTAGAAGTGGAAGGAAAGAACATACACAATCCAGCTGAGATTAGAAACTGTTTCCAGAGGTATTTCAAACAATTATACACACAAGGGCCACAGAAAGAAATGGACATAGACCGATTTTTGAAGATAAATGGATTACAAAAATCTCCCAAGAAAGCAAATTAATGTTGAACTATAAAATATCTGAACAGGAAGTAGAAGGTGCCATTCAAAATATGCAATTGGGCAAATCTCCAGGACCGGATGGGCTGACTTCTAGATATTATAGATCTTTGAAAGAGTGGCTATTACAACCTTTGAAGGAAGTCTGCAATGAAATATTGGAAGGGAAAAGGGCACCAGAGTCGTGGAAAGAGGCGTACATTACACTTATACCGAAAACAGAGACTGAAAAGACTCAGCTTAAGAACTACCGCCCTATATCGTTACTTAATGTGGATTACAAAATTTTTGCAGACATTTTGGCCAAGAGATTGAAAAAGTATTGATGGAAGAGATTCATAAAGACCAAGCTGGCTTTCTCCCGGGAAGACACTTGTCTGATAATTTGAGGAATATAATTGATATTTTGGAAAAATTAGAAGTGAATATAAATACTAAAGCAGTTCTGATATTTGTGGACGTGGAGAAAGCCTTTGACAACATCTCTTGGAGTTTTATGAAGAAGAACCTACAGGGGATGGGGGTAGGCCAAGGTTTTGAAAATGGTATAGGTGCAATATACTCTGAACAAAAGGCTAAATTAATTGTAAATAATGTGGTGACGGAAGAATTTAAGATAGAAAAAGGGACACGACAGGGGTGCCCAATCTCCCCACTGCTTTTTATATCGGTCCTGGAGGTTCTGCTGAATATGATTAGAAGGGACCGGTTGGTTAAAGGCATACAGGTCGGAGCCAAACAGTACAAACTGAGAGCATTTGCAGATGACTTAGTATTGACGTTACAGGAGCCAGAATCTAGTACTAAAAGGGTTTTAGAACTAATTCAAGAATTTGGTCAAGTGGCAGGATTTAAACTGAACAAGTTAAAAACTAAGGTTTTAGAGAAAAATTTAACACCGATTGAAAGAGAGAGGTTTCAGAATGAGACAGGTTTGACTGTGGTTAAGAAAGTGAAATACCTGGGGATTAATATGACAGCCAAAAATGGGAACTTATTTAAAGATAATTATGAAAAATGTTGGACGGAAGTGAAAAAAAGATTTAGAAATTTGGTCAAATTTGAAGCTTTCACTGTTGGGTCGTATTGCTGTGATAAAAATGAATGTATTGCCTAGAATGCTGTTTTTGTTTCAAACATTGCAAATTGTGGACAAGATGGATTGTTTCAAGAAGTGGCAGAGAGATATTTCTAGATTTGTCTGGCAGGGCAAGAAGCCCAGAATAAAATTTAAGATATTAACTGATGCAAAGGAAAGGGGTGGATTTGCCCTGCCAGACTTTAAACTTTACTATGAATCAGCAGCTTTTTGCTGGTTGAAAGAATGGCTACTTCTTGAAAACACAGACATTTTGGACTTAGAAGGTTTTAACAATGTATTTGGATGGCATGCATATCTGTGGTATGACAAGGTCAAAGCGCATAAAGCATTTAAAAACCATATTGTCAGGAAAGCATTGTTTAATGTTTGGATAAGATACAAGGATTTATTGGAAAACAAAACCCCAAGGTGGCTGTCACCGATGGAAGCGAAAGCTCTGAAAAGGCTCAATATGGAGGCCAATTGGCCGAAATATTGGGAAATTTTGGAACAAGATGGAGATAGACTGAAACTGCAGAGTTTTGAGAAACTAAAAATAAAGTGCGAGACTGGCTTCATTATTATCAGATAATGGAGGCATATAATTTGGACAAGAAAATTGGCTTCCAGGTGGAAAAATCAAAATTAGAAACAGAACTGTTAGAACCCAAAACTAAGATTTTGTCAAAGATGTATAACTTGCTGTTGAAATGGAATACTCAGGATGAAACGGTGAAATCTGCTATGATTAAATGGGCACAAGATTTTGGACATAACATTATGTTTGCTGACTGGGAACAGTTGTGGACCACAGGTATGAAGTTTACGGCATGTAATGCTTTAAGAGAGAATATTATGAAAATGATATACAGGTGGTACATGACCCCAGTCAAGCTTGCAAAAATTTATCATTTGCCCGATAACAAATGTTGGAAATGTAAAGAAACTGAAGGTACATTCTTTCACCTCTGGTGGACGTGCCCAAGGATTAAGGCTTTCTGGGAAATGATATATAATGAACTGAAAAAGCTATTTAAATATACCTTCTTGAAGAAACCAGAGGCCTTTCTCCTGGGCATAGTCGGCCAATTGGTGCCAAAGAAGGATAGAACCTTTTTTATGTATGCCACAACAGCAGCAAGAATACTCATTGCAAAGTATTGGAAGACACAAGATCTACCCACTCTGGAAGAATGGCAGATGAAGCTGATGGACTATATGGAACTGGCAGAAATGACTGGCAGAATCCGAGACCAGGGAGAAGAGTCGGTGGAAGAAGATTGGAAGAAATTCAAAGACTATCTACAGAATTATTGTAAAATTAATGAATGTTAGAATGATGTTGGATAGAAATTAAGTGGTTTCCAGCTGTAATGCTTTAAGGGATTATGAAAAATGGGTTGTTAATAGGTAAAAATTTAACGTTACTATTTTAAGACTAAAGATTAGGATAAATAAAGAGGGTAAGGATTTGCTGAACCAACAAATTGAACTGGAATACGAAAAAGGGAGGTATGAGGAGGTCCGGGAAACAAGCTAAAGGAAAACAAGCAATGGAAAATCTGTGTGTTTTTAACTATTTTTATTTTGTATTTTTGTTATTTTTTTCATTTTTATTGTAATACTTTAAGAAAACTTAATAAATATCTTATTAAAAAAAAAATGGTCAGGCGGTGTTGTAGCCCCAGTCATGTCTGCGATCCAGCACTGCCCTGCAGCCTGCTTGCAGATCAGCCAATGGCAGGCAGGCTTAGGCTCAGCCAACAGGCATCACTTGGCTCCACTCCCAGGGGGATAAACAGAGGTTGGCAAAGACTTCCTCCCCAATTCTTCACTGGATCTCCCACTCTGCCTCCATTATTCATGTCTTTTTTGCCTTCATGTTTGACCTTGCTGTGTACTTTATTGGTTGCCATATTCAGAACCAGGCCAGAATTTTTCCACTTGGCAAATTGGCTCCAGTTTTGTGGTTTTTGCCTTCCTCGTAGCAATAGTCACAACTTTGTAAGGTTAGGCATTGGGTAAGCCATGGTCTTGGCTGGAGGGGAGGTTGTAGCCTCTTCCTGTCCCTCCTTGGTTATGGGTATCCTGTTAAAGGGATCTGCAAGGAGTTGCTTCTGTCTGGATGCCCAGACGGGGACTAAGGTCACAGTACTCCTCCACGGGGAACCCTCATGGGGTACCCCTATTTGATGTAGGTCATATCACACACACACCCCGCCAGATGTGATTTACCCTTAGATGCACTCCCAGCAAATGGTCTGGAGTTGAAAATGGCTACACCCAAATGCCTATGCCAAACCATTCACACCTGTAATCAATAAAGTTGTGGCCGATTTGAAGCCAATTTATGTTGTTGTCTTGTCTGGTTATGTTGTTGTCTTGTCTGGCAGGGATACTGGAGAGGCTTGCCGGTTCCTGCTCCAGGAACCTAGACAGCATCTTAAAAAGCAGAGACATCACCTTGCCAACAAAGGTCCGTATAGTAAAAGCTATGGTTTTCCCAGTAGTGATGTATGGAAGTGAGAGCTGGACCACAAAGAAGGCTGATCGCCAAAGAATGGATGCTTTTGAATTCTGGTGCTGGAGGAGACTCTTGAGAGTCCCATGGACTGCAAGAAGATCAAACCTCTCCATTCTGAAGGAAATCAGCACTGAGTGCTCCCTGGAAGGACAGATCCTGAAGCTGAGACTCCAAGACTTTGGCCACCTCAGGAGAAGAGAAGACTCCCTGGAAAAGACTCTGATGTTGGGAAAGATGGAGGGCACAAGGAGAAGGGGGCGACAGAGGACGAGATGGTGGGACAGTGTTCTCGAAGCTACCAGCATGAGTTTGACCAAACGACTAAACAACAACAACAAACCCAAGTAGAAGAGGGGTGGATCTACACACAGGGGGGAAAACATGGCGCTACAAATAAGTCAGAAATTAAATAATTATAACAAAAGGGGAAAAATATTATTTAAAAAATTGCATAGAATTTTTTTTCTTTGCTCTCTGGCGCCATCTGGTGTGTGTGTGGGGGGGGGTTGGACTAATGTAACCGAGTCCCAGATGTCCTCAAAGCATCTGACGTGAAGACAAGCTTGGACCAGCCAAACTGTCCAGAACTCTGCTTAAAATGGCAGGTGGCATTTTAATCATGGTGCAGCCCATCTCCCTATTTATCCCCTCCTTCCTGAGTCAGTCTCGGTGGAGCAGCACCAGGATTTACCGTATTTTCCATGTATAACACGCCCCCATGTATAAGACACCCCCTGTTTGGGGGACTCCAAATTAAGAAAAGGGGGGCCGTCTTATACCTGTGTATTCGATGCCCCCAATTTTTTAACATAATTTTAAAAGAAAAAGACCTAGTCTTATACACGGGAAAATATGGTATTTAAATTTTTTATTTAAAACAAAAGCAAAAGCAACTTCCCTGTGCATGTTGTTGGTAGAAACCCGCCTTGAGGGAAACAAAGTGTTGACAACCTTGCCAGAAAAGCCCCTTTGAGTCAGCCAGAGCTTTTTATCTCCAGCCCTCTCTAACCCCATAGACCTCCGCCAAGGAATAGCCTGTACGGATCAACCTTGGGCATCCAAAGATGAAGACTCTAGGTCTCAACAAATGCCCCAGAACTCTAGGCCACTGTCCCCATCTTGGTAACCACCTGGCAGAGGTGAGCACCCCAAGCGAACAGACTGACAGCTGCCACCAGGGTCAGGAATGGAAACTTGAATCCAGCTCCACTGGAAATGGATATCAGAATGGAAGCAGAAGCTGCTGAGGAGACCAGGAGTGAGAACCCAGTGCTGGATTTACGTATAAGCTAAACAAGCTCTAGCTTAGGGCCCCACTCTCTTGGGGGATCCCAACAAATTTAAAGGGGAAAAAACTGGATGTACATTTCCAAAATATAACATAAAAAACAAATATAATAATATACAGCAACAGTGTTTTGTGTTGTGTAGGCTCCTGTGATGTAAGTAATGGGACCCGCCTGCTAGCCTGCTCCCTAAAATATCACTGGTTCGCTCATTTCTATATATAAGGTGCCTACATTCTGCATGGGATTAAACCACAGTGCCTAGGATTTGCCGATCAGAAGGTCGGTGGTTCTCCTGTTGCTCGGTCCCTGATCCTGCCAACCTAGCAGTTCGAAAGCACGTCAAAGTGCAAGTAGATAAATAGGTACCACTCCGGTGGGAAGGTAAACGGCGTTTCCATGCACTGCTCTGCTTCACCAGAAGCGGCTTAGTCATGCTGGCCACATGACCCAGAAGCTGTACGCCGGCTCCCTCGGCCAATAAAGCGAGATGAGTGCCGCAACCCCTGGACTGGACCTAATGGTCAGGGGTCCCTTTACCTTTACATTTTGCATGGACTGGTTGCATGGCAACATGTACAAATGGCTTGAGATACCTATTAGGCCCATAAATTACCATATAGCATGTATTCAACTAAAAAAACCAGCAGCAATTTGTTATTGACAAAGGACAGCTGGACGTATAAAAGGCCCCATTCCCTTCAGTATCTTAGGGCCTCATCAGACCTAAATCTGGCCCTGTGAGAACCACAACCGCCAGATCAGGCTGGCACCTGACACCATCTGGCCCTATAGCCATTCTCACCTGAGGTGCCAGGACATCCCCTGGGATTGGAGGAGGAAGGGAAAGAATGGACGCTTGTGCATTTAGCCAACGCTACTCCTGAACGTTTTAACATCAGCCAAAGATTACTTGGTTGCATCAAGTCAAAAGACAAACTGTTTGTCCTCTTATTCAAACCGCTGGCCAAAAACCACAGAGCAGATAACATTGGAGGCGGCGTGGCTGAGGTAGAAGGTCGGATCAAATGGATGCCCTGGGGAGGTGGAAAATGGGCACAACTTCACCCAAGATGCCAGGATGCATCCTGTGGTCAAAGGAGAAAGAATATGCCTAATGGGCACTGGTGCATTTAGCTAAAAAGGCTCCTAAGTGTTTTAACAGCAGCCAGAAATATGCAAACGAAGCTTCTCCAGCTAGATGAAGCCATATAAAACTCTGCACATGGGCAGGAACTTGCCATGCCATGGGAGCCAGTGCAGAACTCCCACCAGCCCCATATTTCTACTGTTTAAAGGGAATACTAGAAAGCTTGGGGGCTTTCTAGAAATTCTCCTCAATTCTATTTAATTCTATTTAAAAATTTTTGAAACTATTTGGGACTATTTGTCAAAGAAAGGAAAGAAGAAAAAATATTTTACACACAGGCAGAAAACATGGAATGGCGCCTGGGTTATTTCATGTGCAAACTGTGGCCCAGAAAATGAAACTCTGCAGAGTGAATTTCAAGAGATCCTTAAGACAATGACTTGGAAAGTTGTGGTAAAAGAGAGGCAGCTTTGCCTTTTCAATAGCTGAGGGAAAAGCCTAAGGAAAAGGGACAAGGCCATCTTGCAGTTTCACCCAGCAAGGCAATTCCAAGCCATCCTCTGGGGAACCTTCCAAATTCCTCAGGGACTCGTGAGGCGTGTTTAGTGATTAATTAATTTCAGAACGAGGCATGTGTAGTGATTAATTTATTTCAGACGGTAGCTGTTTAGAAGGGCCATCGAGAAGGGCTTACTCCAGGGGGGAGAAAGAGGGCAGGAGAACCTTTTGAATCGTCAAGAAAGGAAGGAAGGAAGGAAGGAAGAGGCATGTACCTAAAGGCAGCCTGGCGTTTTGAGCCTGGCGTTCATTTAGCCTCTTCATGGCGGGAGAGAGGGAAAATGCCTCTGCTAGAGGACGGCTCCATTTCCTCTGCTCAGTTTGTTCACATCCCTTGTCTGGTCTGAAGGGAGAGAAAAAAGGTCTTATTTCTCCACAGAAACAATCCCGGGACTCATTTGGTTCCTCACCAGATGTCTCACCCCTTAAGTCTCTGAGGGAAGAGGGCATGGAGGCAGACAAGCCGGAGGTTTCTGAGGGAAGGAGCTCAGAAAACCACAATCTGACACCCAAAATGCAGAGGTTACACTACACACATCCACAAAAAGCAGCGCCAGTTTAAAGTCATAGTGAAAAATTACAGGTGGCAGTGATTGCATCGCACAAATGCAGAGCCCCACACCTTGAGGTAAAACCCTTTGCAGATCTGGAATGCAAAGGGCAGGCATAGGCAAACTCAGCTCTCCAGATCTTTTGGGACTACAACTCCCATGATCCGTAGCTAACAGGACCCGTGGTCAGGGATGATGGGAATTGTAGTCCCAAAACATCTGGAGGGCCGAGTTTGCCTATGCCTGGCAAAGAGGGAGGAGATCCTTTGCCACCCATGAGGGGCTCTGGTTTTATGCGCCACAACCCTCCTGAGGCATCAGGAAAAAATGGAGACTGGCCATCTAGGGCAGCCATTCACCTCAGAAAGAACAGGCAGCTTGTTCCTTCCTCTCTCTGTGCGTGGAGACAGGTGCAAAAATGGTGGCTGCACCTTGCCTGTTACCCTCCTTCTGCCTTGCCCAGCCCCATGGGTGCCTTTTGCGGTTTCCCCATATCCCCCCCAACTTTAAAACAAGTTTCCCTTCGCTGGGTGTGACAGAGGTGGGTACAAAAATGGCGGCCGCATCTCATCCAATAGCAGCCTTCTCATGCCTGACTTGGCCTTGGGTTTGGGGGGGATTCCTGCCCTTTTGGCTGCCTCTGACGTGCGCTCACTTATTTTATTTCAGAGAGGGAGTGAGGTGTCATTCTTAGCACGGGTTAGGGTTAGAATGGCAGCCTGTGTGTGCATTTATAGCTCAATTTCTCTGCTGTTGTTTTCTCATAATCTTCATTATTATTGCTGTTGTTGTTTAGTCGTTTAGTCGTATCCGGCACTTCCATACATCACTACTGGGAAAACCAGAGCTTGAACTATACGGACCTTTGTTGGCAAGGTGATGTCTCTGCTTTTTAGGATGCTATCTAGGTTTGTCTCATTATTATTAGCAGCCGGAAAATGTATGTGTGTGTTGTGCAGTCCCCTGTTGAATTTGGATGTGTTCTTGCTTCCAGTATCGGCAGTTCTGAGGTTAGGACTGCAGCCTGTGTCTGTGCATAGCTGTCAACTCTTCCCTTTTTAAAGGGAAATTTCCTTGTTCCGAATAGGATTCCTCGCAAGAAAAGGGAAGAGTTGACAGCTATGTGTCTGTGTGTGTTGCTGAATGCTTTTGTCATCTCAGCGTTATCATCCTAGCAGAGCATTATCTTCATTATTATTATTTTTTAAATAATATTTATTAAAGTTTCAAAGGATACAAAAATTACACAAAAACAAAAAGTACAAAAAGTAAAAATACAAGAAAATAGAAAATACAGAAAAAAGAATAAAAAACAAAAACAAAACAAATTCATTATTTTCAGACCCTTAACTGTCATTGCCTTCTTTCATAGACCTCCTCCTCCTCCCCCCCTTTGTATTCTAGTTATTAATTATCTCAGCAAATCCTTTCCTTTCCATGTTTCATAAAATTTTATCATTACATTACCCTCGACTAATTTAATCCTATCTTTCTATAATAAAATAAACCTTAAAGTTTAAAACTTAAGTCTTAACCTTACCAGCTTCTTATAATCATAATATTCTTTCATAATTCTTTATGCATCTTTACTAAAGCCAGGTAATTTCTTCCAACATTTTTCTATCATTCACCAACTTTATAAAACATTCTAATAATAAAGAAAGAGAAAAAGAGAGATATAGACAAATCCAATCTTTAGCCAACGTCCCTTCCTCCTGGTTCCGGGATTTGTCAGTCCTTATTCGCAGAGCATTATCTTCATTCCACATTGTGGGAAGAAGATGTGGCACAATAAATGTGTGCGCTGCTGTTGCATGCTTCTTGTTTTCTTTGCAAAACGGGAATACAGGGAGGGAACCAGAACAGGAGAGCATGCAGGGAAGCAACAGGGGCAGCTGGGACCAGCTTTCAGAAGCAAGCTAAGACACTTTTCAGTTCAGTTAGGTACTAAATATTTGTAGAAGTGCAATTCTTAAATGTTTCTAATATATTTGCAAGGGGAAAATATGTGGCGGGGGAAGGGAGAACAGCTTGGCCATGTCCCCTTGACCCCCTTGGCCATGCCCCTGAGACCATGTTCGCATGATCTCCTAGCTGTCCTATCAGGTCTGAGGGACACCAGACACCATGGGTTGACTCTGAATAAATGCCATGGGGTGCCTGTAAAGGTAAAGGGACCCCTGACCATTAGGTCCAGTCGTGACCGACTCTGGGGTTGCGGTGCTCATCTCGCTTTATTGGCCGAGGGAGCCGGCGTACAGCTTCCGATGTGGCCAGCATGACTAAGCCGCTTCTGGTGAACCAGAGCAGCGCACGGAAACGCCGTTTACCTTCCCGCCGGAGCGGTACCTATTTATCTACTTGCACTTTGATGTGCTTTCGAACTGCTAGGTTGGCAAGAGCAGGGACCGAGCAACGGGAGCTCACCCCATCACGGGGATTCGAACCGCTGACCTTCTGATCGGCAAGTCCTAGGCTCTGTGGTTTAACCCACAGCGCCACCCGCGTCCCACCGGGTGCCTATAGGGGGGAAATATTCTTCAGGTGACCTGCCTCTTCCCCATTGCACATCTAATATAGAGAAACCCTTGCCGCTGTGAGAGATTGCTCACACTGAGCCAGCCAGGAACCATTTCTGACAGCCTGATGAGTCCCAGGGAGCCATGCGTTGTGTCTCATGTGGGGTTTCAGCCATGGTGGTTGGCAGCAGGTGGTGCAACAGCTAACACTGGACTACAATTTCTCCAGGTAATGTCCTCTTAGGGCTCTAAGGAGGCAGAAATTTCCACCCCATCCTGTGCTTATCACCAACTCAACACCCTTCGTGTTCTGCTACTTTGCGTTCTTCCACTGAAACCTGTGCTGTCCATTTTACTATCTGCTATGACCAAAACTAAGGGACGCGGGTGGCGCTGTGGTCTAAACCACTGAGCCTTGGCTTGCTGATCAGAAGGTTGGCGGTTCGAATCCCCATGACGGTGTGGGCTCCCGTTGCTCGGTCCCTGCTCCTGCCCACCTAGCAGTTCGAAATCATGTCAAAGTGCAAGTAGATAAATAGGTACCACTCCGGCGGGAAGGTAAACAGCATTTCCGTGTGCTGCTCTGGTTTGCCAGAAGTGGCTTAGTCATGCTGGCCACATGACCCGGAAGCTGTACGCCGGCTCCCTCGGCCAGTAAAGCGAGATGAGCGCTGCAGACCCAGAGTCGGTCACGACTGGACCTAATGGTCAGGGGTCCCTTTACCTTTACCTTATGGCCAAAATGAAATAATTTCAATGTATTTCAATGGAAGGGGGATGTCAAAAGTAATGCAAAAAGTAAAATAAATAAATACATACATACATGAAATGGTTACGGGCTTTAAAAAGCAATGGTAGTGTATACCGCTTGCTTTCATTTCTGGTGGAATTCTCTAACATCCCTGTTTTCTTTTAAGCTCTCCAAACAAACTCAACTTGGCCAGCGTAAGATGCCTCTGGGGCAAAGTTAATTGCTTGCCAACAGAGAAGGAGTTAAATGATAATTGATTTGGACTGATTCTGTAAACGAGTTAAAAAGCATAGGAGGGTAATAACATTGGCACTACGCTATTGTGGCTTTTAGGTCCTGCCCCCCCCCCAAAAAAGGACTGAGACTCTCTTGTGCCAACCCCCACACACCGTATTTTTGCTCCAGTCTGAAGGAAACCTTTATAAATTAAATCCATATTCCCTTGTTGATAAAATACATTTTATTCTATGTTTAACCATCAGCAATATAACATAAAAACAATAATGGGAAGCATTATCTTGCTTGACGCAGTACTTTTCATTCTATATTTCTAGAACCTCTATTGCAACGCAGTACATATCTATTAACGATGGGAAAATTTAAAATTCAGAGGAAAATCAATCTGATATTTTTTTCAAGTAGATTCAGTCTCAGAGAATTTGCTTGAGAACTTCCTTTTCCCCCAGGTCCACTCTCTAGCTTGTTTCAGTCCCAATGCTTCTTGCCTAAATATGCCTTAAACACCCTTTGAACCCAGTAATTAATAAAGCAGACCGTCCCCACTTCTTCAAGAAGTCTTGGGTAGATCATGGATTCTAATCTGTACTAATGCTTCAGATATCAGAATCAACTGGGGTATTTATTCTTTCATTCTGGATCCCCCCCTGGCATTAGCGAGTGGCTGTGTTGAACCATGAGATGGAAATGACCTCTCCTGGTTAATGACTGATTGACGGTTGCTCGTGCGAGAGAGAAAGCTTTGCAGAGGCATTTGACATGCAAGTGAACATTCTGGTCAAGGCTGTTTGTGTATTTGCTAACAGGCCTTGCCAAAGGCAACCTCAGAACCACCCCAGCCCCCAGCAGGGATGGATGATAGAGAAACACTTTGAAACAGAAGGAGGCGGGCTCTGGTCAAGGGTGACCTCTCACATATTTCTGGGTGTGTTTCCAATGGAAACATGAGAGTCTGTGAAGATTTCAAAAGCTAGGTAAAGGTAAAGGGACCCCTGACCATTAGAGGTCCAATCGTGGCCGACTCTGGGGTTGCGGCGCTCATCTCGCTTTATTGGCCAAGAAGCCGGCGTACAGCTTCCGGGTCATGTGGCCAGCATGACTAAGCCGCTTCTGGCGAACCAGAGCAGCGCACGGAAACGCCGTTTACCTTCCCGCTGGAGCGGTACCTATTTATCTACTTGTGCTTTGACGTACTTTCGACCTGCTAGGTTGGCAGGAGCAGGGACCGAGCAACGGGAGCTCACCCCGTTGCGGGGATTCGAACCGCCGACCTTCTGATCAGCAAGCCCTAGGCTCTGTGGTTTAACCCACAGTGCCACCTGCGTCCCTTTATTCAAAAGCTAGGTGGCTGTTATTTAAACAGGAGATTTTGCAGCATTTGAACCAAAAAGTGTGCTCCACCATCACATAGAGCAATTCTCTTCCTGACCTGGGACACACCTTTAAGGCAAACAGGCATTTATGGACTAATTCTCAATTTTACCATCTGCATGGTGTGAGTTCTGCTGTTGTTGCCATTGACCTTAGACAAGCTGTGACCCAATAGTAGGGACCTCGCCCACCAGTTGAAGACCAAAGCCATAGAGCAGTCTTGCTCAACCTGGTGCCTTCAAGCTGTTTTGGACTATAACTCATTGTCGTCTGAAGCAGCTGGAGGGCACCAGGTTGCAGATGGCTGCCATGTTGGGGTGCCATGTAGCTCTTTGATTGCTTGTGACTCTTTGTGATCCAAGACCTGTCCACCTCCCTCCACTGAGTACCATCTGGAGATGTTTAGTAGGCTGACTCTGGCCACAAGGTGGCCGTTAAAGGCACAGAGTCTAGGAGATTTGGGCAGAAACAGCATTGGGACAATATTAGCATAACCTTGGAGAATGTCACTGTGTAGTTCTGGTTGCTTCACCTCAAAAACGATATTGCAGAATCGGAAAAAGTTTAGAAAAGTACAACCAAAACAATCAAGGAGCAACTTCCCTATGAAGAAAGGCTGCAGCGCTTGGGACTTTGTAGTTTAGAGAAGAACAAGTAAGAGGCATCATGATAGAAGTTTCTAAAATTATACATGACATGGACATCCATTGAAGCTGAATGTTGGAAGATTCAGGACAGAGAAAAGTCAGTCCTTCCTCATGCATTTCAGAGTTAAACTACGGAACTCTCTCCCACTGGAGGAAGTGGTGTCCACCAATTTACACGGCTTTAAAAGAGGATTGGACACATTAATGGAAGAGGAGAGGGCTATCAGTGACTACTAGCCATGATGTCTATGCTGTATCTCCATCGTCAGAGGCACTAATGCTTCTAAAGATGAGTTGCTGGAAATCTCAGGAGGGGAAAGTACTGTTGCCCTCATGTCAAACTTGCAGGCTTCCCACAGCCATCCGGCTGGGCACTGTTAGAACAGAATGCTAGGCTAGATAGACCAGTGACCTGTTCCAGCAGCTCCTCATTTGTGTTCTTATGTTTTCGATTCGATTCAATAATCTTTATTGTCATTGTCCCATACAGAACAACGAAATTGAAAAAATCTACATTCAAAACACAACAAGCCTGCTATCCCAGCTATCCCAACCTGGTTAGCCCCCTAAAAACTCTGATACAGTGGTACCTCAGGTTACATACACTTCAGTTTACAGACTCCGCTAACCCAGAAATAGTACCTCAGGTTAAGAACTTCGCTTCAGGATCAGAACAGAAATCGTGCTCCAGCGGGGCGGCAGCAGTGGGAAGCCCCATTAGCTAAAGTGGTGCTTCAGGTTAAGAACAGTTTCTGGTTAAGAATGGACCTCCGGAACGAATTAAGTACTTAACCCGAAGTACCACTGTACCTGATTTTTTGTCAGAATTGCCCCACTGGGTCAAACTAAGCAAATCCATCTATCCCAATCTTCTGTTCCCAGAAGCTCATAACAGAGCAGGGCAGGAGACAGGAATGTCACATAGCCCAGACAGTTCACAGGCTTAAAACATGACTAAATAATGGGGTGTGTTTCTGCATAGTTCTAGAGCAGCTTAGGGCGAAATGGAAACGTACAAGACCCATGATGAACAGGTGAACCCAATATGCATCTTCTCCCCTCCCTCCCTCCCTCCCCACCCACCCCAGGCAATGGTTTGCCATATCTGGGATCAGCGAGGCACCAAACACAGCTCATATGTTGGGGGGATGTTCCCAAAGCCACTCAGTTTCGGGGAGAGGTCAATGTCCTTTGCAGGCACAAGGGATTTCAGAGAGAAGCTTTGCAAGATGGTGGTGAAATAGAGGAAGAGCTCCATGCGGGCCATGGCTTCCCCCAGGCAGACGCGCTTCCCTGTGGGGAGAGAGAGAGAAAGGAACCCGAACAAGTTATAATTTGCTTGGCCAAGGGGCTCCACTCTGGCTGCAGATGCTACAGAGGTCTTGGAAAGCCACCTTCCCTTCGGCCTTTATAGTTCTCTCTCACATTATTCTCTGCCAGTACTACTATATAATTAATAAATAAAATAAAATAAAATAAAATAAAATTTATTTATACCCCGCCCAACTGGCTGGGCCTCCCCAGCCACTCTGGGTGGCTTCCAACAAAGTATTAAAATACAATAACCTATTAAACATTAAAAGCTTCCCTAAAAAGGGCTGCCTTCAGATGTCTTCTAAAAGTCTGGTAGTTGTTTTTCTCTTGGACATCTGGTGGGAGGGCGTTCCACAGGGCAGGTACCACTACCGAGAAGGCCCTCTGCCTGGTTCCCTGTAACCTCCAGAAGGCCCTCGGAGCTAGAGGTGAGTGTCTAGTACAGTGTCAGTACTATGAGCACCATTGCTATCACTACCACTGCTATTATTCTTAATCATCATCATCGTTTGTTTCCCACATTTCTTCCAAGGTTTTCAGGGTGGCACACACAGGAATCATCCCATTGTATCTTCACAACAGAGTTGCAGGCTCGGTTAAGCTACAAGGGAGCTGACTAGCCAAAGGCCACTTTCAGTAAGCAGTAAAAAGCAAACAGGGACAAAGACCTACCCGAAGAAAATGGCACAAAAGCATCGTTCTTCTTAAAGCGCCCTTTCTCATCCAGGAAGTGCCCAGGGTTGAACTTCTGGGGGTTGCTGAAATATTTGGGATCACGTAAGACCGAGCCTAATAAGGGGAAGACATCGGTGCCCTGGAAAGACATGAGACAGAGGTCCATCTTGAAATGGAACTGACAGGGACAGCGAGGGCCTCATAAACAGATATGGCTCACCCTTCCATCCCCCCTTTCCCCATAGACTTGTTCCTTTTTAACTTAACTCTTGTCTCACCTTGGGGAGGTGGTACCCCCGGAACTGAGTGTCTCGCATCACAGTGTGTGGAACTCCCATGGGGACAATGTCCGTCAGTCTCTGGATCTCATGGATGACGGCGTCTGTGTAGGGCATGTTCATCCTGTCCTCGCTGGCAGGGATGCGGTTGAGGCCAATGATGTGGTCAATTTCCTGGTGGACCTTCTCTGTGGAGACATCAAGAAACACCTTCTAGGAGAGCAACCAGGGGAAGTGAAAACATGGCCTTCTGAGAACATAAGTGAGAGAAAGAAACGCATTATGGATGCGAGTGGAACGGCCCTGGGATTAGCTGCCTTCCGGAGCTTAGAATTGGAAGCTGTCTATCATGTAGAGGCATCAAACCTTAAACTGGAAACAAGTGGACTTGGTGCATTCAACCTTGTTTAATGCCTGACAGTTCCTCATCATTGTTCAGTCCCTATGGGCCTGGAAGAAGCTGGTATAAAACGATGCCTGGAAAATCCAGCAGTTGTAGCTTACTGCTGTCTCCCTGGGACATTGCAGGAGAGAGTACAGATGGCTCCGAAGTAGGGAGTAATTGCTTCAGTCCTCCTGAGCAGAAGAGTTAGCTAGAGGGAAGCCTTTCAGAGATGGCCACTTCCATATCCCCTCACTCATATGCAGTGGCTACTTTTTCTCTTTGTCCACAGCAGTCACGAAATTAAAAGACGCTTGTTTCTTGGGAGAAAAGCAATGACAAACCTAGACAGCATCTTAAAAAGCAGAGACATCACCTTGCCGACAAAGGTCCGTATAGTTAAAGCTATGATTTTCCCAGTAGTGATGTATGGAAGTGAGAGCTGGACCACAAAGAAGGCTGATCGCCAAAGAATGGATGCTTTTGAATTGTGGTGCTGGAGGAGACTCTGGAGAGTCCCATGGACTGCAAGAAGACCAAACCTATCCATTCTGAAGGAAATCAGCCCTGAGTGCTCCCTGGAAGGACAGATCCTGAAGCTGAGGCTCCAAGACTTTGGCCACCTCATGAGAAGAGAAGACTCCCTGGAAAAGACCCTGATGTTGGGAAAGATGGAGGGCGCAAGGAGAAGGGGACGACGGAGGACAAGATGGTGGGACAGTGTTCTCGAAGCTACCAGCATGAGTTTGACCAAACTGCGGGAGGCAGTGGAAGACAGGAGTGCCTGGCGTGCTCTGGTCCAGGGGGTCACGAAGAGGTGGACACGACTAAATGACTAAACAACAACTTTTTCTCTTCTCCTCATTATGGGTCAAAACTGAGGTGAGCAGCCGTAATTGAATCACTCCTCAACTAACCATGTGAAGGGGGCAGGAATGAAGTTGTCTCCAGTTGAACTTTAATGTGGGGATCAATAAATCACTGTAGGGAAAGGAAGGTGTGTGAGCACTTCCACCCTGAAGGTCTGTAAGGATGGAAGGCGAGCTCTTTCACTACAATATGCACCTGGCCTCTTCTCCATCTCACACTGAGATATTTTTGTTTTGCCCTCCAATTCTTCTCCTCTTCTCTTTCTTAGGGCTTACTTAGACCTAACGTTACACATGTAATTGGGAAGCCCATCTTGCTTTTTCTTTTCTTTTTTCAGAGAAGGCGTGAGAATGCCAGCTTTCATTGGGACCACAACAGAGAGAGAGAGAGCAGGTTTTGCCAGTGGAAGACAGACAGCCCAACAGCAGGTGGTGCCAGAGTCAATGACAGGTAGAGCCAACTAACCCAGCCTTGCCCCCATTTTTCATCCTCCCTGCTGAGCTCTGCAATGAGGAAAATTGAGGCTGGGGAGGAAGAGAAAGCTGGCAGGTAGATTCTACCCCTTGGACTGGACGTGTGGGAGAAGGCAGGCAGGTGGGGGCTGCCCAAGGGGGCACGGGATTAGCTGTTCCCTACTTCACTGTGATCCAGATGAAAGCCGCCCCCCTTGCTATTAAACTCTGGGGGAAAGTCCCCATTGACAGCAGCTGAAGCTTGCCTTCCATGATGAAAAGCAGAGTGAGGCAACACTTTTCATAGGAACTGAAGGAAGACTTAAATCTTTCCTTCCCGTGTGCTGCAGTCTCTCTCTCTCTCTCTCTCTCTCTCTCTCTCTCTCTCTCTCACACACACACACACACACACACACACCTGTCAGCCATCCTCATGATGCTTTTAGCACTGACGCAGGTGGCGCTGTGGGTTAAACCACAGAGCCTAGGACTTAGGAGCCTAGGATTCGGCAGTTCGAATCCCCGCGACGGGGTGAGCTCCCATTGCTCGGAGCCTGATCCTGCCAACCTAGCAGTTCCAAAGCACATCAAAGTGCAAGTAGATAAATAGGTACCGCTCCGGCGGGAAGGTAAACGGCATTTCCGTGCGCTGCTCTTGTTCGCCAGAAGCGGCTTAGTCCTGCTGGCCACATGACCTGGAAGCTGTACGCCAGCTCCCTTGGTCAATAAAGCGAGATGAGCGCCGCAACCCCAGAGTCGGCCACGACTGGACCTAATGGTCAGGGGTCCCTATACCTTTACCTTTTACTAGTTGGGTGCCTTTAGTCTCCTGGTTCTTCTGATTTTGATACAGCTGCTGATGTATGTTAGGTGTCATCATTAATCGTATTATCAATGGTAAATGACAATGGCTACAAACTGCTATCTAAGCTTAATGGGTCATATTTGGCTACAGACCTGGATTGCTATACTTTCAGGTAATGATTTAACCCTAAACCAGCCTTTACCAACTTGGTGCCTCTATATATTTCGGACTACAATTGCTGTGCCGACTGGGTCTGATGGGCGTTGTAGCCCAAAATACCTGAAGAGCCCCAGGCAGATGAAAAAAGGTAAAGGTAAAGGACCCCTGACAGTTAAGTCCAGTCACAGACGACTCTGGGGTTGCAGCGCTCATCTCGCTTTACAGGCCGAGGGAGCCGGCGTTTGTCTGCAGACAGTTTTTCCAGGTCACGTGAACAGCAGGACTAAGCCGCTTCTGGTGCAACGGAACACTGAAACCAGAGCTGCGCATGGAAATGCCGTTTACCTTCCTGCCACAGCGGTACCTATTTATCTATTTGCACTTTGACGTGCTTTAAAACTGCTAGGTTGGCAGGAGCTGGGACCGAGCAACAGGAGCTCATCCCATCGCGAGGATTCAAACCGCTGACCTTCTGATTGGCAAGTCCTAGGCTCTGTGGTTTAACCCACAGCGCCACCCGCGTCTGATGGGCGTTGGTAGCCCAAAATACCTGAAGAGCCCCAGGCAGATGAAGGAAGAAGAGGAGGAGTTTGGATTTGATATCCTGCTTTATCACTACCCGAAGGAGTCTCAAAGCAGCTAACATTCTCCTTTCCCCTCCTCCCCCACAACAAACACTCTGTGAGGTGAGTGGGGCTGAAAGACTTCAGAGAAGTGGGACTAGCCCAAGGTCACCCAGCAGCTGCATGTGGAGGAGCGGGGAAACGAACCCAGTTCACCAGATTATGAGACTACCACTCTTAACCACCACACCACTCCACTACATCAGCACTTGCTTGACATCTGCCAGTCCCAGATGTCATCCTCCATACCTTCCACTTCTGGGTGTTTCATCAAGAAGAGGAATCCATATCTCAGGGTGGAGCTGACCGTCTCTGTCCCAGCAAAGAACAGGTTGAGGGTGGTGAGGACCAGATTCTTTAGGTTGAATTCACTGGAAGGGTTCCCTTTTTCCTTTGAAGGAACAAAGAAATTAGTGTATGTGTGTGCGTGTGCATTTGCGTGAATGTGCACCATGTACACAAGCACGGCCACTGGTGGGAAGAATGGTTTTATGGTTCAAATGTGTGCTTTGGCTCAGGGCCGGATTTAGGTTTGATGAGGCCCTAAGCTACTGAAGGTAATGGGGCCCTTTATATGTCCAGCTTGTCAACAACAAATTGTTGCTGTTTTGTTTTTTGTGTTGAATATACGCTATATGGTAATTTATGGACCTTATAGGTCTCTAAAGCCATTTGCACATAACAAAATACAGTGGTACCTCGGGTTATGTACTTAATTTGTTCTGGAGGTCCGTTATTAACCCGAAACTGTTCTTAACCTGAAGCACCACTTTAGCTATTTCTGTTCTCATCCTGAAGCAAAGTTCTTAACCCGAGGTACTATTTCTGGGTTAGCGGAGTCTGTAACCTGAAGCATATGTAACCTGAAGCGTCTGTAACCCGAGGTACCACTGTATGTATTTTATCAAAGTCATTGTTGAACTGAAATACAATTAAAAAGTATATTAATAGTGAAATACAATTAATTATATTAATAGTGAAATACAATTAAGAAGTATATTAATGGTGAAATAATTATTAAGCTCTAACCGTATGTGGGTTTAATTTTTTATCTTATATTTTGGAAATGTACATCCAGTTTTTTTTCTTTTAATTTTTTGGGGCCCCCAAGAGAGTGGGGCCCTAAGCTATAGCTTGTTTAGCTTATGCGTAAATCTGGCACTGACTCTGCTAATGCCTCTTGCTTGTCTGGACAGATAGGGAGGGGTGTGGGTGTTACAGATACCGTCATGCAAAGGTCACATTCAAATTCATTGCTCAGCCCACTTCTTCCTCTGGCTCCATGCAACGCTGCCGTGGGAAAATGGCCCTAGGGCAGAAAAAGGCTCCCAACCCTTGGTATAAAGGTAAAGGGTATAGGGACCCCTGACCATTTGGTCCAGTCGTGACCGACTCTGGGGTTGCAGCGCTCATCTCGCTTTACTGGCCAGCATGACTAAGCCGCTTCTGGTGAACCAGAGCAGCGCACGGAAACGCCGTTTACCTACCTGCCGGAGCGGTACCTATTTATCTACTGGCACTTTGAGGTGCTTTCGAACTGCTAGGTTGGCAGGAGCAGGGACCTAGCAATGGGAGCTCAGCCCATTGCGGGGATTCGAACTGCCGACCTTCTGATCGGCAAGTCCTAGGCTCTGTGGTTTAACCCACAGTGCCACCTGCGACCCTTGGCATACACCATGCATAATTGGACAAATTTCTGCTATGTCTCCTCTGAGCTGTCTTCCCCCCAACCAGAAAACCTGATATTGTAGCCTTTCCTCACAGGGAAAAATGCACCAAGCCACCCCCGAGCACTTTGGTTGCCTTTCAGCGCACGTTTCTGAGTGAGGAGAGCTGCACACACAACCAGGATTCCAAGTATTGCTGCCCCTATCCTGGCAGGGGGTGGGGGCTTCCCTCCCAATTTCAGATAATATGGTCCAGTTTGGTTCTCTTCCCTTCTCCCATGGCTGAAGAGGGGATCCATTCTGGCACCTTCTCCATCTGGATAAGGAAGCAGTCAATGAAATCCCGCGGGTTGTTGGGGTCGAGTGTCGCTTGGTTCTTTTTGATTCTGTCTGCAACGAAATCCTTGAGCTCCTCGATTAGGTAGTAGATGCGGTTGTGTCTCCCGGGCAAGTATTGCATGACGCAGGAATACATGTCATAGAGCTGGAAGGGGAAAGCAGCTGTTGTTGCTGTATTCTGAGATCATGCACCCAAAGAACAGAGTTTGAAAAATTGAGAGGAATAAAGAGCAGAGACTCTTGCCCAGAGATGGAAAGACGGTAAGATTCCCACTGAGGAGGACTGGCAGAAACTACTGGATTATGCACAGATGGCAAGATTAACTAGGAAGATCAGAAATCAGGAGGATCAAGGCTTCAGTAAAGAATGGGACAAATCTGCATTATATTTGAAAGACCACTGGAGATGCTTGAACTCTCAGGCAGGTTTTAAATAACTTGCAATGACTTTGGATACAATGGAGGATAGCCAACTAAATGGACTTATTAGGTAAAGGTAAAGGGACCCCTGACCATTAGGTCCAGTCGTGGCCGACTCTGGGGTTGCGGCGCTCATCTCGCTTTACTGGCTGAGGGAGCCGACGTACAGCTTCTGGGTCATGTGGCCAGCAGGACTAAGCCGCTTCTGGCGAACCAGAGCAGCACACGGAAACACCGTTTACCTTCCTGCCGGAGTGGTACCTATTTATCTACTTGAACTTTGACGTGCTTTCGAACTGCTAGGTTGGCAGGAGCAGGGACCAAGCAACAGGAGCTCACCCCGTCGTGGGGATTCGAACCACCGACCTTCCGATCGGCAAGTCCTAGGCTCTGTGGTTTAACCCACAGCGCCACCCGCGTCCATATAATGGACTTATTATATGCAGTAAAAAAAAAAATTACTTGAAGAACCCACGAAGGGGAGGGGGGAAGTTCTGAGATTCAGAAGAATCTTGTGCTATTTTTACCATATGTGTTCATGATTGGGAATGGTGTTGTAAAATCAAATTTAAAAATATTATAAAAAAAATAAATACAGAGCAGAGACTCCCAGGGAAGGGGTCTGTTGCCTCTTCCCATTGTCGTCTTGAGAAGCTGAGGTTCCATTTTTTGAATGCTTCCCCCTTGCAGAAAGAGGGACAGATGGACTCCCTTCCAGATCTTTCCATTACCTGTGCCCAAGGAGTGCTCATCTCGATGAAGCTCTCGTTGATCATGCGCAACAAAGAGAGAAAAACCTTGTCGTCGTAGTCAAAGCGACTGCCAAAGACAACAGAGCTGATGACATTGGAGACTGTGCGGCTTAGGAAGAAGGTGGGATCAAAGGGCAGTCCTGAAAAGCAAAAAACCAAGGGTCATTGGTGATGGCACCCTTTCCCCATTTCCCTCTCCACAAGCCTCCACTGTGGAAGGAGTTGGGCGAGGCCAACACTAACCTTTAGTTTTCCTAAACTCCTCCAGCAAGTACTGGGCCTCCTCCTGGATCCGCTCCTCAATGGACCGTTTCCCCATCCCAAAATTCCTCAGGGTGGTGAGGGAGAAGCGACGCAGCTGCCTCCACCGTTCCCCATTGGCAAAAGCAACTCCTGGAAATGAAGGCAGTGACTTTCATTAGGGCAGCCGTGGTTGATACAAAATCTTATCTCCTGCCCTCCACATTTAGGCCTGAACAGGGCAGGCACATATTACAACTCAGCTGCTCCACTCACAAGCCCAGGAGAAGTTCTGTCTGGCAGGAAATTTAAGAAATTCTGGTGGTAATTTACATCGGCGATAACCCATCTGTGCCTGCTCCCAATAAGCTACCCCACCTTAAAGCAGACCTCACTGACTGTAGTTCAAAACAGCTTTCTCTAGTTGAGAAAGGCTGTCTCCAACTAGAGATGGGGAAATCTATAGATCTCAGTTTCTTCCACTTTCATATTTTCCCAAACTGAAGTTTGGTCCTCCACATTCCCATGCCAGTTTGAAATTCTTCTTTTTAAAGCCTTCATGAATATTAATCAACCTGAAAGTGTGATATTCTCCTAGTATATACATTTTTTTTTGCAACCAATTCCCCCTAATATAAAGGATCTTTGAATCTTACATATGCATTTTTATGGACACTGCCCTAGCGGACACATTTTGGTAGGCGTTACTTGTTTGGAGAATTGCCCTGCAAAATTTGGAAAGCTGCAAATTCTGAAGGATGGCCGTGTTTTGGTTTCTGTATTGTTTCAAAAAGGTCAGATTCAACCAGTTCACCTTTAAATATGAATTTCTGCTCTGTTCCTACCTGCAAAACAGACTCTCCTTTACCAATCATAAAAGTTTCTCCATGTTGTATTGGCAGAACCCATCAGATCTACTCGACTCACCAAAGCCATTGAAGTTCCGGTCAATAGAAGCCAGCTCCCCCCGGCCACTGAACTCCTCAGCTTGGTCCACCAAAGCTTCCTTCACTGCCTCATGTCCACACAGGACCACAACTCTCCGTGGCCCAAGGTACACCGTGAACACGGGACCATATTTTTTCTGCAGCTGCGGAAGAAACCATAGTAAGAAGACAATGGGTAAACAGGCAAAGCAGGAGGCATGAAAGAAGGTTGTAGAAGCCTTCAATCCGTCTGGGCCAACCTGGTGCCCTCCAGGTGTTTTGGACTACAATTCCCATCAGCCCTAGCTACCATAACCATGCTGGTTGGGGCTGATGGGAGTTGTAGTCCGAAACATCTAGAGGGCATCAGGTTCGCATATATATTGCATGGGAAAAGTGGATAGACATACACACACCTTGCAATTAATTCTATAACATGCTGTCATTCAAAGAGATTTGTTAGTAAGAGATTCAGAACACAGAGAGAAAAAGTCCTACTTCACACAACATAGTTAAGTGGTGATTGTGGTAGACCCTTATGGTGGTAGACACTTGGGTGGCTGTAAGTAGAAATAAAATAAATTCATGCAGGGTGCGTATTTGGCATAGCTGTCAACGTTTCCCTTTCTTTAAGGGAAATTCCCTTATTCCGAATAGGATTCCTCGCAAGAAAAGGGAAAAGTTGACAGCTATGGTATTTGGTCAGTGGGTATTTGCTCATAAAAGGTGATATGGAGCTTCCATTTTCAGAGGCACCATATCTCTGAATTGCCTTTGTGGAGCAAAAAGTGGGGTTGATGTTGCCTACAGGCCCCTCTGGGGTCTTTCCAGAGAGTTGTGCTCAGTCACAGATGCAGTGGTGAGCAGACCACTGGTCTCACCTGGCTGGAGCCTTCATGGAGTCATAAGAGCTACCTTGCGGAAGGTGGAACATGCGCTCATACCTGTTCCCTGACTCCACTTGGGCAGTTCGAAACACAAGAATTCTTGAAAACTAAGCATACAGCCCCAGCCCAGCCATACATTCTCCCCTCATTTCCTCATTTCCTCCCAAGCTTTTGATGGCAAAGAGAGCACAACTCACCGCCAAAAAGGACTTAAAGGGCTCGCTGGTTTTGATTTGCAGCAAGTTGCCGATGAAAGGCAAGGGCGTTGGCCCAGGGGGCAGCTTGCCTTCCTTGTGCATCCTCTTCCATGCTGAGATGAGGAGTAAGCAGGAGACACAGATGGCCAGGAAGATGCTCAGTGCCCCTCCAAGCTCCATGGCCAAGCGGCTGAGAATTCAGCTGAAGGCCAAGCTCAGCGCACCCATTATATGCCCGTGCCCTGTAAGTGAAACCAGCTAGCCTGGCCTCCTGGACTTCCTTGCAGAGCAGGAAAACAAGATTGGGTTTCAATATAGCATTCATTGTGTGGGGAAGGTAGAGGATGGACGGATTCCTCTCTGAGTTCAAAGTGAGCATTTGGGGCACGTGGAAGATTTCTTGGCTAAACTGAAGAAGGCATTTTTTAAAAAACACCGCATAGCTTCCCACCTTTCTACTGTATCTTACAGAAGCAGGCAGATTTAGGATCACAGTTCAAAGTCTGCAGAAATCAATGACACAGCCTTGCTGTCAATATTTATCAGGAAAGTTCCTTTGAGCATCCAGGAGATCTGTTGTTGTTGTTGTTGTTGTTTAGTCGTTTAGTCGTGTCCGACTCTTCGTGATCCTCTGGACCAGAGCACGCCAGGCACTCCTGTCTTCCACTGCCTCCTGCAGTTTGGTCAAACTCATGCTGGTAGCTTCGAGAACACTGTCCAACCATCTCACCCTCTGTCGTCCCCTTCTCCTTGTGCACTCCATCTTTCCCAACATCAGGGTCTTTTCCAGGGAGTCTTCTCTTCTCATGAGGTGGCCAAAGCATTGGAGCCTCAGCTTCAGGATCTGTCCTTCCAGGGAGCACTCAGGGCTGATTTCCTTAAGAATGGAGAGATTGGATCTTCTTGCAGTCCATGGGGCTCTCAAGAGTTTCCTCCAGCACCAGAATTCAAAAGCATCCATTCTTCGGTGATCAGCCTTCTTTATGGTCCAGCTCTCACTTCCATACATCACTACTGGGAAAACCAGAGCTTGAACTATACGGACCTTTGTTGGCAAGGTGATGTCTCTGCTTTTTAGGATGCTGTCTCAGTTTGTCATTGCTTTTCTCCCAAGAAGCAGGCGTCTTTTAATTTCGTGACTGCTGTCACCAGGAGATCTGTATATGCTTATTATTATTATCTACAGCAGGAGTGCCAACTTGAATAAAATATTGGGGGGGCCTAGGTAAGTCCCACCCCACATAATTGATCACAAATGCATCCACACCATTTGAATGGAAATGCCCATCAATGTTTTTTTGGGGGGAGGGCTCAAATATTTTATTGGGGGCCAACGCGACCTTGGCCCCTAGGAGTTAACTCCTATGATCGACAGCCTCTGCTTGTATATTGGGTTAGGGAGATCATTGCTCCACCATGTATGAGCCCATTGCTAGGTCCCAGAAGCAGCCTCCAGATAAAAGTTCTATTCTGTAAGATGTTCGTCTGAGATCATGGGGAGAACTATCGCCTGCCCAGGCAGGGCCATAGCTCAGTGGCAGGTCACCTGCCCCACATGCAGAAGGTGCTGGTTTCAATCTCTGACAGCATCTCATAGCCAGGCTGGGAAAGAAGGTTTCAGCTGTGATTCCTGCATTGCATAGGGTTTGGCTAGATGACCCTTGGTGTCCCTTCTGTAAGCTGCCTTGCATGCAGAAGGTCTCAAGACCTGGTCCAATCCCTGGCCTATCCAGAGGGAGCTGTAAGAGACTCTCAGTCTCAAACTCTGGAGAGTCATTGCCAGTCAATGTAGACTATGACAAATCCCCCTTCGGATCTTGAAATATGGGTCCCCTCAACAAAATTTAAGATTCGGCTTTGTAATTCGGAATTTATGTGATGTGATTTGATTTGATTGACCGGTTAATATATATTTTTTTTAAAGACAAACTGGGTGGACCAGTGTTCTGACTCAGTGGGAGACAGTTTTCTATGTTCCGGCTGGTAAACTGGGGCCGGCTCCAGAGGGTGGCAAGTTGTTGTTGTTGTTTAGTCGTGTCCGACTCTTCGTGACCCCATGAACCAGAGCACGCCAGGCACTCCTGTCTTCCACTGCCTCCCGCAGTTTGGTCAATCTCATGCTGGTAGCTTCGAGAACACTGTCCCACCATCTCGTCCTCCGTCGTCCCCTTCTCCTTGTGCCCTCCATCTTTCCCAACATCAGGGTCTTTTCCAGGGAGTCTTCTCTTCTCATGAGGTGGCCAAAGTCTTGGAGCCTCAGCTTCAGGATCTGTCCTTCCAGTGAGCACTCAGGGCTGATCTCCTTAAGAATGGAGAGGTTGGATCTTCTTGCAGTCCATGGGACTCTCAAGAGTCTCCTCCAGCACCAGAATTCAAAAGCATCAATTCTTCAGCAATCGGCCTTCTTTATGGTCCAGCTCTCACTTCCGTACATCACTACTGGGAAAACCATAGCTTTTACTATACGGACCTTTGTTGGCAAGGTGATGTCTCTACTTTGACAAGTTGAGCATTTGCCAAAGCCACCAACGGTGGCTGACAGTGCTGCCTTTCCCCTTGTGCACAGAAAACCCGAAAACATCACAGACGCAACAGGAGTTTATTCTCTATTTGTCCTTCCCACCTCTGCATGGTTTAGAGGCCACTGCGAAGGCCCCGCCTGAAGATTCTCCACCTCATCCCATAGGGTGCAGAAACAAACTCTGGGTGGAGTAAACTGTTTTCGGGTGGGTGGTCTGACTTTGTACAAGGCTTGGGGGTCTTGTCTCATCCAGGGCAATTTCAACAAGGCACCACTTGGAAAATGAGACCCATTCAAAAAATCATGTGATGTGAAGGCTCCAGCTGCCCAAAGAACGACAAGGTACTTCCTTGGGAAGTGATTTATAATGAGTTGGGAAAAAATGTTTAAAATTGCTTTCCCAAAAAGATCAAAGTCCTTTTTATTGGGAATAATCCAGACAGAAATCCCTAGGGGTCAGAAAAGCCTGTTTATGTAGGCAGCAACAGAGGCCCATGTTTTGTTAGCCCCAAATGGAAAGTGAGCGAGGTCCTTCATAAGCAAGACTGGCAACTTAAGATGTTAGAATTTGCAGAACTCGCAGGTTTAACATATAGAATAAGAGAGCAAGAAGAACGTATATTTAAAGAAGAGTGGAAAATATTCATTGAATATGCGGAAAACAACTATATGCAGCTGAAAACGCTGGCAGCGTAAAGATAAATTCAACAGCGTAAGTAATAATTGATTGTTGTAAAAGTGGAAATCTGATTTGAATGGTTAAGTTAAAATATGCATGGAACAGAGGATATGCAAAACGAACCACGGAAGGAGAAGAAGGGAAGTCAGCGGATATCTTAAAGTTTGTAAAATGTTTATTTCAAAATGTAAAATTGAAATCTTTAATAAAAATCATTTTAAAAAAGGAACGACGAGGCACTTCCATGCTTTATCATCAGCTGGGAAAATGTTCCGCTGCGTGGAACTCACGGCTACCTCAAAATCAATCACGGGTGTTGTCAACTCTCAACGCAGTGGCCCTGGCCCTTCAGCCAACTGCCCTGGGTCAAGAATGCTTGACGATTGCTTCATTTAAAACTTTAGCAAACAGAAAAGCATTTTACAAACATCAAAATCAATGAGAGATTGGGAAGTGGATCAACAGGAGCAGGCGAGGAGGTGGGGGCTGATCTTTGCATCAGCAGTTATGTAAAGCGAGATTGGGTTGCAGCTGGCGTTACGCAATCCCCTGCAAAGAAATAACTCTCCCTTTGGGAACCTGACTTTGCACTTTGAGTGCCTTTGTTTACCCACCAATCACTCAAACCCTTGTGAACAGAGGCGAGGCAGCGAGAACTGATCCTCTATACCTCAAGCATGTATGGCCCCAGCTGACTAATATTTATCAAGGCATGAGAAGTCCTGAGATGCCTCTGAGAGGCGGCGCAATGTAGACAACCTGCGGCAGGTCATTCCTCCCAACACAAACACACTTTTGACAGGCTTTTGTGAGTGTTGTGGAAATGACCGGGGGTGGGGCACATCTTTAAAGTTGTTACAATGTTACAAATATTATGCCTGAATGTATCCTTTTGACTTGACAGCTCAGGGAAGATACAGTGGTACCTCGGGTTAAGAACTTGATTCATTCTGGAGGTCCGTTCTTAACCTGAAACTGTTCTTAACCTGAAGCACCACTTTAGCTAATGGGGTCTCCCGCTGCCGTCGTGCCGCCGGAGCACGATTTCTGTTCTCATCCTGAAGCAAAGTTCTTAACCCAAGGTAATATTTCTGGGTTAGCAGAGTCTGTAACCTGAAGCTACTGTAACCTGAAGCGTATGTAACCCGAGGTACCACTGTACCTAGCTTTATAAATTCATAGAAAATCCATACTTTAACCGTCTCTCTTCATTCCAACGCCATTTTAACCCTTAAAGAAAGGTGAATTTGGGCTCCACCTCCCTCCATGGACCAAGAAGCAGGAAGTCACACAGGCAGCAGGAACAGGGCATCCTGCCATAATTCCCCAAGTGTGAGAGCACATACAGGGTCCCCCACCCAGGGAGTGACCAAGGGGGCTACACTGGCCATCAGCACAGGCAGTTGAGCAAGGCAGGTGTTCTGAAAGCCCATCTCCAGACCAGGTCTGAGGGCAAGGAGATGTCAGGAGTTTTATTGTTCTTTCGGTGATGGTGTTGGGAAAGGTGCCTGATTAAGGGACCTAATGTTGAACTTGTGTAACCCTTATATACCCCTCCCCATTTGTGACATGCTAGTGACATAGTGATGATGTATCAGTGCTGCTGCTCGAAGTGTATTCTGGGGGACAGAGGGAAGTTTTGAAAGAGGGTGTCACCCTGTGTTCAGGGTTCTTACTCCTGTGGGGACCCTGTTGCGAAATGATAAAGATCGTGGTCTACTGACCGCTGTTTTGCTCCAAATTACTTGGCTGGATAGTGATGTATGGAAGTGAGAGCTGGACCATAAAGAAAGCTGATCGCCAAAAATGGATGCTTTTGAATTATGGTGCTGGAGGAGACTCTTGAGAGTCCCATGGGCTGCAAGAAGATCAAACCTCTCCATTCTGAAGGAAATCAGCCCTGAGTGCTCCCTGGAAGGACAGATCCTGAAGCTGAGGCTCCAAGACTTTGGCCTCCTCATGAGAAGAGAAGACTCCCTGGAAAAGACCCTGATGTTGGGAAAGATGGAGGGCCCAAGGAGAAGGGGACGACAGAGGATGAGATGTTTGGACAGTGTTCTCGAAGCTACCAGCATGAGTTTGACCAAACTGCGGGAGGCAGTGGAAGACAGGAGTGCCTGGCGTGCTCTGGTCCAGGGGGGTCACGAAGAGTCGGACACGACTAAATGACTAAACAACAACTTGACCTTATTTTACTGACTGCAAGGACCTGCAAGGGACTTTCACCCCGATGAGCTGCGCTGTTGAGTAGGCTCTCACCCCAGAATTCTTTTCCCTTAACAGAGGTATTCTGTATCTGTCTTGGTACTTTACTCCCTCTCCCACCACTGCAGCAAATCCCCCACCCCCACCAATTTTGGCTCAGCATATCTGAACGATGTAAGTGCCCCAAATCGTACCTCTCTGTCCAGTGTGCAAGTTCCTTAATAATTATGACCTGCCAGAAAGACCCAAAGGTGTGTCCCCCCCCCCTGCAAACGTAATATCCATGTATTTTTTAATATAAAAAACCACCCAATTGTACTGCTGATGGTCTGGGCCTTTGGTTCTAACCATTGTTCACGCTTTCTGTTTTCAGCTGCAGAGTAATGGTGGCAGCCCAGTGCGAGTTACACAATCAGGCTCCCAGTGTTTGCCAAACTCATTGTGCCTAATCGTACCATGACAGTTCCCTGAGAAGCCAGAAGGAGCAAGCAAGGAAAGAAAGAAAGAGAGAGAGAGAATCTATAAAGGACAAAAGGCTGTGAAAAGGCAGGATTATCCTTTGGGGAATCCACCCTGAGCACAACGGGTAATGCTAAACCTCTCAAAGGGTTGGTCCAAACCAGTTCTTCATTATGTCCTTGAAAAAGGAGCCGCTTAAGCAGGTTGCATAAGAAAAACATTCCGCGGCTTGGACAATACGTGCTGCCCAGATTGTCATGGGCTTCAGCCATGTGAGAGCAACAAAATCCATGTGTGCAAAGGCTGAAGATATCTGGCAAGGGCCAGGGAACTGTTGTGAACAACTTGCCTGGAGGCTGAGGCTGGGATGTGAGGACAGAAGCTGCTTAGATTTGGCTCAGTAACATCGAAACTGGGGAAAGGAACACAGGAGGCCTTATTCTGAGCCAGACTGGCTCAGTATTCTCTGGACACACCAGGGAGAAGAGTCGGTGGAGGAAGATTGGAAGAAATTCAAAGATTATCTACAGAAACACTGCAAAATTAAAGAATGTTAGAGTGATGTTGAATTGAAAATAAGTGGTTTCCAGCTGTACAGGATAAAGTTATAGATAGACTAAGATTAAAGATTAGGATTAAAGAAATTTAATGAAATGGAAATTTGGTATTTAAGAGGTAAAATTTTAATGCTATATTATATTAAGATTAAAGATTGGGATTAAAAATGTGGAAAAGAAATTGCTGGACAAACAATTTGGACTGGAATACAAAAGAGGGAGGTATGAGGAAGTCCAGAAAATAAGTAAATTTAAAAACGGAAATGAAAAGGTGATATTATTTTTAATTGTTCTGTTTCTTTTTTTCTTGTTCTTTTTTTGTTTTCTGCTTTTTGTGTTTCTTCTTTTTTTGGATTATGTATTGTGTATTTGTGTATTTTCCATGTTTTTTTGTTTAACTTTTTATTGAAATCTTAATAAAAATCATTTATTAAAAAAAAACAAAACAAATTGGCAGGGGTTCTCCCAGGATTTCAGGAAGGGGAAATTAACAGCCCTATCTGGAGGTGATGCCAGGTATAGAACCTGGGACCTTTTGCTCTACCCCTGGGCCACAGCTCTTCCCAAAAGGGAAGAAAGGGCTGTCTCAAAAATATCTGTGGCTGGGAAAAATGGAGAGCACAGTCCAAGACCAAACCCTGGCTCTGGGTGGGGAAAGTGGCAGATGTTCCAAAAGTCATAAATACTCTCAATCTTTATTACGGTCCATTGACCCAACAAATCATTACAAAGCAATACACAATTCATATAGCCTACCTCCAGGTTAAACAAGCATTTTTTTCAAAAGATAGGGATCACTGGTTCTTGCAACTACCAATAAAAACTTTGCCACTGCTAATGTTCTAGCGTTTGTCCGGTCTTCGAATAGGAACTTGACATATTGAGCCTCTGATTGCCCGATTCCTCAGTAGCAAACTGACAACCTTTCTAAATGAACATAATATACTATCTGAAGCCCAGGCAGCCTTTCGTGAGAACCATTCAACATCAGACCACTGTCTAATGCTGTCCTTCCTAGCTGAGAAGTATACCAGAAGTATACAGGGTAAACTCTTTGTGGCCTTCATGGATCTGAAATCAGTGTTTGATTCCATCCCCAAATCCCAGCTATGGTCCAAATTAAATCTGATTTTGCAGGACAAATGACTCCTCTTTCTTATAAAAGACCTGTACAATGGAACGAAACTGCAGATCCGATGCGGTCGGCAGCGACAGTTATTGAACAGCATCGAGATGACTGGGGGGGGGGTGAGACAGGGATGCATTTTGGCCCCCACATGGTTTTTTCTCTTCTTAAATGACCTAGAAGAGAGCTTAATGGACCCAGATGGACACCTTCCAAAAATAGGAATGAGAAGGATCCCCTTGTTGTTAAATGCGGATGACGCAGCCATCATCTCACATTCCAGACCAGGTTTGAAATATATGCTGAGGAAGTTTTCTGATTACTGTTCTGGAAATGGTTTATCCATTAATTATGAAAAATCTAAAATTTTAGTATTCAAAATCATAAATAGTACTAGCAAATCCTGTCAGTATCCTCATTGGATACTGCTGGCTTTTGCCAATTAGAAATTAATTTAGGTTCGGCCTGAGCAGGAGATTTGAAAAGGCTGAAACCAGAAAAGGCAGAGCCTCTGAAATTTGGTGATGAGGCTATCTGGTCCAGAGTGAGCCAGTTCCTTTCTGAACCTCAATTAAAGTGGAGTTCTTTGGCTATTGGGGAGTGGTCAGTTCTACAGATATAGGAGAGGATCTTGTCAATGGTTCACATAAGCCTCATTTTGATAAACCTTGGGCTCATCCACACTTAACCTGTTGCCCAGTGCTTTCTCCACACAGGTCCGTGCTTTCCCAGTCAATGTCCAAGCACATTTTTACGCCCAGGATGCAGCAAGGGGAAGTTTGGACGAGCCCTTAGAAGTGTAAGGCAGGCGATAAAGAATAGCCCTGAACATAAGTTTACTTTGAAGCCAGTTTTCCATCTTCCTACAGGCAGAAGTGTTAGCTGACCTCAGGAAATAACAGAAAAACCCAGGATTTTGGTGTAGCAGCGACAGAAGAGTTTAGAATCAGCCCTGAAACAAAAGGTAGCAACAAGTTCCCAGGTCTTATTACATGGGATTGGGGTGCTGATTTACTTATTTTCGGTTTGCAGACATTTTTTAAATGACACTGCGGATGCAAATAGCAATCTGGATATCTGGCATACCCAGAATGCAGGCACTGTTTGTGTGTGTGTGTGTGTGTGTGTGTGTGTGTGTGTGTGTGTGTTTCTTAGAGATCTGACTTATAAAGTAACCCAGTGTTGCTATAAACCCATATTATGGTAGGTGGGGGTGATTACATCATAGTTGTTATTTCAATTTATTTCTTGCCCAGGGCAGCAAGCACATCAATAATTTCTTTTAAGCATTCTAAAAACAATCCCCGCGACGGGGTGAGCTCCCGTTGTTCGGTCCCAGCTCCTGCCCACCTAGCAGTTCGAAAGCACTCTTAAGTGCAAGTAGATAAATAGGTACCACTCTGGCGGGAAGGTAAACGGCGTTTCCGTGTGCTGCTCTGGCTCGCCAGAAGTGGCTTCGTCATGCTGGCCACATGACCCGGAAGCTGTACGCCGGCTCCCTCGGCCAATAAAGCGAGCTTCCTTCCAATTTGACCAAGACATCTCTCTGCTGTGCGCTTCGTGCTAGGGCTGGGCAGCTGTTTGGCCTTGGAGCCAAATCTGCTATGATTCTGATGGCTCCAACCCTGAGAGGCATGTCTCCAACCCTGAGAGGCATGTCAACACTCCCATCATCCCTGACCACTCATCCCACTGTTACGACATGAATGCAACGCAGCTGCAAACCAACTCGATGAAAACATCACATGATGGGGCTGACTGTGGGAAACAATGTTACAGTCAGTTCACAGGGCGATTCACCGGAATTTGCTCAGTGTGTAATATGAGACCTTCCTCTTGCGTATGTACAGGAAGTCTTTGTCACTTGCTTGCTGAAGTCTGAAGTGATCAGACATGTTTTCTGTAGTGCTGCAAAGTCAGAAATAAAGAGATGTAAATAGATTTCTGACTATCTCCTTTCCCTGCTAGGGGAGCAAGGAGGGAGGGGGTGTGCATTTTCCCATGCTGGGAGATGTCGCCTATTGAGACCTATCCTGGACTTGCGGGGATTGCAGCCAGGGAGGTCACCGGTAAACAAGCCGGGAGCCTGGGAGAGGGGCCAGACTCTCCCGAAGAGGCTTGTTTTCCAACACCCACTAGCTAGGGATGATGGGAGTTGTAGTCCAACAACAACCGGGGACTCGGGACTTCCGGAGGTGGCGCCAACAGTAATGGCGGATTCCCTCTAACTCGGAGGGAACCCGCTCCACAGAAACAGGGTCGGTACCGCTTCGGTGCAGCGGGGACCCCTGAAATCACAGGCGGGTGAAGCCTGTGAACCTGGGACTCGGCGGGCACTGTTTGCGCCCCCCCCAATCCGCGAAGGAACCCGGCAACGGGCTCCGGAACGGAACGGGGAAGCGGCGCTGTGCTGTGAGTCGTCTGCTTCTTCTGTGGAGTGAAGCCGCGTAGCTGTTGCCAGAGAGCGCTGCCTTTCTTCCTTGACAATTTGGCTTTGAAAACAACGATCCGTGAGTAGGATTACTACGTAATTTAAGGAACTGTACAAAATTTGAAAGAAATTGGCCGAAGCGGAGAGGTATAAAGGGGAAGACCTTGTTGCTTGTAACGAGTCTAACTTCTCTTTTCCATCTGCCATACCCCTCTAGATAGAACTCAAGGTCAGTCACACGGTTAGATTCAAAGTTGTTTTGAAATGGAAAGTTCCAGGAAGACAGTGTGAGAAATTCCACAGGCCAGCTGCAATTGTAACTAGTTGTAACAAGTTCCAAATTCCACTAGGGGGACACTGTAACAGTCATAAAGTTCTTAAAACAATTTGCTTCTTCCTTAAGTCCCCCAATTTACTAGAAAGATAACAATCTATACAACAGTCAAAAGTCGAGATATTTAAGGACATTCCGAAACACCTTCTGGATCTCAGGTCTAACTACAAAGACCTGGTTACCCTGTTGAGAAGTAACAGAATTAACTTTAGGTGGGAATTTCCTCAAGGCCTATCCTTTAGTTACAAAGGAAAGAAGAGGAAAATAAGATCGGAAGACGACAAAGACAAATTTTGGAGAGACCACGGAGAAGACCTACAGAAGAAAGCTACAGGAGATTTAAGAGCAATTGTAAGAGAAACTTTAGACACACCAGGACTATCTCTGGAACTAAAAGACCGCCTGAAAAACGTGATACCACCGACGGAACAGGAACAGGCACTGGGTGCTGTTGGAGGAGAACCAAAATAACTACATCATGGCCCTGCAACTACTAAGCTGGAATTGTAATGGCCTCAATTCCCCGCAGAAAAGGAAATCTGTGTTTCATTTATTAAAAAAGGAACAATTGGACTTGATTTGTTTACAAGAAACACATATAACAAGATTACACAGGAAATTATTGATAAATAAAAGACTTGGTCAGGAGTTCATTTCATCGGATAAAGTTAAAAAAAGAGGAGTTGTGATTTATGCAAAGGACAGATTATCACCGAAATTTATTTTTAAAGATGACCAAGGAAGATTTGTGGCAATTGAAATTCAAACACAAGGAGAAAAATTTTTGATAGTAGGAATCTACGCACCAAATGAAGGGAAATCTGATTTTTTTAAGAAGTTGCATGAGACTTTGATGGACTATTTGGATTATAACATAATTTTGATGGGAGACATGAATGGAGTGGTATCTACACATATGGACAAGGCACAAAGACAGGTAGTCACTAAGGATGGTAGACTACCGAAAACCTTTTTTGAGATGACAGACAACTTGGACTTAGTTGATATCTGGAGAACAAGAAACCCCATGGCTAAAGAGGGAACCTTCTTTTCTGAAGCCAAAATGACATGGACAAGAATTGACCAAATATGGATAACTAGAGGAATGGCACCAAAGACAAGAAAGGTGGAAATCTGCCCGAAAACTTGCTCCGACCATAATGCTGTCAAGATGGAAATGAAACTAACACCAACTGGCTCCTTTAGATGGAGGATGAATGACACCTTATTTAGAGATGAAGAAGTGCTTAAGAAGGCCCAAAAAACCTTGAGAAACTATTTTGAGATAAACTTGAGCACCAATGTGGAAAAAAGAGTAATCTGGGACGCAAGTAAAGCGGTTATGAGAGGGTTCCTGATACAACAGAATGCAGTAAAGAAGAGAATTCAAAATGAGAAGAAGGATAAGATATTGGAGAAAATAAAGGAAAGTGAAAAAAGATTGAGAACAAATCCAAAATCTCAAGAGATTTTGAGAGAATTAAAGTTACATCAAGTACAATATATGAAAATGATGAATCAAGAAATAAAATGGAAAATTAAACAAATGAGACAAAAGACATTTGAATCGGCTAACAAATGTGGGAAACTGTTGGCTTGGCAAATGAAAAAAAGACAAAAATTAAATACAGTCACGAATTTAGAAGTGGAAGGAAGGAATATACAGAACCCAGCTGAGATTAGAAATTGCTTCCAGAGGTACTTTAAACAACTATATACACAAGGGCCACTGAAAGAAACTGATCTTGATCAATTTTTGAAAACAAATGGATTACAAAAAATCTCTCAAGAAAATAAACTAATGTTGAATTATAAAATAACTGAACAGGAGATAGAAGGTGCCATTCAAAATATGCAATTGGGTAAGTCTCCAGGACCGGATGGACTGACTTCTAGATATTACAGATCCTTGAAAGAATGGTTAATACAACCTTTGAAAGAGGTCGGTAATGAAATAATGGAGGGGAAAAGAGTACCAGAGTCGTGGAAAGAAGCATATATTACACTTGTACCGAAAACAGAGACTGAAAAGACACAGCTTAAGAACTACTGCCCCATATCATTACTCAATGTGGATTACAAAATTTTTGCAGACATTTTGGCTAAGAGATTTAAAAAAGTATTGATCGAAGAGATTCATAAAGATCAAGCGGGCTTTCTCCCAGGAAGACATTTGTCTGACAATTTGAGGAATATAATTGATATTTTGGAAAAACTAGAAGTGAATATAAATACTAAAGCAGTTTTGATATTTGTGGACGCGGAGAAAGCTTTTGACAATATTTCTTGGAGCTTTATGAAGAAGAACCTACAGGGTATGGGGGTAGGCCAAGGCTTTGAAAATGGTATAAGTGCAATTTATTCAGAACAAAAGGCTAAATTAATTGTAAATAATGTGGTGACGGAAGAACTTAAAATAGAAAAAGGGACACGACAAGGTTGCCCAATTTCCCCACTACTTTTTATTTCGGTCCTGGAGGTTTTGCTGAACATGATTAGAAGGGACCAGTTGGTTAAAGGTATACAGGTCGGAGCTAAACAGTACAAATTGAGAGCATTTGCAGATGATTTAGTACTGACGTTACAGGAGCCAGAATCTAGTACCAAAAGGGTTTTAGAACTGATTCAAGAATTTGGTCAGGTTGCAGGATTTAAATTGAACAAGTTAAAAACTAAGGTTTTAGAGAAAAATCTAACACCAATGGAGAGAGAGAGGTTTCAGAATGTGACAGGTTTAACAGTGGTTAAGAAAGTTAAATACCTGGGGATTAACATGACAGCAAAAAATGGGAATTTATTTAAAGATAACTATGAAAAAATGTTGGGCTGAAGTGAAGAAAGATCTAGAAATTTGGTCAAATTTGAAGCTTTCACTGCTGGGCCGTATTGCTGCGGTTAAAATGAATGTATTGCCTAGAATGTTGTTTTTGTTTCAAACATTGCAAATTGTGGACAAAATGGATTGTTTCAAGAGGTGGCAGAAAGATATTTCTAGATTTGTCTGGCAGGGCAAGAAGCCCAGAATAAAATTTAAAATACTAACAGATGCAAAGGAAAGAGGTGGATTTGCCCTGCCAGACCTTAAACTTTATTATGAATCAGCAGCCTTTTGCTGGTTGAAAGAATGGCTGCTTCTTGAAAACACTGACATTTTGGACCTAGAAGGTTTTAACAATGTATTTGGATGGCATGCATATCTGTGGTATGATAAGGTCAAAGCACATAAAGCATTTAAAAATCATATTGTCAGGAAAGCACTGTTTAATGTTTGGATAAGATACAAGGAGTTATTGGAAAACAAAACTCCAAGGTGGCTGTCACCAATGGAAGCGAAAGCCTTGAAAAAGCTCAATATGGAGGTCAAATGGCCGAAATATTGGGAAATTTTGGAACAAGATGGAGATAGACTGAAATTGCAGGGTTTTGAAAAATTAAAAAACAAAGTGCGAGACTGGCTTCATTATTTTCAGATAATGGAGGCATTCAATTCGGACAAGAAAATTGGCTTCCAGGTGGAAAAATCAAAATTAGAAACTGAACTGTTAGAACCCAAAACTAAGAATTTGTCAAGAATGTATAACTTGCTGCTGAAATGGAACACTCAGGATGAAACGGTAAAATTGGCTATGATTAAACGGGCACAAGACGTTGGACACAACATTATGTTCGCTGACTGGGAACAGTTATGGACCACAGGTATGAAATTTACGGCATGTAATGCCCTAAGAGAGAATATTATGAAAATGATATACAGGTGGTACATAACTCCAGTCAAGCTTGCAAAAATCTACCATTTGCCTGATAATAAATGTTGGAAATGTAAAGAAACTGAAGGTACATTTTTTCACCTTTGGTGGACGTGCCCAAAGATTAAGGCTTTCTGGGAGATGATATATAATGAATTAAAAAAGGTATTTAAATATACCTTCTTGAAGAAACCAGAGGCCTTTCTCCTGGGCATAGTCGGCCAATCGGTGTTAAAAAGGATAGAACTTTCTTTATGTATGCCACAACAGCAGCAAGAATACTCATCGCAAAGTATTGGAAGACACAAGAGCTACCCACACTGGAGGAATGGCAGATGAAATTGATGGACTATATGGAATTGGCGGAAATGACTGGCAGAATCCGTGACCAGGGAGAAGAGTCGGTGGAAGAAGATTGGAAGAAATTCAAAGACTATTTACAGAAATATTGCAAAATTAAAGAATGTTAGAGTGATGTTGGATTGAAATTAAGTGGCTTCTAGCTGTACAGGCTTTAAAGTTAAAGATAGATTAAGATTAAGCATTAGGACTAAAAAAGTTAAAAGAAATGGAAAATTGATTTTTAATAGATTAAAATTCAATGTTATATTATATTAAGATTAAGGATGGGATTAAAAAGGAGGAAAAGGAATTGCTGGACAAACAAATTAAATCGGAATACAAAAGAGGGAGGTATGAGGAGGTCCGGGAAAAACGTAAATGTAAAAGTTGTGATGAAAAGACGGAATTGTTTTTAACTGTTTTTTCTTTTTTCTTTTTGTATTTTGCATGGTGTTTTTTTTTCTTTTTCTTTTTAAATTTCTTTTTTATTAAGATGTTTTTTCATGTGAAATTCCAATAAATATCATTTAAAAAAACAACAACAACAACAACCGGGGACTCGGGTTTGAGAAATATTGGTGTACTCTGAGGGTCAGTGGCTGTCCAGGGTTTTAGCCTTTCCCATCTTGGCCCTACCTGGAGATGCCAGGGATGGAACCCAAGGCCTTCTGCATGCCAAGCAGGTGCTCCAAATAACAGGGGAAGAGCCCACCGCTCCTTCGCATGGAGAAGGTCTCAGGTTCAGTCCTGGGCAATAAATCCTCTGCTTGAAACCGTGGAGAGCTGCTGCTGCCAGCCAGTGTAGCCAACACTGAACTAGATGGACCAATGATCTGCCTCCATAGAGGGCAGCACCTTATAATCTTATGGTCTACTCTGTAGGTCACTGGGACTTGAGGGCCTGTCTCCCTACATGTCCTCAATCTGCAATTCCCAGTGCAATCCCAGGCAAGCGGGAAACGACCAAAGAGGCAGAAGTCACAGCAATGGGCAAAAAGGACAACTCGGCCAACTCCAGCCAGCAATGTTGAGCAGGTAAGCAGTTGATAGGTTGGGAACACTGGGAAACGAATCCCTGGATCTTTGTGGCTTCGCTGCCTTGGGCTGCAACCGAGAAAGGAATGGTTGGAGATCCTGAAGCTGTAAGGAATGCACTTCTGAGCATGTGCAGAGTGCTTTCTTTGGGTAACACTGGACAACCGCCAGCCACTTCCACCCCTCTGGATTTAGGAGGCCCATTGAGCTTGTGCTTCCTACCAGACTTTAGCCCTGGTGGCATCTCCTTGCAATAATAATAATAATAAATATTTTTATTTATACCCCGCCCTCCCCAGCCAGAGCCAGGCTCAGGGAGGCTAACACCAGTAAAATTACAGTAAAAACATAATAGGAAAAGAAAAAAAAACTATTTAAAATACAGGTTAAAATGCAGCTCTGTCTTGCAGGCCCTGCGGAAAGATGTCAAGTCCCGTAGGGCCCTGGTCTCTTGTGACAGAGCGTTCCACCAAGTCGGGGCCAGTACTGAAAAGGCCCTGGCCCTAGTTGAGACCAGTCTAACCACCTTGCGATTTGGAACCTCCAAAATGTTGCCATTTGTGGACCTTAAGGTCCTCCATTGGAACATACGGTAATACAGTGGTGCCTTGGTCCCGTTACCTAAGTCCATAAAGAATGCTGTATTATTTTACTGTTGTTAGCCACTCTGAGCCCGGCTTTGGCTGGGAGGGCGGAATATAAATAAAATATTATTATTATTATTCAAAGAAGTGTCCCAACAAGCAGATTTACGAATCTGAACCATTTGCTTCTCCTTCCAGATCCAGCCTACAAGAGCCTTCAATCATCTCCTGCCTCGGAACCCAGAAGCCCCCCAGACTCCCCGCCATATGGAACAGGACGGTGATGATCCTCAGCGCCATCTTGCTGCTGCTGCTGCTGTTCCTGGCCAGCCCCTTTCCTCTGTACCCGTCGGAGCTCTCCTGCCTCCAGCAAAACCGCTACGCCAGATCCTTCCACCTCATGCTCACGTACAGTGGGCCACCACCCACATAGAAGGCAGGGAGTGCTGGTGCGGCATGGACTCTTCATAATGCATGGAGAGAATAAAGTTGTCTCTGGGAGTTTCACAGGCTCTTCCTCCAGCGGGTTCCAGAATCTGTTCCTGCAGTGCAGTGCCTGGCTGCATCTGTTCAGAGATGGGCTGTAGCACCTGAGGAAAGGAGAGAGAATACCCCCCCAAGTGTTCAATTATTAGTTGTTAACACAAATATTCACTGTTAGGCCTATCCTCCTCCATTCATTTAACTGTTCTTAAAAAAGATGGAATTTGTATTCAACTACGCATGCCCCATACGTTTGCGGCACATTCCCTTCCTCCTAAGAATCCTCCTAAGAACTACAGTTCCCAGCACCCTTGACAAACGGCTATAGAATCATAGAATCATAGAATCATAGAGTTGGAAGAGACCACAAGGGCCATCGAGTCCAACCCCCTGGGCTATACCCAGGATTCCTGTGTTTGGGTGTGCTTGAAATGTATGATGTGCACACCGCCTTTCTTCCACTCAGCACAGTGTCACAGAAGTCAAGGAACCTAGGTTAGCCATCTGTTGGGTTGAAATCACGACAGACGAGTGGTAGGTGTCATATGAGAGGCGTCTCTGCCGGGGCAAGCCCCGGGAACTCTCTTTTATTGAATATTACAAGCATTGCCACAGGTGTGCTTGTGGCTGATTGGTTGATACAAACACAAAGCATCTTGTTGCTGATTGGTTAACATGGGTACAAGGCGGGAATTACATATGAGCATTTATCACTGATAGATCAAAGGCTGAGAAATGGAGCTGGAACTAGACAGGCATGAAACCTCCTAATTAAATTATAACTAAAGATTAATATTGAGAGAACATAACATGAAAGAATACAACAATCACGTTCCGTAGATGTGGTCAGCAATGCATTAAGAACAGGTCAGGATACACTGTTTCATGAACTCAATGGGAACTGTTCAGAACATTCTCAGACTCATGTGCAGAGGCAAAAACTTCCCAGCATGCAAGAGAAAAGAAGCAATAGTTCTCATAGTAAGACTTCACAGTTATGTGCAGTAAGAGAACTGCAGAAAGAGAACTTCCCTTCAGCCATCCCCATTAAGTTCAGTGTGTCTGCGTACATCACCCTGAGGCTAGGAGTTCCGTAGATCGCAGGCGGCTGCCTTTTGAAATGCAGGACCTTAGGTGGTAATTCTGGCAGCCTCTGCTCTTCGGTTGCTGTGTCCCACCCAGCCACGTTCCTTCGCTAGTCGTGGCAACATCTGGAATTCCGGGTGGCCTTTTCTGCAGAACAGTTTGCTGCCACAGACTCTGCTTGAACATGAACAAGAGCACATTTAGAAATGGGTATTTTGAAGGAAATGATTTTGAGAGGAAAATGCACTTGAAAATATTATTAAAAGGCTGTTTTTTAAAAAGATCATGGCATCACACAGAAAGGAGGCAGAACCGACTTCTGGGTGAATCCACACAAAAACTTCATGAACCATTAATATAAGGTTACCAGATTTTTTTCAATGAATCTGGAGACGCTTTTCAACTTCAATGGATTTTGTCAGGGGACTGATTTGTAAATCCGGGGACTGTCCTCAGGAAACAGGGACACCTGGTAACCTTACATTAATAACATTTTATCGCCCATTTATTTGTTTGCAAGAAGCCTTGGACCACTTTGTAGGGAGGTGGGGGCAAATAATTTTGCCTGCTCTAGTCTCAATGCTCCCTGTTAACGGAGAAATCTGAGGGCTCCCTTGGACAAAAAACAAAGACCCCAGCCAGGAATACCAGAGCAAAACAGCAGCCAGTAGGCTTGGTCTTGATTGAAGACTGTCGCAACAGGACGCCCACCTGCCACCAGGTGGAACAAGATGGAAGCCCCAAACAAAAGAGAACCCAAACTTTTATTAGCTGCTAATCCCCATGTTACACCCCCCCCCAACTACATCACAGTTACATCATGAAAGGGGAGGTCTGGTGGCCGTAATCTGAGCATCCTGGACCCTGCCCCATGGTTCTCCTTGCCCTCCACTAAACACCCATCAAGTGTAACAAAAGAGACATTTACATTTCCCTGTTTCCCAGCCAAGTTCATCTCACCCTTTGGTCTTCATCTCGGTTTGTTATTTCTGGAATGGCTACCTGTCTGGCACTCAGGTATCAGGATGCAAGGATGCCAGGGCTGCTGAGGAACTGAGCTCACGTGTCTAGATGAATTTCTGAAGTTTCCCCTGTGAGCCACTACATAGATACATTTGTTTTGCATTTTGTGCGTTTTTGGGGGGGGGGCGTTTTGCGGCCTAGTCGGGCCCACACCGCCCTCCCGGTGCCCCCACCGCCCAAATGCAAGCAGCCCACGGCCTAGCTGGGGCCCACACCACCGCTGGCCATCACAAAAAGCTGGTAGGCTGACCTAGCGGGCTACTCAGGGGCCAGGCTGCCCACTCGGGCTGGCAGCGCCCTGGGCAAGCAGCTGCCGGTGGAGGAGGCCCCCCCCCCACTGCTGCCAGGGAAAAGCTCCAAAAAGGCCGCAACGTGCCTAACCGAGCACGCTAAAATGCGGCCTAGCCTGGCGGAGGGGCAAATCCCCACCCCCCAGGCAAAAGTAAAGAAGGCTGGTTACTTACCTCAGTCCGGCCGCCTGGACACGATCCTGATCCTGATCTTGGAAGGAAGAAAGGCAAAAGAGGCTAGAGCCCAGGAGTCAGCCTCTTTTCCTGTGGCCTTAGGCCCACCCCTGGCCGGCCGTCCATTGCCCTCCCTGGCCGAGGGCGGGTCAAAGGCCAGTTCAAGCAGCATAGCTGTCAACTTACAGATTTGAAAATAAGGGACCAGCAGCCTTGAAAATAAGGGACCAGCAGCCAAAATAAGGGACCTGCAGCCTCCCCTGTTCCAGGCACTCCAGTCTTCCTGTCCTCCTGCAGTCTGGTCAAACTCATGCTGGTAGCTTCGAGAACACTGTCCAACCAACTTTGTAACCAGAGGTTCAACTGAAGAGAATCTGCATCACGTGCACCACAAGGCCTATGAAGCCTCAACTTAAGATGGCTCCCCAGCCTGGCTTTGCAGTGCAGTTTGCAGCAGCACATGCAACAAAATGGTGTCCAACATTCAAAAACCTCCTCAGCTTGCATTAACTAGCCACACGCACACAGCCTCCGCCCCTCGCCACGAGATCGCCACTCACCCACCATTTTAGTCAACCAGCTCCTTTATTTTCCCCCATAAGTCAATCGAAGGAGCCTCCAAAACAAATTCAAAAGCCCCCCCTCCCACGAGATCTCCTTTCCTTTTCCGCCACCATGTGCCCCCGCTGCAGACAGACCTTTTCGCCGGCAAGGGTGAGTGGGCCGTCGATGACGTATCCATCCGATTCTGATCCGAGCACTCAGCACAGGTATGTTCAACTTCTGAGCCCCTCCCAGCCAAAGGCAGAAAGCCCAGCCAGCAGCCAAAGGAAGCCTCAAGCGGTGGTTCCCACAGCGCAGCAACCCAGCAAAGGGGATGCAGCAAGGAAAACCACCATCACCTCTCCGCTGGGAAGCGCTGAGCAAAGGTGAGTCCCCAGGCAACGCGGCCGATTTGATCGGCACAAGGCATGCAAGCTCCACCCCCCAGTCGTTCTTAGACTCCTTATTGGGTGAGCAACGCAGCCAAGCAACACAGTTGGAGCCTCCCTCCTCCCTGGCCGGCAGGGAGGGAGGGAGAGGAGCTGCTTCCTTTGAAATTTAAGGGACATCATTTAAGGGACATCCATCAATAAGGGACAGCAGCGGGACACGGCGCTGGTGTTAAGTTGTGGGCGAACATAGCAGACGACACAGCGATTTCTCCAGAGCAGCTCTTTATTTGTAAGCTGGACAGAACTGAACAGCAAACAGCTCAGCCGGCCTGCTTTTATAGGCAGCTGGCTGTCAACATTGTAGCAACAACAACCCAGGGTTTCCCGCCTAAAATAACTGACGTGGACCTGAGTGAAAACTACATACACAATACTCCTGGTGGCCAGGGTGAGAACTTCAATACATAACACACCTCCCCACCGAGATAAGACGTTAGTTACAATCATAATGGTTTCCTTATATACAGCACTATACGTAATGGTTCAATTAGGCACAAAAGCATATTGGTTACATTTCCCATACTTAGACCAACAGTGATACATGTCCAACAACATAGTCCTTTAAATAAGTTGGACGCTTGGAAACTCTGACAGACCGCCGGGGACTGGTAGCAAAGTCCGGGGGGCCACACAATTCTTGCTGAGGCTGTGGTGCGACCCTAGGTGGCGTTGAAACCAAATCCCCTGGATCCGCTGCTGTGGGTGGAGCCTCCGCAAGTGGAGTGGTCTGAGCCTGTGGTAAGTCTGGCAGACCCTCTGAAGTGGCTTGGTTCGGCTCCACGCTGGCAGTTTGCGAGGGAGGTGTAGGTGAAGCCTCGCCATCTGTAAGTGTCTCTTCCGGAGCCACGAGCGCAGTTGGGGGCACCACGGTAGTGTCCAAGTCCCCAACCCTGCGCCTAAGCTGGTCTATGTGCTGGCGCCACAAGCATCCATCTTCGAGTGCCACCTGGTACGAGCGAGGTCCAGTGACTCCCACTACTGTGGCTGGCACCCAAGGAATGTCCCCCACATAGTTCCGGGCAAAGACCTGGTTTCCTGGAACAAATGACCGTGGTGCGTTGGCACAGCCTGGGGGTTCGGCCACGGCAAAGTCCGGGTGCAGCTGGTCGAGCAGTGACCTGAGGCGGCGGCCCATAAGCAGTTCAGCAGGACTCCGCCCTGTGGCCGCATGAGGGGTGATGTGTTGCACGAACAAGTATTCGGCGACCCGCTCGTGCCAGTCTCCCCGGTCCAGGCGCGCCAGTGCCTCTTTTGCTGAGCGCACCATTCTCTCCACTTGCCCGTTGCTGGATGGATGAAATGGTGCTGTTAGGGCATGGCGGATACCCAGTCCCAAAAGATACCGCTCAAAAGTGCCTGACGTGAACTGCGGTCCGTTGTCG